GTCTGCCTTTTAAAGAAATCATTTTCCATTTATATTATTTTGTTATAATTAATTTTATAATGTTTTGTAGAAAAGGAATAAAGTAAGAATTTGGTAGTTCATTATATGATAATCAAATTGGTATGATAGCTGAATGAAAAAAAAAAAAAAAAAAAAAAAAAAGTTTATTTAATTTTAAAAATTTAAATTTTTTTTAAATTTCTTTAAAATGGTGATCTCTTTATTTCGAACATCACCATTAATCTAAAAATATAATATAATATTATTTTCTTTTTTAATTAATAAAAACCTCAACCAATACAAAAAAGTCGAATTATTGTTTTTTATTTTTGATTATCCATTTTTATCGTTTTTTATAAAATCTTCCAGATGGTCCAAAAAAGATAAACGATAACGATAATTTTTAATCACTAGCTTCATTAAAGGTAAATAATTATATTTTCTATTTTTTTTTATTATTTATACTTTAGTGATTTAATCCAACTATTTGATGAATATCATTATATTTGCCAGGGAAACTATAGTAGAGCACAAATTTTTTTGGATGAAGAAAAGGGAAATGAAAACTGAAATTTTACTATTGATCAAATTAGAGAATTTGTCACAATGGTTATTTTAGAAAAAATATTTTGAAATAAGGTTCCCAAAGAAATCAGAAGATCAAGTTAATAATATTGTTAATAAGAAATAAAACAAGAGGTTGAAGAAATAAAACAAGGAGTTAAAAAAATTTCAGAAAAAGAGTATGTAAATAAAATAGTATTGGTGATGAATAATATGAAGGGCATACAATATAGTTTTTAAAAAGTAAATAAAATATATAAATATAATTAAAAAATAAAACTATAATTTTTAGAAAATAAACAAAATAAAAAAAAACTTATAATAATAGAATGATAGAATAATAGAGTATATAGAAACTAAATTCAAACCCAATCCAAGATTAGAAAACAAAAAATTTATATATAAATTAAAAAAAAAAAAAAAAAAAAAAAAAAAAAAATTTATTGGAATAAAAATAATATTAATAATTAAGTTTATTTGTTGTTGGATTTAGTATATAATAAACATTATAAATTTGTAATAAACTTGATTTTATATTAAACATAATATTAAATATAAAATAGCTATTTATCTAATTGATGTAAAAATCCTTTTCCCTTTCCCTTTCCCTTTCCCTTTTAATTTCTCTTTCAAAATCCATTTCTCTTCTTCTTTCTATTTCTATTTCTCTTTCCCTTTCCCTTTCCCTTTCTTCTTCTTTTTCTCTTTCATTTTCTTTTTGTTTTTTATATTCTTCTAAATTTGTTGCGTCAAAATCACATTTGGTATCCCCTTGTAGATCACATAATCTTACTGGCTTCCCATCCAATAAACCAACTTTAGAAAACCTTAGCATTCTCTCTTCGGCAATTTCGTCCAATGGTCTATTTTCAAAAAAACTGTAATAGGCTAATAAGTTTGGATAATGAATTGATTTTTTCTCTTCACTTTTGAGATCTTCAACTACTCTAGCATCTTCTATATATTGCATGGTCCATTTATAATGTAACTCCAATAATACTTTGAAATAAACTTTCATTTTTTCTTTGCAAGTTGCATTACAATGATAGGGTGATAATGCTGGGAAATAATCGTAATCAAAGAACTCTGGGTTTATGTAAAGATAAATATCTGTTACATTCATTTTTTTATGGGGACAATCCATTTTGAAATTTAAATAATATTAAAATTATTTTAATATTTGTGTGTAATTAAAAAAAAAAATTTATTAAAAAAAAAAATTAAATTTAAAAAATGAATTAAAAAACTTAAAATTAAAATAATAAAAAAAAAATTAAACTGAAAAAAAAGGATAGAAAAAATAATGTATAAAATTTAATTAAATTGAACAGCACATTATTTTATGATTATTAAAAATAATAAAAAAATTACAACCAAAAAACAAATAAAATAAAAATAAATGGAATGAAAACCATCAAATTCAAAATTATAAATAAAAAGGTATTATAATTAAATAAAAATTTATTTTAAATTTATTTTGTTTTTAGAATTAGATTTTTTTTTTTAAAAATTTTATGACGATAACACTGATGTTTCAGTATTCTATTATTGAAAATATTTCGAGAAGCTTAATAGAGTTGAAAATAATTTTAATATACATTTTTTAATTGAATCATCAATGAACAAATTTAAATTCCTAGATTTTGTTTTCCAGACCCAACTTTACTGAATAAATATTATTTCACCTAGTACCAGTATTTGATGCTCTACTGGCCAGAGAAAATTTGGTAGAGATTATCATCTAAATACTTATGGTGATTAAACTTTGTAGATGTTGACTATTTTTACCAATTGAAAATTTTCTATTTGGTAATTTTGATTATAAATATTATTTTTCATTTGGGGTCGATAGGCTAAAGGAAGATCTCTATTTTGGTGTATTGGGGAGATAAACTACTATACAGAGTTATTATTATTTTTTGATTAGCAATAATTGGTGTAGAGGATGGGGCACCAGTGGAATCATAACGAGATTCCTTTTTAGAATGGGATGGGTATTGAGGGTGTGATTGTGCTTTAAATGGTGGATTATTTTAGTTGTTTGGTTGTGCCCTGTATGATTCTTGTGAATCTGTGTTATATTGTGATGCCCAATTATTTTGTGAAGAATGTTGTGATTGATTATGTGATGGTGCCCAAGTATAATTATTTTGTGTTGCCGAAATATTATTATTATATTGTGATGCCCTATTATTATTTTGATTATTTGGTGTAGAATATTGTGATTGATGATGTGATTGTGCCCAATTATTATTATTTTGATTTAGTGAATATGAATTATGGGTTTTTGATTTGCAGCTATCATCTTTGTTGGTGCAGTTATTAGTGTTGCCGTTGGTGTTTAAGTAAAATTTATAATATGAATATAAGCAAATGAAGACAACACAAAGTACAACTATTAATAAATAATATTCCATTTTTTTATTATTATTTAAAATGTGTATAAAAAAGGATGAACAATATTGAGTAATCTGTAATAGAATTGAATGGAAGCAATAAAATTTAAGCTGACTATATAAGTAGGGATAAAAATTCGTTAATATTTTTTTATTACATAAAATATATATATATATATATAATTACCTATTTATTTGTTTGCTTGAATTTTAATTAATATTATTTTCTATTAAATTATATATAATATGAATAAATAATGAATTAATAATAAAAAAAAAAAATAATAAAAAAAAAATAAAAAAAAAGAGTTGTGTTTAAAATTAGTGAGAGTTTTTTTTGAAAATATAATTTTTTTTGAATTTATAATAAAATAAAGTTTTTTTGTTTGAATATATTATATTTAGCTTTTCAATGAACATATATATATTCCCAAACATTAGCAAAGACACACCATCAAACTAATTGATCTATGAACAGTCTTTAAGAAAGAATAAATATTTTAAGTTTGCAATTACGATCAAATATTATTTTGTTTTTCATTAAAAAATTTGTAAATAACTTTTTGGAGCTAACAAAATCTGAATTTAGGTAAAATCAACTCAGGAAAAGAAGACATTTATAAAAGAGAAATTGAATGAGGTTCCAAAAAATTTCAAAGATTATCAAAAAAGAGCTTTTTGAATATTGGTCTATTACCTTAATAAAATATTTTATAAATATTTTTTAAAAAAATATTTATTTATAATCAAACCTAAATATATTTTCTTTTTTACAAAGATATGAAGTTGTTTTTTTTTTTTAATAAATAATAAAGTTTTATTTTGATTTTAATTTTACGATTGTGTCTATTTGGTCAATTCCAGCATTATAAGTATCTAACCAGGTATGATATAGTTGTTGAATACATTTTGGCATGGGCGATAATAAATCGTTTGCTATTTCAGAGCTCTTTAAATCTAATAGTTTCCATGGTTTTGGTAATTCTTTAAGGCCTGCAGTATAGTGAATAAAATAAGTTGATTGGAAATTCCAAAGTCTAGAATCTTCACATTCACAATGATTAATTTGAACACCATAATCGGGATAGCTGAGAGGCTTCCAATTAAGAGTTGAATTAATAACATCTTGATCATTTACATTTACTTGATTTGGAAGTTTACTAACTACTACCATTCCATCCACCAACATATTATAAACATCTAATGCGGGGGATAGGACCATAATACCACTATTAATAAGTTTTAATCTATCCGGTTGATATTGGCAGCTATTTGCATCGGCATCAACAGCAGCGTATAAAAGCTTTGGGTTACTTGGATCTACAAGATCGAATAAATGATCTAAAGATTTCATTAATAACATATCAGAATCTAACCAGATTACTTTTTCAAACTCTGTTAATTGCCAAGCACGGAATTTGGTGAATGCAGGTCTCCATCTTTCGATTTGAACTGTTACTTCCTTTGGAATATCGACCATATTGATCTCTCTAACATCACAATCTAATAAACGTAGTGGTACCCTTTCTGCTTCTGGAACCTCTTTAGTTACAAATACTATTAAACCATATTTACAGTCACTCTTTATCATTGACATTCTTAATGCTATAATTCCTTTTATATATTGTGCATTGTTTGTAAATGTAACATAAACATTTTTTTCATTTAGTTTAATTTTAATATTGTTATTGGTATTATTATCATTACCATTATTATTAATTTTGTTTTTATTAATTTCTCTAGAATCTATATCTTCTTTATTAATTTCTATATTAATTTCATTTTTATTATTATTTTTATTTTTGTTATTATTATTTTTATCATTTATTAGAATATCATTTTGCTTTTTAATTGTTGTTGGTATTGGTGTTGTTGTTGGAGTATTATTATTGTTATTCTCTTTAACTATATCTTTTGTTAATAAACCACTTTCGTGAATGTTTTGTTGGTGCTGGATATTTTCTTTATAATTTTTATTATTTGTTATTGGTGGTGATACTGAAGGTATTCTTAAAATTGAAACCAAGAAAAATAAATGTAATACTACTAAAATTATTAATATTATATCTTTTTTTATCATTTCTTTTTTATTTATTTATTATTATTATTATTATATTGGTTTTTATTATTAACAAAAAATAATATTTAATAATTAAAATAAAAAATAGTAGTTTTAAAACTATTTTTTTATCTAATATCTTTTTTTTTTTTACATAAAAAAATTATTAAACTATATTATAATTTTATTGAGGCGATAAAGTTTAAATATAGGTTAAACTCTAATTTATCTGTTTAAATATTATTTTTTATTTTTAAACCATTTATTAAAATGTTAAAATTATATAAAAAATAAAAAAAAATAAAAAAAATAAAAATAATTAAAAAAAAAATTAAAAAAAATAAAAAAAAAAAAAAATAAAAAAAGAAAATATTATTTGTTTAAAATAGATTTGGTGTGTGTGTGTAAACGTGGGTTTATTTTTATATAAATTTGAAACTAAATAATTTTCTAAAAAACTATTAAATAAATTATTTTATTATTTCTTTTTTTATATTTTCTATTTAAAATTAAATAAAATAGAAATATTATTATTCTCTTTATTTTTTACTATTAAACTAATATTATTTTTTTGTTTTTTTTTTCTACATGTGAAATATAATTATTTATGATTTATTGACTACTACTACTATTATATTTTTAATAATTATATTATTTTTTTTTTTTTTTTTTTTACCAAAATTGATTTTTAGGGATTCTATATATTATTATTTATATTTATATTTATATTTATAATAAAAGTTCAAATTAAAATTTATTAATTTTAAATTTTATTAATTTTTGATTTGTTGTTGTAATTGGAATTTTTGTTGTTGGAATAAATTAAAAAGGTCATTGCTATTATTTTGAAAACTTTGAATATTAAAGGCAGGATTATTTAAATCGGTGTAAACCATGGTGCTATCATTTGGATCTGGATGGTAGTACAACATTTCGTTATATATTAATTCTTTTAAGAGTTCTCTATTTAAATCCCACGATTCAAAACTTAAATTGAATTTATGTAAACAAATTGGTTCATCGGATGGATCGTGTAATGTGGAAAAATATGGATGTGACAATGCATCTTCTACTGTTAATCTTTTATTTGGATCAAAGCATAACATTCTTTCTAATAGATTAATAGCATCGGGGTTTGCTTTTGGGAATAGATTTGCAAAATTAACTTTTGGCACATAGCCCATATTTCTAATGAATTGACGTGCTTGCTCATTTGCAATATTACTAATATCTTCTTCTGATGGTGACCCAATAGTTTCAATAATCAATGTAATTTGATGAATATCTTGAATTAGGTATTGTAATAAAATAAAATAAAATTAATAAATTTGAAATTTGAAAAAAAAATTAATCTAAATGTGTAAACTTACAATCTTTTCCTTGGAATAATGGTTTTCTACCTAATAGCTCTGCAAAAATACAACCGACAGACCAAATATCAATAGCTTTTGTATATTTATTCCAGGATAAAATTACTTCTGGGGCTCTATACCAACGAGTTGCAACATATTCAGTCATAAAACCTTGGTGAGTGGCATCTTCAACACGAGCTAAACCCAAATCACAAATCTTTAAGAGACAATCTTCGTTGATTAATAGGTTGCTTGGCTTTAAATCTCTATGAAGTACATTTGCAGAGTGAATATGTTTAAGACCTCTTAACATTTGGTAGACAAAGTATTGGCAGTGATCATCTGATAAAGGTTGTGGAGATGAAATAATTTGATGAAGATCGGTATCCATCAATTCTGAAACCAAATATACATCATCAAATGTATCCTTGCTATTTGGTTTCAGTATATCTTTAACAGATATTAAATTTTCGTGTTTAAAGTGTCTTAAAAGATGGATTTCTCTTAGAGTTCGTTTGGTATCCTTTAAATTGTCAAATGCTTTACTAATTTTTTTAATTGCAACTTTTTCACCGGTTAAATTGTCTCTAGCTGAACATACAACACCATATGCACCATGACCTATACATTTTACAATTGAATATCTTCTTGGTACTGTAAATTGGGAGCCATATACAAAATATGATATATTTTCATTATAATTACTTGAATCATTTATTGGTGGTGGTGGTGGCATTAATTGTTGTAAAATTTCTTTCTTTTTAATTTCATTTTCTTCTTTTTTATCTTTAATTATTTCATTTTTATTATTATTACTATTATTGTTATTATTATTATTATGTATATTATCATTACTATCTTTATTGCCATTTATACTTTTATTTGTGCCATTATGATCACCATTTTGTTGTTGTTGTTGTTGTTGCTGAATTTGTTGTTGTTGTTGTTGTTGTTGCTGTTGTTGAATTTGTTGTTGTTGCTTTTCTTGTTGTTGAATTTGTTGTTGTTGTTGTTGAATTTGTTGTTGTAGCTGTTGTTGAAGTTGTTGAATTTGTTCTTGTTGTTGCATTTGTTGTTGTATTTGTTGTTTTTGTTGGTGTTGTTGTTGCATTTGTTGTTGTATTTGTTGTTGTTGATGAATCGTTGTGTTAATTGGTGAATTATTACCACTGTGAATACTTAAATTTTCAAAACCAATTGGTAATGGAATTGCATTATTATCAGGTACATTAAACATTGTTATTGATGGAGTTGGTAAACAGTCTGCTTCCATTTGTGCTTGAAAATGTTCATATCCGAGTTGGCTTGGCTCCATATTTATTATATATTATATTATATTATATTTATATTTATATTAGGTTATTATTATTATTATTAATTATATTATTAATTAAAATTGATTTTTAAAACTATATACATGTACATTTACAATATTTAAAAGAAAAAAAATAAAAAAAATAAAAAAAAAAACTATAGAAACATAAACATATATAAAAAACACACTAAATATAATATATGTTTAATTTTATTATTTATATATAATAAAGTTTTTGGTTTGTTGCACTTTTTTTTTTTATTATTTTATAAAAAAAAAAAATTTTAAATATTATTTATAAACTGAAATATATAATAAAATTATTGAGATCTTTCTATAATTGAAGATGTTGTGACTTTATAATATAATAATAGAAATTAAATATAATAAAAGTTTTAATTTAATAGGTTAGTGTATGTAAATATTTATAAAAACAAAACAAAATTGAATTAAATAAAAAAAAATAAATAGAAAAATAAAAAAACTTTGGGTGGTTTAATATGTGTGGTGGGTGAGTGTTTGTTTGTTGTTTGTGTGATGGTGGGGTAGTGGTGTTAATTAATTTGTGTGTTTTTTATTTGTGTGGCGGTGTGCGAGTCTAATTAGATGAAATGATATAATTGATAATAATTAAACTTCCTTTCTCCTAAAAATATCTTTTTGTTTTATTTTTACTATATATTTTAATGAAACATATATTAACTATTTTTATATATATGATATTTTATATATATACTTTATTTGATTTTTATATATATAACTATATAAATTGTAAACTATTTATAAATAGAATCAGTGACTAATATTAATTATTTATAAATATTATCTTTTTGTTGCGGTATTACTGTTCTATTTATTTTTTTGCTAATAATACAATGTGTAATATCTCTTTTTTTGTCTAATTTTAAAAAATAAAAAAAATAAAAAAATTTTGGTTTTTTTTTTTTAAAAATATAATTTAAAAAAAATAATAAAAAATAAAAAATTAAAAAATTTCTTTTGATTTGAGATTTAATAGCTCTTTTAAAAATAAAAAAAAAAAAAAAAATAATAAAGTGTAACAATTTTAAAAAAAAAAAAAAAATAAAAAAATTTATTTAAACTACTAGTAGTTTTAATAATTGGAGAGTGAGTGAGAATGCAGATGATAGTGAACCTTGATGTTGATGATGTATATAGCCCATATGCTTATGATTGATAATATGTTACATTATAATTCAACATGCTTTTAATATTTTTTAAAAAAAAAAAAAAATTTTAATTCTACTCAATCAGCTTCACACAAAACAACCAAATAAAAATAATAATAATAAAAATAATAAACGTGAACATAATAATTATAAATTGGCACCTACCCTCTTTGTGGTGATACTCAAAAGTAAAAAAAAAAAAAAAAAATTTAAAGGAGAAACATAGATTTCTACACATTCACTCTAACGAAAAAAAAATTAAAAAAATTAAAAAAAAAACAATTTTTTTTAAATCTCAAAAAATCTTGTTTGATTTTGGTTATGGTTATAACTTTTTTTTTTTTTTTAATATGACTGATTTAAAAATATTTGTATGAGTGGGTTGTGTATTTTGCCTAAATTTTTTTATCCCCCATAATGAAAAAAAAAAAATTGGCAAAATATTTTATATTCATACCTTATCTCACCCATAATGAGAATTAGAAACTTTTTTTTTTGTATTATATAACAATACAAATAAAATCACAATCAAGGTTAAATTACAAATAATCATAGATTTTTTTCATGTTTATTTTTATATTTTTTCTTTTTTTTTTTTATTTAATTGTAAAAAAATTCAATTCAACCCCCCTTTTTTTTTATCAATTTTTTCCTCTGTGTAAAACAATCAAATTAATTAAATTAATTAATTAAACTGAATTGATATTATTTGAAATATTATTTTATTTTCAATATTAAAAACATACACCAACAACACAATAATATATTTAATTTTATAAAGGTATATTTTTATTTATTATGTTCATTTTTTCCATTTTTTTATTTTTATTTTTTTTAGGGTAATCTCATATTTAATTATTTATATTTTTTTTCTTTTAAACAATGTGATATATTATAAAAAAAATAAAACCAATAATAATTTTTATTTTTTTATCCAACATTATTTTCCTTGCACTTTTGTTGTTGTGGTTGTGTTTGTGTTTGTGTTTGTTGTATTTTTCTATTTGATTTACCCTTTTTTTTTTTTACCATTGCATTAATTTTATAATAAAAAGTATTGGATATTATATTTTTTAAAAAAAAGAGGTGTCTATATTTAAATCATAAACATTATCAAAATATCCCCACAAATCATTTTTTTTTTTTTATATTTTTTTAAGTTTATATGCTACCCTTCACAAAATTCATTATAATAAATTATTAAAAAAAAACACACAAACTAATTTTATTTTTTAAATGATAATTTGTAATTTTTTAATTTTTATTTTTATTTTTATTTTTATTTTTATTTTTATTTTTATTTTTATTTTTATTATACCATAATTTTTATTTTTAAATTAATTAAATTTATTTTATAAATTATTTATTTATTTATTTATTATTGTTAATTTATTATTTTTTTAAATTAAAGAAGGCAATTTGTTTTTCGGTATCACTAACATCACCAGCAGAAACTCTAATAAATTTATTCATTTGTAAGTTCTTGTAAAAGATGTATTCACAATAACGACGTTGGTCAGTTGTATCTTCTAAACCTGAGGATCTAATGGTATTATAATTTTCACTATTGATTTTGGTTGTGATATAACTAAGGAAAACAACTGGCATATTCTTATCTTTACTCTTGACAACTTGAGCGGCACCTTCTGATTGTAATTTTCTATCTAAAACATCTTCGGTATTACCAAAGTGAGTAACAATAATATTAACTGGTTTTTCTTCTACTAAAACAATTGCATCGATTAAACATGCTAATTCACCTTCTGGTGATGGTAAAATAACATGATTTGATGAAACAATTGGGAAAACGGTTAATAATGCGCAACCCCATGTATTTTCTGATGGAGCTGGACCAAAATCACTGTACATCTATGAAATATTAAAAAAAAAAATTAATAAATTAAATATTTAAATTATTAATATATGGATTATCTTACATGTAATTCACTGGCCAACCATTCGACTAAATCTCTATTTGAGGTCATAACTCTTGAAAGATCAGACTCTAATAAACCAATAACATTAACACCTTGTTCTTTAATGGCATCAGTAATATTTGGGAAACTATTTCTACCAAAATTATCATAACCAAAATGAATGGTCCAAATCATTGATTTAATTTCAGTTGGAGCAGTATTTGAAACAGCGGTAGCAGTGGCATCGGTCTTGTAATGATAACCAGCAATGCTTGAGTCAGTTGGGTGGGTAATAGCTCTGTTGACTGATACTAAAAGAAGAAGAACAATTAAACCAAAGACAATATTGAAAACATCTTTATTTGGGAAAGTTGGTTGATCTCTACCTGTTTTTTCTTTTCTATTTGATCTTAATGCTTTATAAGAGAATGCAATACCTGCTGATAAGATAGTTGCGATAATTAAAGTTTGATTACGCTCTCTTAATAAAGTTGAGCCTAAATACCATGGTACAAATTTCTAAATATAAAAATAATTAATATAAATGAAAATGATAATAGTAAAAAAAAAATAAAAAAATAATAATATTATACATACATATGAAACAACATAAATTGCCCAGAATAATAAAACGGTATAAGTTAACATTGCAGAGGCAAATAATTTACCTAATTTTTCAGTATTTGAAACTTTTTCGATTAAAACAATCCAAAGAGAGTTGACAAAAATACCTAAAATAGTACCACAAAGAAGACCAATAATACCAACAAAATATGAAACAGAGCCAGAGCACCAGCCGAAAATGGTAGATAAAACAAGTGCAGAGATAAAGTAGTTTCTTGAAGTGATTAATTCTTTCTTTTTGGTAAGTAAAATACCAGCAATAACACCAAATACAACGATGATACCATATGGGAATGGATTGAGGTTGGTCCAACGTGGAATAACACCATGAGTAGAGAATAATAATTGATTAGCAAAAATAACACCACCAAATGAAATACCAGTGACAATAGCAGAACTATTTTCGGCATCTTGCTCAACTTGGAAAAGTGCATTACTCTTTCTTTCTTCTGTGAGATTAATATTTTCACGCATTAAAATAACAAAGGCTACAACTACCAAAATCATACCAAAAATGATCCAACTTGACCAAGTCATGAATGGGTTAACTGTAAGGTAACCAAGACGAATAATTGCATGAAGTGCGATGGCAATTGCGTATGCATAAGCACCACGATCACGACGAATTGGAGTTTTAATATTTGCAAAAGAATTGCATTGTGCTAACCAATCAATTGCGACTGCTACTGAAATGAAAAAGGTCTTAGTGACATGTGGGCTTGAAAAAATACCAAATTCATCATTTTTGATTTTTGATTTGTCGATCATGTATGGGTAAATTGCAAGAAATCCCAAAATTTGAGCAAAAAGACGAATTGGAAGATTGAAACGTGATACAAGTCTATTGATAAAGCCAATACCCAAAAGAATTGGTGTGTAAATTGCGACTAATGCTGCTTCCCAACCAGTGAAACCCATGAAACCCATTGGGAAAAACCAAATTACTGAAATAAACTCTACAACAAAACTCCAATTTACAAATGCTATAATTGTATCGGCAACCAATAAAGACAAATATTGCTTATTTGGAGTTGGTGAACTTGCACCTCTATTTTTCATTAAATTTGAAGTTGACATTTTCTTTTTTTTTTTTTTTAATTGAATTATTTATATATGTATATAAATAAAAAAAATAAAAAATATATTTAGGAATGATAAAAAAAAAGAATCTAACTTTTTTTCTTTCTTTCCTTTTCCAAAAAAAAAATCGAATTGAAGTTTATTTGTTAAAAAATAATAAATATTAAAAAAAAAAAAAAAAATTTGAAAATTTAAAAAAAAATAAAAAATTAAAAAAAAAAAAATAAAAAAATTTTTTTTTAAAAATTTCCCTCGCCATAGTAATTACTTTTTTAGTTTAACAATACAAAATAGTAAATTTTTTTATTTTTAATATTTTTGTCCAAAATAAGCTCAAATAACCAATTTATTTAAAACATTGAGGCAATATATTAAAAGGAATAAAATGAAGATATATAAATATTTTTATAAATAATAATAACAAAATTAAAAAAAAAATAAAAAAATAAAAAAATAAATTAATTTTTAAAAATAAAATTTTTTTTTTTTTGATTTTTTTTTACTTAAAAAATGTATAATATAGATCATAATATAAATAATAAAAATGATAATATAGACAATTATATAAACAATATAAACAATATTAATATTAATAACAACAACAACAACAAAAACAACAATAATAATAATAATACAGAAAGTTACAATGAAAAAAATTCAATTTTGTTTTATAAAATTTGGAGATTTATTTTTTTAAAAAAGAAAATATTATTTTTTGTTAAACTATTCAATATTCATTATCATAAAAGATCATACTACAAGTTTATAGGTGATAGTAATTATAAATTTATAGATTATTTAAGATCAATAGAGTTAAATTTAAAGAGTGTAGAAGAGCCATGGAATTTAAAGAAATTAGGGTTACCTCCCAACACTGAGGAAGTTGATATGGGTATTGGAGGAGATTTTAGAAATCAACCACCAGGAAAACATCTCAAGATTCCAAAGAATCTCAAAATAAAAACATTTAAATTTCCATATAGATATCAAGGCAAAGTTAAAGCAGAATTTATCACACCACATCTCGAAACTTTAATCCTATCATATTCTTTTAATCAGCCATTACACGAACTATTTAATTCAACAAACAGCAGAAATTTGGTTTCATTGAATTTGGGATGTGATTTTGATAGTCCAATTCAAGAGGGTGTTCTCCCAGTAAATTTAAAATATTTAAAACTAAGTGATAGATTCAATCATAGATTAATTGCTGGTGCTCTCCCACAAAGTTTAGAATCTATAGTGTTTGGAAATGACTTTAATCAGCCATTGTTGCCTTTAGATTTGCCATCAAATCTAGTCTCTATCCAATTTGGAAACTGCTTTGATCAACCGCTTTATTTTATCAACGATTCTAAAAAAATAGTTCCAATATTACCACAACAAAGGCTAAAATCTCTTGTAATTGGCACTAGCTTTTCGCAAAGTATAGAAGAAGGTTGCTTACCCACAACTTTAGAGACTTTATCCATTTCAAATAGATTTATGACTGGGTATAAAAAGAAATTAAAGTTTTTCCCATCTCCAAATTTAACAAAGTTGTCAATTAGTGCTGCGTATCTAGGTGATTTTAAATATCCAAAATCAATCAACCCACCGAGATTATTAAAGGTCAAAATTTCAAACAAACATTCAAAAAATGTTGATCTATCCCAAGTACTACCTTCTTCAGTTACCCATTTAACTCTAGAGAACTCGAATTTTGTCATAAAGAAAAACTCATTACCAAATTCTCTTAAAAAGCTAAAGGTATCAAAATCAGTCTCATTCGAACCAAATTCTATTCCATCAAGTGTTACAGAGATAAATGGATGTCATCCTGATTTTATTTCAAAAGTTGCACCATCATCCATTTCAAAATATACATTGCCAGCTCTATCAAATGATTTTGTTATTTCCAATCCCCAATCAATTCCTTCAAATATCGATTATTTAAAAGTAGATAATATTTCAATATTTGGCATTTCTTTTTATTCAATGAATTTTATTAAAACACTAATTCTCGAACCAGCTTTCGATTTCGATGTTGCAATTAAACCAAATGTTTTACCTCCAACCCTTGTAAATTTATCATTCAACTATGCAAAAAAAATTGAACCTCAGGTTCTCCCTAACTCTATTGAATTGCTCGAAGTAGGATCACATTTTAATCAAGATATATCAACTGAATGGTTACCATTATCTCTTCAATCATTTATCATTAAAGGAAAAGGAACAATTATATCACTACCAGACACTATCAGTGGAATTTATACATTCAGCGGTAATCATTTATTTTTGGATAAATTAAATCTTACAGAAGATTTAATTAGTATTCTATATGTTTGTAGCTCGGACTATAACGTAAAATTATGTAATATATTTAAAAAACTATTAAATAAAAAAACAAAATAAATGATGTAATATTTAGAGAAATAAAAAATATCCATTTATAAAATTAATTATAAAGAAACTGTACAGGGTGTTTATTGTACAATAATTAAAAGAAACAATAATTTATAAAAAAAAAGTTCTAATAAAAATTAAAAATATCGAAAAAATTACATTTTTAAAAAGGTGTGTTTATTATTTTTTTTTGTATATTAATTTTTAAAATAAAAAATTTATTTTACTTTTTTTTATTTGTTTTTGGTTTAGGAGTTGATTTAACGTTATTAACCTTTGATTTTTCTACTTTTTTGTTGTTTGTATTTTGTTTATCTTTTTTATTTTTTGGTTCTACTTTTTTCACTTTTTCCTCTGCTACTTTTTCTTCTTCTTGTTCTTCTTGCTCTACTTCCTCTTGTTGCTCTTCTTCAACTTGTTCTTCTTGTTGTTCTTCTTCTTGTTCTTCTTGTTCTTCTTCTTCTTGTTGATCAACTTGTTTATTATTTAAATTATTATTTATTAAAATTTTTTGTTGACTTTCAAAATCTTTATCATCTATTATCATTGTTAATGATAAACCTGGTTTTGAATTATCAGATGAAAGTGATTTAACTAAAACAGTACGGCCAATTGGGAATTGTTTTTGAACTGATTGGATTGGAGTTAATGAAAGGTTTTGAGATTCGACTACACCAAAACTATTATTATAAAAACTAACGAAAACGAGGTATCTAGTTGTTTTAGTAATGATACCATGGGAGATGAGACCAGCTGGGGTTGTATTTTTATCGGTAATAATTGGATATTCTGATTGAATAAGTGATTTTTTAAGAGTTAATTGAAGACGTTTTTTATCTGGGTCAACACTAATGACACGAACTTTAACAGTGGAACCAAGTTTAAAGAATGTTGAGGTATTTGTGATGGCAACATCGGCTAAATGGGTTTTTGGAACAACACCATGAATTGATGGGGCTAATTCGATTTCAACTGATTCCTCTCTAATATATTTAATAATACCTGTTGTAATCATACCGCATTCAATATCGTTGTAAGAGAAAAATTTCTTTTCTAATTCTCTAGTACGGGCAGTAAAAGTAACCATACCATCTAAATAATCTAAATGTTTGATTCTACATTTCTTGTTGAAAGCTTCACCTTTTTTGAATTGATTTGAGGCTTTATTTAAATTGACTACACCACTTTCTAATTCTTCAATGTGAACATAACCTTTGATTGTTTGTGGTTTACTTGAAACTACAGTTGATGGACATGCAAGAATCATTTCTAATGGTTCAATTCTTTCTACGGTTAAAGAGTTGAAATCAAAGATTTGACCTTTTTTAAAGGTACCAAATGGATATGGTTTATAACCCATAATATGTGGTAATGTTGAAAGACCAATTCTCTTATTAACTTGATCAACAAAAATAATTCTTGCTTTAACATTTTGATTATCTTTATAATTGTCAAGTGGATTATTTAAGTGTAAAAGTTCAACATCACCAGCAAAGAAATCTAAAAATCCTAAATGTAAACCACCGCCAATAACTGCTATTACTTTAGTTTCAACTAACATACCAGCTTTAATTGAGTCCATAGTGATAACTGATGAGTCTTTAACCTAAATATTAAAAAAAAATAAATGTTAATTTATATGTTTTAGAATTTTTTTTTTATAAATATACTTACAGTTGCTCTTGAAACTAATGAATGTGAAAGTGTTAATTTAAATGTTTTGGTATCTTTATCGATAGAGTCAATTAAAGCTTCAATTGGTTGACCGACAAAAAGATCGTTTTGTTTTTCATCAGTTTGACCTGGGTAATAGTAATTAGTGTTTGAAAATTCGATGAAACCAGTATAATCTTTTGAACCAAATGAAACGATATAACCTTTATCTTCGATTGATTGAACGGCACCATGAATAGTCATGTTTTCAGTAAATGTTTCCATTGATGAACCACTATTTACAACTTCTGGTCTCATTGAACAATGGAGACCTTCGATGGTATGATGATCGGTAAAACCTGCAATGGCAACTTTAATAATTTGGCCTTTGTAAAACATCTTTCTAACTTGATCAGAAATAATTTTCATTTTTCTAAAATTGGTAGATTTAACATTCTCTTCCTCTCTTTCTAATGTCTTTTTCATCCATTCGGTAAATGAATCTGAAATTTCATTAAATTTAATATAACCCTTTAATCCAAATGGTAAACTAATTGTAATATCAATTTCTGAAACTGATTCAAATGAACCCAATACAACCATACCTTTATGAATATCCTATTATATAATAATAAAATAATTTTTAATAAAAACGAAAAAATATTTGGAAATTATTATTTTAAAAAAAATAAAAAAATATGATAAAACATAAAAAATATTATGATTCAAATTATTATTAAAAAAATAAATATAAACTCCACTTACTTTTTTAAATAATCTACAAGCAGATTTTGGGATATTTTTCTTTAAAAATGGTAATAATTTCTTTGCATCGGCTTCTTCTTTTTTATTTAAAACATTTGATGGTTCGTTTAAGTACTCTTTAAGTTGGGTTGGGGTGAGTTTTTCGATTTTATTGGTTAATTTTGATTTCTTTTTATTCTTTAAAGTATGGTAAACTGATGAGAAAAGGTTTCTGTCTTTTTCTTCTTCAATTGAAACTGTGGTGTTTTCATTTTCGTTGTCGCTTGAAACAATTTCATCTTCATCTTTAATAATTGCCGAGGTGGTTTTTGATGTTTTTTGTTTCTTTTTAATACTATTATTTTTATCTGAAAAATTACTTCTTTTTGGGTTAAGTCTTTTTGTACTAACTAACTCATCATCATCTTTCTTTTCTGAAATAATTTTATGTTGGTTTTTACCTCTTACAAAATCAGTCATTTTTATTTAATATTATTTAACAAAAAAAAAAAATAAACAAATAATTTGATATAAATGACTGTGGGTAAAAAAAAAAATTAAAAAAAATAAAAAAAAATTAAATATTCGTTTATAAAAAAAAAAAAAAAAAAAAAAAACGAACCCGAGCCTTTTTTTAAAAAAAAAAATTTAAAAAAAAATATTTTAAAAAAAATAAAATAAAATTAAATAAAATTTATTAAATAAATGATTTTTAATATGATATAAAAATAGGTTTATTTATATCTATATGTTTTATTATTACTTTGATTTCTTATTTATAGAAAATTGGTTTTACAATTAAATTTATTTATATCGAATCTTTTTTTTTATTAAAAAAAAAAGTTAAATTATTATTTTTTTTTTATTAAATAATAGTGTTTTAATAATCATCTTGATCATCTTGTTCTTCTTGCTGTTGTAGTAGTTGTTGTTGTTTTAAAGCTTTTCTCTTCTCTTTTTCTTTTCTTTCTTTCTTTCTTTCGTTTCTTCTTTCGATTTCAACTAAATCAATCTTTGGAAGTGATTTGAATGTTTGATAGATTTCGTTGATATCTTCACCTTGAGTTGTGAAAAATAGTTTTCTAGTTGGATTAATGAGATCACCAATAAGAAAAGAGAATGAATCCTCTCTGTAGGTAAAACCTGAAACTTCATCTAGATCAAATCTTTCGATTTCATTTTCCATTGCATGATTAAAAAAGACCATAAAGTTTTGATTAATACCGATCCAAATGGTAGTGTTAGTGTTGTTTTGTGAGTTATTGTTTGGATTACGACGTCTAGTATCGATGCAGAACCAAGTTGATCCAGCGTATGGGAGGCTTGATGCTTTTTGGAGATACATTGAAAGGGCCAATTCTGGGGTAATTGCTTGGTCAGCCAAATCACTATGAGCTTCGTTAATTTCAATAACCCATTGTGAAAGTCCTTTTCGGTCTAAAAGAGTAGCAGGAATACATAGTTCAACTGTATCTTCGGAAATGATTGGTTGCTGAGCATTGTAATCACCTTCTTGGGCTTGTAACTGAAGAGCTGCCAACTCTAAAGAGACATCAATAGTAAGTCCTGGTATTCTTCCACCTAAAACATCGTGAACATATTGATAAAACATTAATTCTAACATTGTGTTACTCATTGTTTGAGAAATGTGTGGGATCCAAATCTTTCTAAGTAATACAAATCTGCCATTGATAACGGTCTGGTCTGTTTTACGTTGTCTCTTTTCTTTATCTTCAAACTCTTTGAGAATATCACAAAGCTTTTCATTATCTTTAAGAGATATTTCTTCACCGCTCCAATCTTTAAAAATTGCAAATTCTCTCCATAAAACAAAGTCTTGAATATCCACAATTGTCTTTAATGATTCTAAGGCGGTGGTGGAGGAGTTAACTTCAACTGTTCTTACTGGACCATTTGCTAAATGAACTCTAATTACAATATTACGGTGTTCTTTAACAGCTAAAATTTCTTTCTTTGATGGTGCATTAGTACGTGGACCTTTGAGAGAAGTACTTTCTAATTTCTTAATACACGAAGCAGAAAATATGTTTTGGGTTTGGGTAAGGAATTCTCTGAGATAAGGGAACAATTCAGCGGAGCATGGGAAGCAACCAGCACATAAACTAAATAATACCATACCTTTACGGGCTGAGTTTGGAATTGGAGCTTGGGTTTGATTGTTTGGTGTTAGTTGACGACATAAAAAGAAATAAACTTCGTCACGAAGTGATGGTTTGTCGATAGCACGTTGAATAATAGTTTGAAGTAAACGAGTTTTTCTATCTCTTGGGAAAAGTGGATAGTCGCCCATATATTTCATAATATTTAAAAAGATATCATAGTCTTCAGTGTTAACATCAGTAATAAATACACTTGATTGCTCGGGTGGGGTGCCTGTATGTCTGAGGGCATCTCCTAATTTAAAAACTGTTAATGAACGGAATCTATTGACTGCATATGGCATTAATGGATGTTTGGAGCCAGATTCAACAAACTTGGTAAAAAACTCTGGTTCAAAACCTTTACTAACTGAGGTTTTCTTCTTTTCTTTTGGTTTACGTTGTGGTCTTGAAACTGATCCCCTGTGTGATGGTTGTTGCTGCTGTTGTTGCTGTTGTAGTTGTTGCTGTTGTTGTTGTAGTTGTTGCTGTTGTTGTTGTAGTTGTAGTTGCTGTTGCTGTTGCTGTTGCTGTTGAATTTGTTGCTGTTGTAGTTGTTGTTGTTTGAGTTGATGTTGAATTTGTTGTTGTAATAAGTTCTGCAATTGATTTTGTTGTTGTATTAATTGTTGCTCTAATTGTAATCTCTGTTGAACAAAAAGTTGTTGAGATGGATGAACAGATTGTGATGTTTTTCGGGCATTGACGATATTATTATTGTTAATAGTATTGTTTGTATTATTACTATTGGAGTTAGTTTTCTCTTTGGCTTTTTTGTCAGATGTGATTGGTTTATGCTCTCGTTTTTCTATAATTAAATTTACATATTCTAATGGGAATGAGCCACTTAAACCATTGAATGTACCAGTACACCAACCTTCACTACCTCTGATAATATTGGTAATAGTATCTTTAACTTTGAACTCGAATGCTCCATTTGGTGAAGCATAATCTCTATTTGCAGTGCCACTAGTTGCTTCAGAGGATAAATAATAAATATAGCTATTGATTAAAAGAATCACTTCTGTCCATTGTGGTGTATTAATAACTAAATCTTCACCATCAATATTTATATTGACTTGTTGATTCTCTGGGTCACTTTCACAACTTAAAACTTTGGAATAGTGGAATGATTTTAATGGTTTAAATGTATCTTTTGGTTTGCCAATTTGTCTGAGGAGTAAATTAAGATCTTCATGGGAGATGATGTCTATACTCATAATCGGAATCGAAATCATCGCTGCTAATTAATGGTAGATTAACTTGTGAACCAACTCCTCTCTTTGTTGGTGATGAGAATGATCCAAATGGCATTGATTTTGGAGATACTAGGCCACTACTAATTATGTTTTGATTATTGATATTATTGATACTATTATTCATATTATTATTGATATTATTGATATTATTATTACTATTGATATTATTACTATTTAATGATGGATCGCTCATTAATATAACATTGTTATTTTCGGCAGGAATACTATTGTTTTCATTAATGATTACAGTTAAACGATTTGTTCTTTCATTACCTTCTGATTTTCTAATATTTATTATATTTGAATTATTTATATTACTATTGTTACTATTATTAATATTGTTACTATTGTTACTATTTATATTTATATTGTTGGAAGAATCTATTTCATTTGATTCTGAATTACTATTATCAGGTTGTGAGATAATAGTTTTACTATCTACATTTAATTTATTATTTACAGAATTATCATCTAATACATTGCTATTTTCTTTTTTATCATCTCTTGGAGTAGTATTTAGATTTAAATTTATCATACCCATATTCATATTAACATTCATCATATTCATCATGCTAATATAGGTATCATTTTGAAGTTGAAGTGGTGGTAATTGTTGTTGTTGTTGCTGTTGTTGAAATTGTTGATATTGTTGTTGTTGTTGTTGAATTTGTTGTTGTAATGCATGTAGTTGCTGAAGTTGTTGTTGATATTGTTGATATTGTTGTTGATATTGTTGTAGTTGTAATTGTAGAGTTTGGGGATTAATGGTTTTATCAATCGAGATTGATGTGATTTGAGTACCTTGGTTGGTTGAAATAAGTTGACCTGGGATTGATTCTTTTAGAACAATATGAGCACCATTTGCATCGACGATTACACTGAAACCCTCCATAGCACCAGTTTCGATTTCACTCCATTGACCTTGTGTACAATTCAAAAATACAGTTTTACCAAAGAAAGGAAGAGACATAACATAGGAAATAATTACTTGTTTTACATCTTCTTTATATTCAAAGATATCTTTACATTTTGTTTGAATAAAGCTAAAGTATGGATGAAGTTCGAAAAATTTGCTTTGGATTCTATCACTCCAATCTTTTGCAGAATATAAAGATAGATAGTTTTGGGGAATATAACGTTGCCACATTTCTAATGCTGATTTTGGATGATTGTTGGTTGTGATATCATATTGAAGACGAAGAACTGATAGGATAACTACCTCACTTTCGGTAACGGGGAAATGTCCTTTTGTAATGGCCATGATAATTTGGTGGAAGAAGAAACCACTTTCGAATTCATTTGGAACCACTTCAGGTTTAACGAATAGTTGAATCTTAAAGTAAAATTGGAATGCATCCATATGAAGAGATTCGTGTGGACTGAGAGTGTTATAGTGGTTTACTGACTGATAATAGTTTTCCCATTTGCTGACAATATCAAGAACATATTCGCTATAGCTAACTGAACGTTCTTTATTCTTTATAACTTCATAAACAGACCAAATAAAAGCATCGGATTTTAAACCAGCAACTTTAACTAAACGGTCGGTAATATCGCCACAAGTAGTTGTTGAGTCAACCTCTACACCCTCACCCACATCATCAGGGAAAAGGAAAAATACTTTTAGTGGCATCCGTCTGCGAGTAGCTTCAAACTCTGTGTCGATTGGTGGCATTGATCTTGGGCCATTTTGAATAATAACCTCTAGGCGGTTGAAACAAACCAGGGAAAGATCATCATCTTCATTTGAATTGTTGTGGTGAGAATAAAGATAGCTTGATATATATTTTAATAAACGTGGTTTTGGGGCAAAACAGCCACAAACAGTTAAAAGTAATTCCCAGCCTTTAATGCGATTTTCACGCTTGCCTGGATAGTTTGTAAGTTGTTTGATAATTTGACAATAAATTTCATCACGAATTTCTGGATAGAGAATACCTTGACGAACTATATGACTTCCTATATAGTTTATTGATTTCTTTCTTTCCAAATCGCCCATGAACTGAAGAATAAAGTTAAACACCTCCAACGAAATTTTTTCCAAGTGAGCCAAATGAGATGGGTTGTTTTGTAATGATGGTTCGACATCCAATTTGTGTAGTGGATAGTAAAGCTTCTTGCCATAGCTAATTAAAGATTCATATGAGATTTGTTTCTTTCTAATTAAAGATTTCTTTGATTTTAATTCAAAGTGAAGTTTGGCATACTCCAACATTGAAAACTCTTCTGTATCATTGGGTTTAATTAAAAATGATTTGCTTCTTCTACGTGGTGTAGTTAAGACTGGATTGGACTCTTTCTTCAAAAAGCTGAAATATGATGGAAGATAAATTGGAAGTATTGGAGTAGTACCTTCTTTTTGTGTGAAAAAGCTTGGTGGACCAATTAAAGCACCAGCTTTAGAACTACCAGAAGGAGTAAACAAAGAGGTTGGGGTATGTCCAATAAATGAAGGATAGCTACCAATAGTAGTTCTTGGTGATCTTGGTGATAATGGTACTGATCTATTTATTTCCTCCCTTTCTCTTTCTTTTTCTCTTTCTTTTTCTCTCTCTTTTTCTTTTTCTCTTTCTCTTTCTCTCTCTTTTTCCCTTTCTTTTTCTCTTTCTTTTTCTCTTTCTTTCTCTTTTTCCTTTTCTTTCTCTCGTTCTTTTTCCCTTTCTTTTTCCTTTTCTCTTTCCTTTTCCCTTTCTTTTTCTCTTTCTTTTTCTTTTTCTTTCTCTTTGATATGTTCTTTTTGATTTGAATATAGAAGTTGATTTGTACTCTTTCTCCTATCTAAATTTAGTGAATAACGATGTTGACTTGAAAATGAAGAGGATGAAGAGGTTGGTTGTTGAAAACCAGGGCTTGTATTATTAATACTTGAAATTGATGGGAAACCATGGCCAGAAATACTATTATTTGTACTTAGAGAGTTAGAGATTGATGGAGATGTTGGTGAAATTAATAAGCCTGGAATGCTTAGTGATAGGTATTTATCATTCTTGCTGTTGCTTGGGATATTGTTGTTATTATTGTTGTTATTTTCAGAATTGAATCTGGGTGAGGGTATTAGTTTTGATGTATTGCTACCAGTAATGGTTGATTTAATTGATTTAGCACTTTCAGCAATAAAATTAAATGGTGAAGCTTTATCTAAATTCAAACTGAAAACATGTTTACCATGGCTTGTGGTTGGAGTAGAAAGAGATGGGTCTTTTTCTTTTCCTTTTCTTGGTGACTCTAATCTTGGTGAAATTGGTGGTGAGGTTATTGGTGAGTGATGGGTTGTTGTTGATGGATGTTGTAAAGGTTGGTGATGTGGTTGTTGGTCTGACACAGAGGGTGAAATAATTGGTGATATAACATCTTTGGGTCTGTTTGGAGTACTGCTGTTACTGTTGCTATTATTATTAATATTATTATTAAGACTACTAAGATTTAAACTTGTACCTGAAATTTGTAATGGTGGAACTCGAATATTTTTGGTTTTTTCACTCTCTTGGGAAGATGATAGTTGTTGTTGTTGATGTTGTTGGGATGATAATGAATTTTTGATATGTCTTTTGGATGTAGTATGATGTGGTGGATGATGAAGAGGTGGAAGTGGTTGTTGGTGATTATTTTGTTGTTGTTGTTGTTCATTATTTATGGTATTGGTATTATTTGAAGCTTTTAATATTGGATAATAGGGTAATGGTGATATTGGTGGAGTTGGACTTGGTGATATATTGATTTCTAAAGACAATGGCAAAACTGGAGTTGGTATCAATGGATTGTTTTGTTTTTCGATTAATTTTTGGGTATAGTCTTTTGATAACGATGATCTTAGATGAGTTTGAAGGGCAATAGCCGACTCTTTTAAACGAAGATATGGAGCTCTACAAATAACCATTCTAGAGAATGATTCCAAAATAATAGTGGCTTGTTTAATTGAATGATAACTTTTTTGTGAAAGGTATTTCTTTGATTGTCTTTGGATAACAATGATAGCAGATTTCATTTCTAGGAACTTCTTTCTAGTTTGATACATTCTCCAAGTGCTTTGAATAACGAATGCACTATGAACCCTTCTCTTTTGTAATTCACTCTCTAAGAGTGTACCAAGGGTATTACGTAAGAACACTTTATTATTCCCCAAGTGGAGTGGTGGATGGAGAATACTTTCGAAATTGATATCATTTTCTTTGAGCTTATCGAAAAGAATTTGAAAATTTGGACGTTGGCCTCTAAAAAAGAAAGAAAAACGTTCAAAAAATAATTTTATTTCGTAATGGGTAGTAAAACCAAATCTTTGAATTTTGCAAGTTTCCAATAATGAAAGAGTTTTGATTTGTTCATTAACCAGTTTAGAGTCGAATGTGAGTGGTGAATTTTTATAATTTGGTCTAATACAACGTATAAAATGAAGGCCACACTGATTAAGAGCAGGAATAGTCTTAATAATTGATAAAGGTGATTTTTTTGAGTGATGTCTTGGATCATTCATTAAATTTGCAATTTCTGGAGAAAAGTTTGAGTTGAATTGGCCATCCTTATAGAAAAGTAGCTTTGTAATTACATTCTTAATAAGTATAGTATTACGTTGAAGGATTTCATCACGATTTTTAACAATAAAACCCTTGACATCATAATAGAAGGTTCCAAAGAAATGTTCGATACCAAACTTTGATGGCTTTCTAAAGTATTGACGATGACCAGTTAAAAAGTTATTCAATTTATCCAAAAAGATTGTGTCATTTGAATTGATATTCTTGCTTTCTTGATCTAATAGACTAATAATCTTTTCCATCATTTCCACTTGATCATAGTTTTCTTTGAATGTGATTGGTTGGGCCCATGGAATTCTTTCTGATATATACTCTTTTTGTTCATCTTTTAAAACGGTATTTAAATATATTTGCTGTAATTTATCTTCAAGAAAATTAATTGAAAACTGTTCATAACTGTGTAATGGTACACCTTCTTGACCAAAAAGATCTAAAATTCCAATAAAATGAAGTTCTTCAGTTGAATCTGGCTTTAATTTTGTATTTAAAAAGTCAATTATCCAATGGAACAATGCTGAATATATTGATTTGGCCAGTGAGTCCCTATGCTCCATGGCGTCACTAACGGACATATATCTATCTAATATTAAAATACTATCAAGTTTATTTACATCTATTTTAATATTATGTGATAAACTTTCAATTACTAGAAAAGAAAAAAAAAATTAATGTGTTAATAATTTATTATTGTCCATATTATTACCCAATTATAACTTACATGACTTGTCTTTAAATTCAATTTTACCACTTTTTTGAAAAAAATTTACATTACCAAGAATTGTTATAAATGAAATTATCCTAAAAATCAAATCAACCTTTTCACTTGGAAATTCAAAGAAATCAAAAGCGGTTTTTAATCTATCATATTTCTTTGCATCCTCTAAATTATCAGAAATATTACCACCTTGATTTAAATAGTGATACGAGTTGAGATCACCAAGATGATACGATTGCCTTTCTTCATCTGAAATACCTCGGAATAATTGATAAAAAACATGATAATTTCTTTCACCTTTATTATATTGAACTACTCTATTCTCATCTAAAAAATCTGTTACGATTATAAATAAATATTTTTTATGAGTATATATTTTAAAAATGTTAATTTTAATAAATTTAAAAACTTACAGCTATAAAGTTTGGCACCTTTAATTTCACCATAATGGTTATAATACAGTTCGAAATATCTACCCCATCTTGAGCTATTATTATTTGAATCAGTCAAACAATGGCCAAACGATTCTAAAATAATCCCTGCCTCTATAATATAGTCTTTTAAGTATTTATTACGAGATAAATCAGTTGTTAAAAAATATTGAATTAAAACCTTGGTACTTTCTGATTTCCCACTACCAGTTTCACCAGCTAAAAATATTAATTGATCTCTTTTAAAATCTTGCATATCACAAACAGCTCTTTCTGCAATTGCAAATAAGTGAGGTGGTAGGCCTCTCTTTTGATTATATACTCTAAGTAATTCTTGTGAATGTAAATATGGTAGACGTTTATACGGATTAATGGTAACCAAAATGGGGCCAATAAATGTCTATGTAAAATATTAAATAAAAAAATAAAGTTAATATTTTTTAAACCAATTGATATAGGGTAACATAAATATTATACATACATAAATAAGATCCTTTTTATATCTTGATTGTAAACAATTTAAAATTGAATCCTCATCTAAATCTTTAATTTCAGAAAGATCATCAAAACCAACTTTATTTTTTTCTAATAGGGTTGTCAATTGGTTAATATTCGATGAGGATGATGGAGATTGTGCATAAACACGGGAAGATGATTGACCTCTTTCACATGATGATAATTGACCTGTTGATTGGTTCGATGAACTACCTGGTAAGTTTAATAATGGCACAATATGATGATTTGTGCTACTATTCGTATTATTAGTGTTGTTATTATTACAATTTATATTATTCGATAAACTATTTGTTGATGAATTTGGAGATGATGAAGTTGATGACAAAACCGGTATATTATTATTTGAGTTATTTATATTTATTATATTATTACTACCAATACTACCTGTGCTATTATTTGAACTGTTTGTATTATTACTATTACTATTTACACCATTTTGTTTATTCTTTTTTTTATTTTTCTTTTTCTCTTTTTTATAATCATCTGGGGTATTGTTATTATTATTACTAATATTTAAGGATATTGACGAATTTTTATTACTATGGGGTGATAGTTTTGTTGATGAGGTTGAATTATTATTATTATTTGATGATGATGATGATGAGGATGAAGATGATAGATTTGGTATAGTTAGAGAATTTGATGTTGGTGCTGTACTAGATGATATTTGAGAAAATGATCCAACACTAGAATTAACTACTGTTTGATGAATTGGTGATAATGGTGGTGATGTTGATGAAAGTGAAGCAGGTGGTAATAAAAAAGATGTTGGTTCATATGAAGATGCAGATGGTGAGTAATTATCTTTATTATCTCTATCTTTATTATCTTTATTGCCCCCATTTTGATGAGATGATGATTTTCCATGGTTTTGAGGTGATGATTTGCTTGAGTGATGTGAATGTGAGTGCGACCTTTCTCTATCCACGCGTAAATCAGTTCTTTCTTTAGGATTGTCTACCCATGGATTGTACATTTTTATATATTAAATCTATAAATATTACAATTATTTACTTTATATAATAAAAAATAAAACTATTTATTTAATTAATATAAAATTCTTTAAATAATTTTTATAATAAATATGTTATACTATAAAATTACTTTTTTTTTTTTTTTTTTAATTAAAAAAAAAAAAATACTATACAAAATTTGTGCTTTTTTTTTTTTTTTTGTGCACACAAAATATTTAATTTTATTATGTTATTAGGTGTGTATGTGTGTGTGTATGTGTTTGTGTGTATATGTGTGTGAAATGTAAGATTTGTTGTTATTTAAATGTTTAAAGGATTGGTTATTTTATTTTTGAAAAAAAAAATTTTTTAATTTAATTAATAAAACTAAATTTATTTATAAATAAAATTTATATTTATATTTATATAAATAAATATTGTTTAAGTGTTTGTTTTATTGTAATTATACATATGGACATGTAATCAAAAAATTAAATATAAAAAAAAAAAAAAAAAAAGAAAAGATGAAGTAATAATATTAAATCTATATATTTAATATATATAATAAACACTTAATATAAAAAAATAAAAAATTTTAAAAAAAATTTAAAAATAAATATAAAAAAAAAAAATCAAAAAAAAATATTTTTTTTTTTAAAATTTTTTTTTTTTTTTTTTTAATTTTTTTTCAAAAAAAAAAAAACAATAAAATAGAATAAATAAAGTTATATTACCTCTTTATAACTCTTGGGTAATTTATTTTTTTATTTCCTATTTTGTGAATTTTAAACTTTGAAAAGATTTAAAAAAAAAGGAATATATATTTGTATAATAAAAATAAAGAAAAATAGTAAAAAAAAAAAAAAACAGATTTTTTTTTGAACTTTTTTTTTTTGGTTTATTTAGGGTTTATTTGAAAAATATTTGGAAAAAATGGGGGAAAATAAATTTATTGTAACCAATTTATAAATTAACAATAAATTTATTTGAAGTTTTGTGGGTTATATATTTTCCTTTTGAGTAAGAAAAGAATCTGGCTTCATATTCACCATTTATGAGAGGAGCCCTGAAAGATAATTCACCAGAACCAGTACCATTTGTATATTTGGAGTTGATATAGTTTTTATTTTGTGTTTCGCCAACTGAGAATATACCAACCCAATCAGATGATGATGGTGGAACAGTGTTTACAACATAGTCAACTTTGAATTCTTGATCTGGTGAGAAAACAAGATTGCCATTGCATGGAGCTTGAGTATCTTGAGTGATTTGAATACTATCATTATCCTCAATAGTGAAAGAAAGAATGGCTTGCTCGTTGTATTTGGTTGGGTATAAGAAATAACGAATTTCATAGGCACCTGGAATTCTTGGGGATTTAAAAGTTGATGCGCCATTGGCGCTGGCATAAACTGAATCAATATATTTTTTATTTCTAAAACCTAAACTGTAAATACCAATCCAATCCCTTGAATTTATTCCTTCAAGACCACCACCTACTGAATATGTGATGTCGATTTGGTCGCCAAGAACATGGGCTTTAATATGAACAGTTGGACCAATTTGAACTGATTGTGAAGTGTGAATAAGGGTGTATTTGTCTTTAAAAATACGGGCTTCATAATGACCCGGAATAATATTTGGGAATGAGACTAAACCTTCTTTGCCAGTGATGTGTCTGAAAGATTGATAACGATCATGTTTTGGTTGATGTGTTGGGAAAATACCAATCCAATAAACAGAATTTTCTTCATATTTATTTTCTAAATTCCAATTTACAGAGATGCAATCGGGTGAGTTTTCTTCAATACCGGCAACTAAAAGAACTTGATTTGAAACAATGATAGTGTGAATTTCTGAATGTTTCTTTTTTAACTCTTCTTCTAATTGAACGATTCTTGGTCTTTGAACTTTTTCGAGTTCTGTAATTTGATGTTCTAAATCTAAAATTTGATTCTTGAGGGCAGTTTCAATTTCTATCTTTTGAATTTCTTCAATTGATTTCTTTTCAAGATTTTGATTGTGTTTGCTTTCCTCTTCGGCCAATTTCTTTTTGAGATTTTCAATTTCTCTTGCATGATTGTCCATTAATTCTTTATTTTGATTTTGTGACTCCAATTCTTTTTGTTTAAAGAGTTCAATTAGTTTTTGACTTTCAAGGATTTCCTTCTTTTGATTTTCAATTAAATGTAAGCTTTCAAGCTCTTTTTGTTTGAGGATTTCGGTATGTTCTATAAACATTTGATTTTCAATTGATTTCTTTTCTAATTCACTGAGAATTTGTTTCTTTTGTTGTTCAAGTAAGATCTCTTGCTCTTGTTGTTTTCTAGCTAGTTCTTGTCTTAATTGTTCTTGTTTAACCAACTCTTTTCTTAATGATTCTTGTTTAACCAACTCTTGTCTTAATAGCTCTTGCTTGGATAGTTCATGTTTCAAAGCTTCTTGTTTGGCAATTTCTTGTCTTAAAGCTTTTTGTTGTTCTAATTCTTTTATTTCGATCTCTTTTCTTAAATAATTTTCTTTAGCAATGATCTCTTGTCTTCTTAAATCTTCTTGTTGCACTACTGCCTCTCTTATCTTTGATTCTTCTTCCAATTTCTTTCTCATTGCAAGTTCTTGTGCTTTCTTCTGTGCCTCAACCAATAGTCTCTTTCTTTCATATTCACTAGCAAGACGCTTTTCATTTTCGATTTTTTTTAAAGCTTCTTCTTCTAACTTCTTTTTCTTTAATTGCTCATATTGTTGAAGTGCTTTCTTTTCTTGTTCTTGTTCTGGATCAATTGTCATCTCTTTGATGTGTTCAATTGTACGATCAATGGATTTGTTACTGGCTTGGTAAATGTTAAAAATGGTCGATTGGTCTAATGGTTGGTTACCAATGATGCTTGCTAAATCTTTCATTAAAATATTTCTTTCATCGCTTTCAATTGGTGGTTGGATTGGTCTTGTTCCTGGATATGGTGGTGGCTGTTGTCCAGGATATTGTGGTTGTTGTGGTGGTTGTTGTGGTTGTTGTGGTGGTTGAATTTGATGAGTATTTACAACTGTTGGTTTGGTTGGTGGTGGTAATGGGATTTCTGACAAATCCAATGCTGTTTGGTCAATAGCATAATTATTCTTTTTTAAAATTTCTAAAATAACCTCTCTGCTGTGACTGAATGCCTCTACTAAAGAATTTATCTTTTCTTCAATATCTAAATCGGTACTATTATTAACATTCGACATTTTTTCTTTTTTTTTTTTTAAAAAATTATAATACACAAAAAAAAATTTTAGGTTAATAAATTATAATACAAAGGATAAAATTTCTTTTTTTTTTGGGAAAATGTACAGTAGAAAAAAAAAAAATTAATAAAACAAAAATTATTTGATTAAATATCGTCAATAAAAAAGTTTTTAATGTGTAATAAAAAAAATAAAAAAATAAAAAAAATAAAAATAAATTAAGAAAAAATAAAAAATAAAAAATAAAAAAAAAAAATAAAAAATAAATATTTATTTTAGAAAGTTTGAAAAAAAAAAGAAAATTAATATTAAAAAAATAAAAAATTTGTTTTTTTGAGTTAATAATAAACTTAATTTTATTATAAAAAATTTACAATAAAAAAAATAATTGTTTTTTGTGTGTGTATAATATTATTTTTAAAATCTATAAGAAATATTTTTTTTTAATAATTAATAGTATTTTTTTTGTTTTATTATTTTATTTATTTATTTATTTATTTTATTATATAAAGTTTATTTTTTATTAATAAAAAAAAAACAAAAAATAAAATAATGCATGATAAATATTTACAATTTAGTATTACTTTATAGTATTATTTAAAATAATATAAGTATAAATATATATAAATTTGATATCAAATAGAATCTGTATTTATATATAATAATTTATAAATAAATATATAATGTGAAACAAATTATTTATAAATGTGTGTGGGAAAAAAAATTTCAAAAAAAAATAAAAAATTTTAAAAAAAAAAAAAGAAAAAAAAAAAAATTAAATTAAAATTAAATTAAATTAAATACTAAATCGGAATAAGTTTGTTTTTTTATGTATACTTAAAGACTAAAAATAATAAAAAAATAATAAAAAAATAATAAAAAAATAAAAAAAATTTAAAGTTCCTTTTTTAATTTAATAAAGTCCAATTTAAGTTTTTTATTAAATTTTTAAGTTGACCTAAAATTTTATGTTTATTTTTTATTTGAAATGAATTGATTTTCAATAAATTGTAGTACAACCAACCCTAATCATTTAAAAAAAATGATTTATTTAAATCAAACCAAATTTTTTACAAATTTTTCTGACATATGGAATGTTAATTAAAACTAATGAGTCGTCAAAACTTGTGGCATTTGATTGAATATTATTATTTCTATTTGTTTTTTTAATTGGTTTTATATTTGTTGATTTTTTATAGTTGTTAAACTTTTCAATGAATTGTTTATCTGAATCTGATTGAATTATAAATCTATATCTTTCATACTTTTCAATTGCATTTGATGAAGCAACTCTTGATGAATCTTTCATCATTACACCCTTGCTACGTAAGGCATAGGTTGCACGATATATAGACTCCTCCATATTTAAAAATGGATTTTGTAAACGTATTTCTTCGACCTCTCTTATTACTTGGTGACTAACCGATTCTAAAAACAAAGCATCTTGAGCTGATCCAACTATAAAATCTGATAAATATTCTGAAGATTGTAATTCGACACATGCACCTTCAGAGATATCTGCAATTGCACATAAAAAGTCACTTGATGAATGGGTAGGTCTGCATGATACTGTATAAAATGTAACACCCATTTTAACAATTTTTCTAACCAATTCTATACAATCATGTCCACATGGACAGCCATTAGGGAAATTGTCTATTGCTTCATCAAAGCCATGGGCAGGTGCATCTGCAATAAAAATACAAACTTTGGTGCTATTCCTTCTAAAGTTAAGTTTAGATACCTGATATAGACCATCTGCAACTGCCTCTGCATTATCATCCCCACCATCTACATTTAAACTTTCAATCTTTGATTTAATTTCGTCCAAATCGGATGTAAAGTCCACTTGAACAGTTGGAGACTCATCAGTTTGTAAATAGACTTGGTGGTGATCATTATAGAATACATTAGCAACCCTTACATTGACCTTTGATTCCTTTATTCTATCAACAATTTGACCTAACTTTGTTTTTACCTGGGTAAGCTCAGATCCCATACTACCAGTAACATCACATAAGATAACCAAATCCAAATATTGATTGTTATGACGTGACATAAACTTGGTCCATATATTTGAATTAAATGTACACTTTCTCCATAGTTTACAAACCATTGAGCAAGCTACTAATGATTTGCTGTCTTCTAAATAGCTAAATAAAATTGATAACTCTAAGCTATTTAAAACTAATTCTCTCTTTCCACCATTTTTCTTTTTAATTATTTGGTCTTTTTCATTGTTTTTACTATTTTGTTCTATAATAAGATCTTTGCTTAATGGGTTTGATTTTTCTAAATTATGGTTTAAATTTGAATAGATTTGTTTAATTTTATCTTGACATTTAGAAATAGAGAAGGTTTCTAATAAATCGGCAATATGATTATATACATTGGTAAATTTGAACTGTTTAGAATATTCGCATAGCTCTTCAATAATTTCACTAATGGCCAACTTATAAAATGCATCACCCTTGTTATTTTGTTTAAGTATTTTATTGATATCCATTTCATATAGTACTGATGGTCCATTTGGGTCCATTAAGTAATTTGTTATATATTTTAATGTTAATAAATAATTTTCTATTGTGTATGAACTAAAGAAAAGATTGCTTGAGGTTGAATTTAAATGTTGTTTGAAGAGTGGAATACCAAAAATCTCGTGAATAAAATTAAGGCTTTTTACTTGATATTTAAATTCTGGTGATTCACATGATAGGGTTGTTATCATATCATCAACTTTAGTGACATCTGGTCTTCTCTTGTCCAATCTAAACTGAAGAGGAGTGATACCATAATCTTTAGTTAAAACACTGTACATATTTCCTTCTTGGTTGTTATCCAAAAATGATACCAATACTAATTTGCAATCTGATGCAACTTCATTAATATATTTTTTGAACAACTGAGCAAATGAGTAACCATTATAGTTGCAATTTTCTTCCTCATCTGAAACTACTACCAAATATTCTAATTTCTCTTTCTTTTCATAGAATGGCCACAAACCAGCTGCTGGACTGGTGGAGCCAGAACCCTTAATTAAATCGGATACTTTAAAAACTTCAGAAATATTGTTTACATTGAGTGGTGCAAAAATTGGAGAGTGATTAAAGAATTTTAATGTTGAATCTGGTGTCAAATAACTGATAAGTGAAGCTATAATGGTTGCTAATCTTATACTTAAAAACATTGAGTTTGAACAATCACCTATAGTTCCCAATGGAGGTGATAGTGTAATCTTTGATGCTAATGTTTTGAGACTATTTGATACTATTGGTAAAATATCTTTAAAAACTGGAATACCGTTCTGTTGAAGAAACATGGCTTTCTCTAACAAAACACCATATGATTGAGATAGTGTCTCTTTTTGGAGTCTCTCTGAGAGTAACGTGTCAACATCATATGAGCATAGTTCGTGGTAAAACCAAAGAACACTATTTAGCTCTTCATACTGGGCAATGATTAGCTTCAAATGGTCTGGAATTTTCGATGGTGAGATTCTTTTTCTAATATATGAATATGATGGTTTAAACTTCTTAACCAATTCTACAAAGTCATTCATTAAAACTTCATCTGCTAAAAGCTCTTCTTCTGTTGAGTTAAAATTTGAAAATACATTGATTACTGAACCCTGAGGAGATTTGCCATTAAACATCACTGGCAAAAACCAGCTACCTTGAAAATCATTTGGTGATAAATGTAAAAGATCTGCCATTTCTCTCCATATTTCTTTTGGTTGGCCCAATGCAAAAAACTCTAAAGTTTTTTCTGGGAAAGTATGAATCCACTGTTTAAACATTTTAACTAAATTACCGCTTAAAGAACCAACATATTCATACTTTTCTAAATTTTCTATTTCTTGTTTCATTTTTTTAATACTTGAATCGAACCTTAATTGAATTAATTTTTCATTTACTTTTTTTTTCTTTTTATTTTTATCATTTTTACTATTATTATTTTTATTATTTTTATTATTTTTATTTACTCTATTTCTCTTTGGTTTATATTTTATTTTATAGTTGTTGTTATTGTTATTAGTGTTATTATTATTGTTATTATTATTGTTATTGTTATTGTTATTGTTATTGTTATTGTTATTGTTATTGTTATTGTTATTGTTATTGTTATCATTTATTAATTTACTTTCTAAATATAATTTTGATTGCTCTTCCAATCTTTCTTTTCTTTTTTGGTGTGATAATAAAGCATTTTCCACTTTTAATTTTAACTGTTTAATTCTCCTTGGTGAATCTATAATTTTAATTGCCTTTGCAACTTCTTTGAATGTATAGCTTTTATTGTATAAAATTAATTTTGCAAAATCATAATTCTTTGACATAATCGAACCACACAATACGTTTATTTTTACTTTTGATTGTAAATCTAGATAATAATGATTTAAATAATTTGGATTTGTGTATTTTTTATTAAAATGAAATTTTTTAAAAAATTAGTATATTTTTTATAAATATGAAATGTTTATTTAAAAAATCATAAAACAAAAAAGAAAACAAAAATAAAAACAATAGCAAAAAATATTAAATTCATACCAACTGAATTTAATAAAACAGAATAGATTGAAACAAAATTAGATTTATTTTCACTGTTCATCTCACTATTAACATCTGGAATTGAAATTTGGTCTAAAATAGTTGATTTGATCTTTGATAAAGTTGAAGTTTTCGATTCGGTGTATTCTTTATCTTTAATTTCTTGATTAATTTCATGCTTTGAGATATAAACACATCTATCAATAGCATTAATGGACTCTAAGAGATACTTGACACCTTCTTCTTTGTTCATCTTTGAAAATTCTTTTTGAACTTTGGTAAAGATTTCTTCGGCTGGTTCTGATTTAATATCCTTTGCAATCTTGATAAGACGATTTAAGGTATTCTTGATGATTAATAATTGCAATGAGTCAGTTGATTTGGTTTCTTGATATTTGAGACAAAGAGCTTTTAAGTTTTCGATGCCCAATTCGAGATTAAGGCTGGTGGTCATAAGACGGTTCTTCTTTTGAGTGATCATTTCAAAGGTCTTTTTATCCCCAACTGTATTCATAATATTTACAAAAAGATCGAGTTGGTCTTTAAATAATTCTGATTCACATGCCAAATTTGAAAGCATTAAATCGATCTTTGTGACATCTGGACTTGAATTATCTAAAATCATTTGAATTGGTTCAACGCCAACGTTTCTTAATGCAGTGACCATTTGACCTTTAGCATGGAGTCTAAGGAAAGAAATGAAGACTACCTTGGCATCTTTATTAACTTCATTACGATATTTTACGAAAAGATCGGCAAAAGAACCATGTCTATAACTATTTTCTTCCTCATCGGTAACAACAATAATATAATTTTTCTTGATCTTTTCGTTTAATAACTTGGACATTGATGCACCTGGATCTGTACCGCCACTAGCTCTAATGACATTTTTTGATTCGAATAAAGTCTCTAGAGAATCGGTTTTGAATGGAGATGGAGTATCTGCGGAATCAAAGAATGACAATGTTGAATCTGGGGTTAAATTTGAAATGATGAAACTAATAATTAATGAAAGACGAATGGCTGTATCCATACTACCAGATTTGTCACATAATGTGGCGATTGGTGGTGGCAATGAAAAACGCTCTTTAATTTGTGCCATTTTATTGACAATAGCTTCGAATAAAGCCTTGAACAAAGCATCTTCTTTTTTTAATGGCATAGCTTTTTCGAGCAAAATACCAACTGAAACCTCTGAAATACTTTCACCAGAATTTAAACGTTTAACAATCAATTCGATTATTTTTGGACATTCTTTAAATTCGTGTAACCACCATACCAAAGCAGGTAACTCTTCGTAATTTGCAATGGTTAATTTAACATCTTCATCGAGCAATACGCTTGGAAGGTTCTTTCTTAAGAAAGCATAGGATGGTTTATATTTGTTTATAATTAATAGAGCTTTATCTTTTGTAAATTCTTCTGGTTTCTTTAATTCTTTTTCAAACTCGTAGACATATGTGCCCTCTGGTGCTGGTCTTCCAAACATAACACTTAAGAACCATGGAAGGTCAGAGCAAAGATCTTTTGGTCCCAAATGTAGAAGGTCAGCAATTTCTTTCCATGTCTTCTTTGGTTGGCCCAATGCAAAGTATTCTAAAGTATTTTTGCTAACAGTTTTGAACCATGATTTAAAAATTTTTACAACATTACCAGACAATGTGGATTCATAGCCATAGCCAACCAACTCTCTAATTTTAGCCTCAGTTGATTTAAGTGAATTTTGGTAACGTTTTTCAAAAAGCTCTTCTCTTATTTTTTTCTTTTTTAATTTTTCTTGAGGAGACTCTGAAACTTTTGATTTTTCTTTTTCTTCTTTTTCTTCTTTTTCTTCTTTCTTTTCTTCAGATTTTGGCTCTTCAACTGCCACGGCAGCTCTTGAAGGTCTAGCACCTCTTGTAGATCTAGCACCTCTTACAGATCTGGAACCTCTTGTGGGTCTGGCACCTCTTACAGATCTGGAACCTCTCGATACAACTTTCTTTTCTTCCTCTTTCTTTTCTTCTTCCTCTTTCTTTTTTTCTTCTTCTTTCTTTTTCTGTTCTTCTTCAAAACCACCATTTTCAATCTTCTTTAATAACTCTTCAGCTTCTTGATCATTAATTTCAAGATTTTTTAATTTTTCCATGATTTTATTTCTATGGTATTCGTCTGATATGGTTTTTATGGTAGCAATACGGGTGTCATGCTTTTCTTTAATGATCTTTAATTTTTCATTTAAAATTCTAATATTTCTCTTTGAGTCCATAATCTTTAAACATTTCAAAATTTCAACAAAAGTGAATTTGTTAGTATCTAACAAAGATTTTGATAAACTGTATAGTTTTTTATCAAAAGTAGATACTAAAAAGTTAGCCTTGGTATTTGGATGTAAATCTAAATAAAATTTGAAAAAAAAAAATTAATAAAAAATTAAATTAAATTTTATTAGATTAAATTAAAAATAATAATTACCTATGGTGTGTAATAATACAAAAAATAATACAATATATTCATCTTTATAAGATGATTCTAAAATTAATTTGGATAATTGAATTGATAATTTTGAATTCGTTATTAATAATCTAATATCATCGATATTATTTATTGAATTCATATCAACAACTTCCAAAGCTTCTTCATTTATTCTTTGATTCATTTTTTATTTTATTATTTATTTATTTTATTATCTTTTTATCTATTATTTTATTATTATTATATTATTATAAACATTAAGTATAAAAATAAAAATAAAAATTAATTTCTATAAAAAAAGAAAATTATTCTGGCTTTAAGAAAAAATTATTAAAAAATTTTGATTTTTTTAATAAAAATTTCTCAAAACCAAAAAAACTAAATTAAAAAAAAAAAGAGAAAAAAGGGTTAAAGGTGTGTCATTTCTCGCAAAATTATCATTTTGTGTATGGGTTGTGTGTGGTTGTGAAATTTTTGTTATACCTATAAGTATATTTATTTTATTAATTTTTTATCTAAATTATTATTTTGTATCTTTTTGATCTACTTTTGGTTGTTCATTGGAATCTGTTGATGGGGCTTTCATAATTATATATAAAAATAAAATCACTATAATCGTAAACATTACTAAATAAATTGGTTTTGTTTCTTTAATTTTACTATAAAAAGAAAATAATAATAATTAATATTCAATCCATATATTTATTTGTTGAATCCATTTAATTGATTGGTTATGATTGATTGATGTTTTTTTAATAAACTTACGTTATAATTTTTGAAATTGGATTAACTTGTTTTTTATTATATTTATCATAGTCATCATAAATTTGATTGATATTATTATTATTATTATTTATATTTTGGTGATTTAATTGAATTACAGTATCTTCATGCTTTCGGCTTGCCAAGCCATAAGGATTAGTATTTAAATGTGAGAGAGGTGGTGTCTCCTCTAAAAGACTTGGGTTGATTAAACTATTTGAGCCAACACCGCTGGCGCTGCCACTATAAAAATCATTGGTTGAGGATGGTGGTGATGCATTATTTCCGCTGCTACTATGATGATGATATGTTAATGTGGAGTTATAATTTGATGTTGTGCCACTACCATTTAAGCTTGTATTGGTTTGTTGCTGTTGTTGTTGTAATTGCTGTTGCTGTTGTTCTTTTTTTAGTCTTAATGGACCCAATACTGGATCTGCCCAACTTGATAGTGAAAATTTATCTCTCATACTCTCTGATAATGCTGAATTGCTATCATTTGTTGGTAATATTGGTTTGGGGCATTTTGGACATGGATATGATGATGGTGGTGTATTGGGTGATAATGTTGCAACATATACATCAATGCATTCTGGATGAAATAAATGATAACATCCCAATCTAACACTATCATTAGTATCATCAGCATCGAATCTACCTTTACAAACCCCACATACTGAATCTTCAAAATCGCAATCTGTTAACCAATCAACATACGATCTAATATAACACTGTAAAAAAATAAAATTACCAATATTATTATTATTAGTACATATAAATATATTAGAATAACACAATATGGATATTTTCAAACTACTTACAATTGGATGATCTGAAACAACGCACGAGTCACATATAAATCTTTTATGATTAAAACAAAAGTCTTCACTTCTTTTCTTACATTTACAAACACCCATTATATATTTATATTCAATACTATTTTTATTTGTTGTTTCCTACTGTACTACTATTATTATTACTGTTATAGATTAATTTATGATATAAAATTTTTTTAAAATTCTAAAAATTTCAATGAGTCACTTTTTTATTTGGGTGGTTTTGCTGATGTTGTAACAAGCAAAAATATTAAAATATAAAATTTTAAAATAGATTTATTTATGATAACAATTTATAATAACAATTTTAATTTAATTTGTAACAAATAGTAATAATTAAAAACAATAAATTTTTAAAAAAAAAATTAAAATTAAAAAAATAAATATTTAAATTAAAAATTAAAAATAAATGAATAAATAATTATATTTTTAAAAATAAAATAATAAATTAAAAAAAAAAAAAAAAAATTAAAAAAAAATTAAAAAAAAAAATTAAAATTTTTTTTTCGTTTTATTTTTTTTTTATTTTTTTTTACTTTTTAAATAAATTTTCGTATTTCATTTAAAAATCAAATCAGATATATAAAAAAATGGCAGATCAAAATAAAAAAAAGAGAGCTATTAAACCATATCACAGAATTAAAGCTCATGCTAACCCAGCATCAGATTATAGTTTTTATTAGTATGTTATTAGAAAATTAATAAATTTATAAATTTAGCAAAACGATTCTGTAATTCTAACCAATTATTTATTTATTTTCAACTATCATTTACAACTATCATTATCATTATCAAATTATTATTATTATTATTATTATTATTAAAATAGTCCAATTTCACCAGATCAATATGATTGGAAAAAGAATTATCCAAATCAACCAATGGATACTAAAAAAGTCGAAATTGCAGATGTCGGTTGTGGATATGGTGGTTTATTAATTTCATTATCATCATTATTTCCAGATAGATTAAGCGTTGGTATGGAATTAAGAGATAAAGTAGTACAATATGTAGAAGAGCGTATTGACAAATTACGTGAAAAAACTCCAGGAGAATTTCAAAATGTTAGTGTTATTAGAACTAATGGTATGAAATACCTTCCAAATTATTTCGAAAAAGGACAATTACAAAAAATCTTTTTCCTTTTCCCAGATCCACATTTCAAAAAAGCAAATCACAAACGTCGTATCATTTCACCAACCCTTCTCTCCGAATACGCTTATATTTTAGCACCAGGCGCTTTTGCATACTTTATTTCTGACGTCGAAGAACTCTTCCAATGGATGTACGAACATTTTAAAAACCACCCACTTTTTGAACAAGTAGAAAGAGAAGTCGCTGAAAACGACTCTTGTGTACCATTAATTATAAATTCAACTGAAGAAGCTCGTAAAGTTAATCGTATCGATGGTAAAAAATGGTATGCAGTCTTTAGACGTATTGAAGATCCAGCCAAAAAAGATCATTCATTTAAAAACTATATTTTAACTTCACCACCAGAATAAACATCTGGATCAACAACTCCAACCGCCACAGAACCAAAATAAAATAATTAATAGTAATAAAAAAAATAAAAAAAAAAAAAAAGTATTTTTTTTTTTTTTGTAAATAAAATAAAAAAGATAAACTAAAGTGTAATAGTATACTTATACACATTTATAAATTAAAAAAAAAAAAAAAGAAAAAGGGTGTTTTTTATATTTTAGTTTTTATAAAAATCTATTTTTATAATTTTATTGTTTTTTATTTATTACCTAAAGCTTCCAATTTAAAAGCTTTTTCTCGAAGTTTTTTTGATTTTTTATTTGATTTTAATTTGAGTAAGTGATTATATACAGTGATTTGGTAACGAACAAAGTCATGAATGATAAATATAGATGCACCAAATTGAATCATATCTGGATACAATTCATATACTATTTTTCTTTCTAATAGGTTTAATCTAATTTGATGGACAACATCTATAAGGTTTTGAATTCTATCGTTTAAGTCATTTGCTTCGATATCATGTGGGAGTGGTTTATCTGCTAGAATGGCATTATAATTATCATCTACTTTTTTCAAGTCTGTAATAATTTGATTTATTGAGGTGTAAGCGTTAACCATTTCATCCAAAACTGTGTCACTTAATTTTTTACTTAAAATTGTTTCTGCCATTACTAATCTAGTATTTGAGTTACTTAAGTGTCCATACATTTTAAAGAAATACTTGAAACGATGAGGTTTAAAGAATAGTTCTGATTTGACATCTACAAGAGCCGCAAAAAACTGACCATTGGTAACACGGATACCTCTTAAAGTTGCTACCATCTCTGCCTTGTATTGCTCTGGTGTTACTTTTGGTGGTTCGATTGCAACGTTTGAACTATTTTTAATATTATTGCTGTTGCTACTAGTAAGAGTATTGTTGTGAATTGGTTTTTGTAATGAGACATCAGCATTATTATTATTGGGTTGTGGTTCTGGAGGTGGTGAGACTGGTTGTGGTTGTGAGGAATTCAAAATTGGTGATTTATCTTCTAAAGCAACCTCATTTGATGACTTTGGTGAGTCATGTATAACCAATCCCTCCATATCCACTGAATTGTTATCATTTTCTTGGTGCTGTGATAATCTGAAACTACTGTTTTCTAAAATTTTAATAAAGGTATTTGTAATATTACTTGCATTCTTAAAAGCTCTTTCGATGTTTGATTTATATGTAAAAAATGGGAAAATTACCAAAGAAAGAACCAACACCCAAACAATGCCCATTGTAATGAATAGACATCTCATTACAGCGTACATAACAGTATAGTCATGTGAAAGATATTGACCATAAGAAACCATAATAAAAGTCAAACCAGAGACTGAGCCAGCATAGGAGTATCTTGGGTCTTGTTGAATATGAGAAATGGCAAAGATCCAAAAGAAAGTGAAAATAAAAAGCAAAACCTCACGACCCTCGTTGTGAACAACACTGGTGAGCCATGAAACAAGGAAACCCAAGAAACCACCACCGATTGTTCCAATCATACGATGAATAGATCTTGTTGAAGTGGCACCTAGTGATGGCGAAAAAACAATAACTGTAGTGATACAGGTCCACATACCATGTACCTCTAACTCGTGATATCTTTTTCCATCGAAATAGTGGAATATAATGATAGTAGATGTAAAGCCGATAGCAACCTGTAATGGAAACACCCATCTTTTATTTGCAAAAAATGTAGCCCAGAACCAATTCAATGTGAATTTCCAGAACCTTTTCCATGCAGAGTAGGGTACCATACTTTCATCAACAAAACAAGAGGCCTTGTTTTGCTTCCACTTTTGTCTCTCTTCTTTTTCCTTTTGAATAATATTCTTTACCTTGATCACTCTTTTATAAATATGTAATGGAAAACTTGTGATGATAAACCAAACACCATATCTAAGTAGCTCTACAATTATTGGCTCGTAACGTTGTAATTTCTTTACTTTTAATACAATATCAGAGATTCTTTTTTGACTAGAAGCAAATGAAAAAATTCCAATTAAAAAGAAATGAACTTTGGAAATCTCTGATTCGTGGAACATGAGATTGTCACCTCTTTGGTATTCTTTAACACAACTTTTGTAAAATATTTTTGAGCTATTGATTAATTCTTGAGTTTCTTCGAATGACATCTCTAAAACTTTTCTTTTATAATGAATTGAGTTGATATCTACATCTTTACCTATGATGGTTTTACTAGTTACCTCACCTGCTTTTTCATAGTCATATTTCTCGGGACTTTTTAAAATATCTATAAATAAACAATTTTGTAAATGAACCTCTTCTATAATTGAGTCAATAAATGGAATCATTGGTAAAATCATTTCTTGACGAGTTTTGATTTCGAAACCCTCATCTATTGACTGTTTAATAGTAATTAATTGCTTTTGTGACATCTCCAACAATGCTAATAATTGTTCGTACTGTGCTATTAATGGAGCATTCCAACGCTCCATTCTGGACTCTGCTAAAATGATTGATAATCTAAAAATTTGATCATTTAATTTACCCTCCATTTTTAATAAATCTTCTTTAGATGGAATTTTGATAGCTGATGTTACAATTGGGGTTTGTTTATTATGGCTAGTGTTATGAGAATGTGGTATATTATTATTACTATTAATATTATTATCGTTATTATTATTAATATTATTATTGCTGTTGCTGTTATTTTTGTTATTGACATAACCATTTGCACCTTCTTGTTCAACAATTACATTTTCGTTACCAGTGGCAATGCTTTCTAAATTAATATCATCATTACCATTTTGATTTTCTAAACTAATGTGATCATCGACTTTACCGCCATCGGCACCAGACATATATTCAGGTGAATAAATTGGGTGCATAAATGACTTGGGTCTTTTCTTTTGTGGAGTTGTTGGTGAAATTTTACCTATTGACATTTCCATATCCAATTTAGCCTCCATTTGATACCCAACAGCTCTAAAAAAGTTTTTGGTTCTATCGAATGTTTTGATTACTTTCTTTAGGAACAATCTTGATGCCAACCATGGGAATAAAAACATACCACAGAAAATTAATACACAAAATACTAAGCAGAATAATACTAAAAATTGCCAAATCATTTCATATGGACTCAAACCTTGATTAAAATAAACACAGCAAATAAGATTGATAAGCATCATTTTGGCGGCAAATAAGTTGATCCATCTTCTACCCGGTATTAAAGAGTACAAAATAAATGTAAAAAAGAAATTAAAAATATAACTGACCCAAAGATATGATGCATCAACGATCTTTTGAAGAATAAATGTATATAATGCTGCTATGCCCAAACCCCACACTACCACACTACCACTCAATAATGCTGCCAAAGAAGATATATTGAATGCCATCATAACATAAACCACCGGTACCAAAATTAATAAATTGACATTTATTGACCCAATCTTTACAAACAATACAAATCCTGACATTAACATACATCCTATTGCTTCCTTTAATGCTACTTTTTGTTTTAACCCAAAAAACCTTCTCCTTCTTTTATTCTTTTCTTTATAAATATGAACCCCTAAACTATAATTATGTTTTTCGTTATTCATTCTTTAAACTATTATTACTACTATAAATATAACTTTATTACTATTATAAACTTTATTTTATTGCTATTATTTTTATTTAGCAAAACTATTGTTTTGTTAATTATTTTTTTAAAAAAAAAAAAATAAAAATCTGTGTAAAAAAAAAACAAATATTAATATATATGCATAATATTATTTATTACTATTATTAAAAGTAAATAATGAAATTTAAAAAAAAAAATCAAAAAAAGTGAAATCTAACAATAGATCTTTTTAAAATAATTTGAAATAAAATAAAAAATAAAAAAATTATTTATATTTTTTATTTTTTATATTTTTAATTTTTTTTTTATAAAATATTATTATTACTATATTATTTTGAACTATTATAAAATATTATTTATTTATAATTTATAAAATAAACAAAAATTTTTTCCTCTCTTTTCTTTATTTTTTTTTTTTTTTGTTTTTTTATTGGTATTAATTTTATCTCCCTATTAAGACAATATTCTGTGTTGTGTGTTTTTACCTTATTAATTATATTTTTTATTTTTTTTATTTTTTTTATTTATTTTTTTTTGTTCTTTTTAGATTTACGTGCTTCTTTCGAATTTGTATTATATTTAAATTTTGTATTTTTGGTACTATTTTATTTTCTATAATGTTATTATTATTAAAAATATTTGCACAATGATCTACAATTTTAAAACATACATAAATTTAACAAATAAATATGGGATGAAGAACAATTAGAAAATAAAATGAAACAAAAAAAAAAAAAAAATACTACAACAAAACAATTCAGTAAAAATAAAAAAAAAGATATAGAACGGAGTGAATTTTTTCTTTGATTTGTTTTTTTTTTTTTTTTTTTGTTTGTTTTAAAAATAATAATAAATAATAAAAAAAAAAATAAAAAAAAAAAAAAATAAAAGAAAAAAAAAAACATGGTGTAATAGATACTTTTTATAGATGACAGGTTCTTTTGGACATTTTGTTGTTTTTTCATTATTAAAAAAAAATATGTGTGAAAAAAAAGGAGCGCATTTACACACCATTATATAGTTATATTGAAAAAAAAAAAATTAATAGATTTAAACTAAAAATGGACATCACGTGAAAATGTCATTATATAAAAATAAATCAAAAAAACCAAAAAAAATTTTTTAAAAAAAAAATAAAAAATAAAATAAAAAAAAAAATAAAAAAAATAGTTTACCTCTTTTATATACATCAATTTACCTACTTTACTTATTTATAACCTATTTTAATGAATAAATAAATATTATTAGTTCTATTTCTGTTGAATTATTTAAACATTTAAAAATATATTGTTGTTTTAAAATAATTCTTTATAGAAAACAATATTGTATTATTTTATTTTTTTTATGAATAAAATTATTGTTTTAGATAGATATAAATATCAAATTGATATTTATAATAAATGATTTCTAGAAAGGAATAATATACGTTTAAAGGTATAAAACAAATTAATTTTACTTTGAAAAAATACAATAAAAAAAATTTTAAATAAAATTAAAAAAATAAATATTTAAATTTAAAAATTAATGAAAAAAAAACGAAAATTTTTTTTTTTTTTAAATTTATTTTTAAATTATTTTTTACTTTATTTCTTTTTTTTTTTCATCAATTAAAGAGAAATTATAGTTTCTTATATATATACAATAAAAAATGGATGATGATGATATGTTTTCAGTTTTCGATACCAAAAAACAACCCAATAAAAATAAAAGAACACGTGAAGTCAAAGAGGAGTCCGATGAAAAAGAGTATATATACAAAACAATAAATAAACAATAAAAATAGATTATAATATTGAGTGCAATAATATAGATAGTAATAATATTGATAGTCAGAATTATAAAAAAAAAAAAAAATAGTTTACTAATATTTTCATATTAACAGAAATGGCAAATGGATAAAACCAGAAGAGGAAAATAAAAATATAGCTAATACTACAACAGCCGCAACAGAAGCAACAAACAATAATTATATACAAACAAACACAAATATTAAACCATTAGGATTAAATCAGAATAAAAATAATGAAAATGTAAATGATAGTTTAAATGCATTTAAAAATTCAGTTGGTGTTAATCAATTTGAATTAGATGAAGAGATTCAAAAGAATAAAAAACAAAAAGGCGGCAACCAACCAGCTATAGCAGATATCAGTTTTGATTCAAAGACTAAAGATTCAACTATAGAGTTACTTAGAGAGAACGTTAAACAAAAAGAAAAAGAAGAAAGTGAAAAAATCGAAGAGGAAGAAAAAAATCAAGTAATTCCACAAAATAGAACAGCAACTGGAGGTTATATTACAGCAGCAGGCACATCTAAATCATGCATTCACGAAGTTTTATTACCACCAGGTGTCACCAATGACGAACCAGAATTATATAACCCACCAGAACCAAAAAATCCAGCACGTCAATATCCATTCAAATTAGATCCTTTCCAAGCAACCTCAGTTGCATGTATAGAGCGTAACGAATCAGTTTTAGTTTCTGCCCATACATCTGCCGGTAAAACAGTAGTTGCCGAATATGCTATTGCTACAGCACTTCGTGGAGGTCAACGTTGTATTTATACCTCACCAATTAAAGCACTCAGTAATCAAAAGTATCGTGATCTTCAAGAAACATTCAATGATGTAGGTTTAATGACTGGTGATATTACAATTAATCCAAATGCTTCATGTTTAGTTATGACCACTGAAATTCTTCGTAGTATGCTCTATCGTGGTTCAGAGACCATGAGAGAAGTTTCTTGGGTCATTTTCGATGAAATTCACTATCTCCGTGATAAAGAAAGAGGTGTAGTTTGGGAAGAAACTATTATTTTATTACCAGACAGTATCAAATTTGTTTTTCTTTCAGCTACAATTCCAAATGCAAGAGAATTCGCCGCTTGGATTGCTAAGATCCACAAGCAACCATGTCATGTTGTTTACACAGAATATCGTCCAATTCCACTTCAACATTATATTTTCCCATCAGGTGGTGATGGTCTTCATTTGGTAGTAGATGAAAATGGTGTATTTAGAGAAGAGAACTTTTTAAAATCATTGTCAAATCTCCAACAAACTGAAGACACTGGTAGAGGTGGTCGTGGTAAAAGACAAAATAGAGGTCCATCAGATTGTTATAAAATCGTTAAAATGATTATGGAAAGAAATTATCAACCAGTTATTGTTTTTAGTTTTAGTAAAAAAGAATGTGAACTTTACGCTCTTCAAATGTCAAAGTTAGATTTCAACAATGAAGAAGAAAAGAATGCAGTCGAAACAATTTTCAATAATGCCATCGATTCATTATCAGAGGAAGATAAAAAATTACCAGCTGTAATTAATATTTTACCATTATTAAAGCGTGGTATCGGTATTCATCATGCTGGTTTATTACCAATTCTCAAGGAAATCATTGAAATTCTCTTCCAATATGGTTATATCAAGGCTTTATTTGCAACCGAAACTTTTTCAATTGGTCTTAATATGCCAGCAAAAACTGTAATTTTCACTTCAGTCAGAAAGTTTGATGGTGAGGGTACTAGATGGGTCACTGGTGGTGAATACATTCAAATGAGTGGTAGAGCAGGTCGTAGAGGTCTTGATGAAAGAGGTATCGTTATTTTAATGGTAGATGAAAAAATGGAGCCAGCTGTTGCTAAAGGTATGGTAAAAGGTCAAGCTGATCGTTTAACATCAAGTTTTTGGATTGGTTATAGTATGCTTTTAAATATGATTAGAGTCGAAGATATCGATCCAGAGCATTTACTCAAACGTTCATTCCATCAATACCAACAAGAAGGTTTTATTCCACAATTGGTTGCAAAATGTGATGATTTAGAAACTCAAAAGAAAGAATTAACAATTCGTGACGAAAGTGTTGTTGTAGAATATGCCTCAATTAAAGGACAATTACAAAAACTTAGCGAAGCCATGCGTGATTTCACAAATCAAGCAACTTATGTTTTACCATTCCTTAATGCTGGTAGATTGGTTCGTATTAGAGATGGTAGTGTAGAATGGGGTTATGGTATCATTTTAAATTATTCAAAGCGTTCAATCAAATCACATGGTATTTCAGATAAATCATTTGAAGTTATTGCTGATGTTTTATTAAATTGTCAAAAAGTTACTTCAGATTCATCAAGCGCACCAAAACCATGCCCACCAGGTGAAATTGGTGAACCACAAGTTATTCCAGTTTCAATTAAATTATTTGATGGTATCACATCCATCTGTTTACATATCAATAAAGATCAAGATCCAAACGAATTTAAACATCATCTTTTAAAGAAGCTCAGAGAAACTGAAAATAGATTCAAGAAAGAGGGTGGATTACCAATGATTGACCCAATCGAAGATATGAAAATTAAAGATCCAAATTTTAAAAAGTTAATTAGAAAGATTGAAACTCTCGAATCTAGATTTGCATCATCTGCAGGCTTCAAGGATAGCGATATTGAAGAGCGTGCTAAACTTTTAGAACAAAAGAATGATATCGATAAAGAAATTAAATCATTAAAGAAGCAAATAAGAGTTGGTGATGAAGTTATTCTCAAGGATGATTTACGTTCAATGAAACGTATTCTCACTCGTTTAGGTTATATTACAGAGGATGGTGTAGTTGCATTAAAGGGCCGTGTTGCATGTGAAATCAGTGCTGGTGACGAATTGGTAATTAGTGAACTTTTATTTATGGGTCTTTTCAATGATTTAACAGTTGAACAATGTGTTGCTGTTTTCAGTTGCTTTGTTTTCCCAAATGAATCAAATAACGATCCAAATAATCCAAAGATTAAACCAGATCTTGTACCATTATTCCGTGCTATCAAAGATACCGCTTCAAAAATTGTTACAGTTTCCCAAGAATGCAAATTAACCTCTATGGACGAAAAAACTTATTTAAATTCATTCAATCCAAACTATATGGATGTTACCTTTTCATGGGCAAGTGGTGCCACTTTTTCAGAGATTGTTAAAATGACCGAAACTTTTGAAGGTAATCTTATTAGAGGTATTCGTCGTTTAGATGAATTAATTAGACAAATGGTAGTTGCCGCCAAAGCTATAGGTAATAACGAATTAGAGGCCAAATTCTCTGAAGCAACTATTAAAATTAAAAGAGATATTCCTTTTGCTGGTTCATTATATTTATAAAAAATTAAAAATAAATAAAAAAAATTTTAAAATTAAAAAAAAAAAACAATATTTATAAATGTTATCTTTTTTTGTTAAATTGGATTTATTTATTAATAAAATATAGGTCGATTAATATTTTTTTTTTCTTTTTTTTTTTTTTAAAATTGGTACTAATGTTGTTTAATATTGGTTGTTGCTTTCACAATTATTAAAGCATCTTTGCCATTGGCTAATACAGGAGTACAAGTTATTTGATGGATTTTGGCTGTATGAATCATAACAGTTGTCAAAGTCGAGGTTACAGTTTGTGTGGCATCCAGAGTTTTGATTTGCAAGTGATAAGCTAATTAATAAAGCTAAAAAGAAAAAGACTAGGTATTTAAAACACATTTTTAATAATAAATTATAAAGATTTTTTTAATGTTAAATGATTATAATTTTAAATTCAAAAAAAATTAACTTTTTATACAAGATTTTTTTTTTAAAATTTTAAAATAAATAAATTTTAATAATAAATTTATAAATTAAAATAATAATTTAATAAAATAAAAACTTACCTTGTTATCCAATAATTGTACCTAATCCTATTTATAATCATTACATGATATATTGAATATTGTTAGTTTTTATTATAATAAAAAAAAATGATGTTTGGAAGGACTACACTATGAGAAACTTTAAAAAAAAAAAAACAAATATTAATTGAAACTACATATATTATTATTGTTATAAACTATTGTCGCTAATCATTTTATTTACTATATTTTAATTAATGGAATGTATATAAATCTATCCTTAAAAAAAAACTATCACATATCATTTCCACAAATGAAATATTTTACAAACACAAAATAAAATAAAAAAAAATCAATTTTCACCCATTTCTAAAATTTGATTTTAAATTTTGTTGGTAAAACAATATAGTTAACCCGTGTTTATTTATTTATTTTTATAAATTATAAAAAATTAAAAATTACATTAAATCTGTAAAAATGAAAAGATTTTTAAATAAAATTTTATTTTGTATTATTTTGATTAATAACCATTTGTTGTATTACAGTAACTATTTCACCAAATAGATGTAATAACAATGATTTGGTATATATAGATGTGAAGTATAACAATTTCTCTTTTTTTTATTTTTTTGTTTTATAATTTATAAAAAAAAAAAAAAACACATAACTCGTTTAATAATAATATCATTAGATAAAAAAACAGTTCCAAAAATAAGATTAATATTTATAAAGTTTTGAAAAAAATAAACAAACAAATAATCTATATAGCTAATATTGATTATATAGATGTTTTAAAGCAATATTAATTCCCATAATTTTAATTAATAGATTTAAGAAAAAAAAGAAAAAGAATTTTAAATTAATCTAAAAATAGAACCCACAAATCTTTAAAATATTAAATTATAATTATCTTTATTAAAATAATAGAAATTTTAAATATTTAAATTTATAAAATAAAAAACGAAAAAAATAATTTTAAAGAAAATAGTAATAAAAATGAGTTGCAAAATTCTTTATTTTTAAGTTTTTTAAATAAATTGTAATATTGCTATTTTATTGATCTATTTTTATTTTTATTTGGTATTATTAATTAATTAAATAAAATGATCATTTAATTGTTATAATAAATTATTGAATAGAAATATCTTTTTTTTTAAAAAAAAATTAAAGTGTTTCTTTTTGATTAATTTTATTTTTTAATTTACTGTTGCTTGAGAAGAATTTTCTTTACAATCCTTTTGAATGTTATTGCTTTGTTGTTGTTGATTTTGACTTTTTAAATTTTGGTAGTTGTCTCTTGATCTTGATGCTGGGATCTCTACATTGTATCCAGGTTCCACAGTGCGAGGTTGAAAAGTTCTTGGATGGCTACATCTTAATAAACAACCATCTAATTCTGTGCCACAAAATCCAAAAGAATAAACTTCTTCATTGGTGATATAGTTGTTATAACATTGAACATAGCCTTTTTGGCATAAAATTTTACATGGTGTATTAAAAATTGATCCGACTGATGTTGATATTAATAAAAACAAAATAATTGTTGAATAAAATAATTGCATTTTTAGGTTGGATAATAAAAAAAATATATAATATATATTTAAACAATATTATTTACATAAAAGGAATTAAAGAAAAACAATAAAAAATAAATAAAAAAGGATTAAATAAAGAAAAAGTGTTGTGGTATTAAAAAACAATAAATATCTACAAATTATTTGCTGTGGTTTGGAAAATATCGGTGGAATATAATAATCTTAAAAAAACAAATAGAATAAAGGTTTGGATCCTTTATAAAAGAATTTATTACAAAATATTAGTTATTAAAATGAATTATTAAAATAAAATAAAAACAACACTCAAATAGTCTTTTAAATAGTAACCTTTACAAAATGTAAAATAAAAAATAAAAAAATATAAAAAAATAAAAATAAAAACCACCGTTACTATAACTATTAAATTTATAAAACTTCAGGAAACAACACCTAAATATTTGGTTTATTTCTTTTTCTATTTCCCTCATTTCTATTTTTGTAGTAGTACCATTTTGTAAAGGCTTTGTTTTATCTTTTTTAACTCTCTCTGTCCAATAGAATCCTAGAGATACACAATAGCTCTAAAAAGGATCTAAATGTTTAGTTTTTAAAAAAAAAATGGTTAAAACCCAATCTTTTGATAATAGATCTCATTTAAAAAACAATTAAATATTTTCCTTTAACCACAGTTGAAATTTTAAAAAGAAATCGTCCCCCTTCCACCAATTTGCGCTGTTTAAATTATGTGAATTGTTTTGGAAATAAAGAGCAAATAAGGGCTTACCCCATAAAAATGGTTTGTAACCCTAATAATATTTATTTCGTTTTATTCAGCATTTGAAAACCTATATTATATTTTTCTTTAAATTTAAATAAACAAAATAAACAATTAAAAAAAAAGATATTAATTAATTATTTAAATTTTAAAAAGAATAAAAAAAGTATAATTACATCATACCCCAATATATTTGTTCATATAATTTTAATAAAAAAAAAATTATAATTTAAAAAAAAAATAATTAATTTTTTTAAAATTTTTTTTTTTTTTTTTTTTTTTTTTTTTCATTTTCATCCAATTAAATTTTTTTTTAAAATTATAATTTCGAACCATACGAATTAAAATTAACCATTTAAATAACAACACTATAGTTAATTATATCTATAGTTAATAGCACATAATAAAAATAATAATAATAATAATAATAATATAACTATTTTAAACTTTTTTATATATATATACAATACAGATTAAAAAATGGCAACACCAAATAGCTCATCAAACAACAATGCTCAATTTAATTTTTTTAAAATGTGTATAAGAAGACCAGTTGTTGTAAAATTAAATAATGGTGTAGAATATAGAGGTATTTTAGAAGTTGTAGATGGTAATATGAACATTGTCATGGAACAAACTGAAGAATATCTTAACGGTCAATTAAAAACTAAATATGGTGATTGTTTTTTAAGAGGAAACAATGGTAACTATTATTTTGATAAACACCATTACTATATTAATTAATTTTTTATACCCATATCAAATAAACATATCTTTGATATTTAATATACAAATGTTATATATTTTTTTTAATATAGTAAATATTTTTAACTTATACATTATACTAACTGTTTTCTATTTATTTTTATTTAGTATTATATATTTCAGCCCAACCAAGAAAATAAATAAATTTAAATAAAAACCTTGTAAAAAGAAAATTTTAATTATAAAATCGATATGTTTTTTTTTTTATAATAATTTCAATTTTATTTATATATTAACTAAATAATAAAATCATTTTTAATATTGTAAATATAAAAATTTATCAATTTAAATTAAAATAAAAATAGATAAGGACAAAATTTAAAAATAGAAATAATGAAAGTGCAATTGTTTTTTTTGTTTTTTTTTTTTTTTTTTTTTATTTAAAAAATAAATTATGATTAAAATAATCTACAAATGTTATTTTAATTTCAAATATCTTTTTGTTTTTTATATATACCATTTTAAACTATACATTAAAAAAAAAAGATAAATTTTTTTTTTTTTTTTTTTTTTTTTTTTGGGGCAAAATAATTAAAAAAATTTTTGGAAATTATTATTTGTTTGGTTGGTGGAGATTTGAACAATATAAATATAATATCCTCCAATACCCCTAAGGGAAGGAAAATAAAAAAATGGATTATCTAGTTGAGAGGCTGGAATTATTATGAAAACTATTTTTAAAAAGTGTGTTGGGTGAAAAGGAAAAAGAAATATTACTACAATAGAAAAAGATGAGAAAGTTTTGTTGAAAATTAATATTACAATTATTTGTAAAATTTAAAAATCAACAACTGGGATTGTAGCAACTTCCATTAATTTAGCGGACATGTATTTCTTTTTGGTGGCTTTAAGATTTGAATTATCAGCTCTCTTTCTGACCTCTTTGAGATCTTGTGCACAAAGGATGATATCAGATTCTTTGTAACAAGTGTAAAATTCGAGTGTAACATTCCAATATGGACCAGATTTCATGGTCATACGACGAGCAACATAAATTGATGCGGCGGCAATCATTGATGGTAAATATTGGACCATTTTATATTCGACCATAGCTAATTCAGAAAGGTATTTGCTTAAAGAATGAGTACGTGAATCAGAGCCAGCAGCCTTGGAGAAACGACGAAGGAAGTGAAGTGGAGTGGTGACACTCATGTGGAATTGAAGGGTAGAGAGAATTTGTCTTTCCATATCAATAACTTCGGCGTGGGTGCAAGCATCATCGGAGGTATGGACGAAATCTTTAATTTGTGGACTGTAGATCTCTTCGTATTTACAGGCTAAAAGAATAGCAGTGATACCAACAAGTTGAAGCTTGGTAACTGGAATGACGACTTTGGAGAGATAACGATCGACGATATTTACAGAGAGGAAGAAAGTTTCTGAGAGTAACTTGAAACGAACGTGAACAGCCATCATCCAATCTACGAGAATAGCACGCATACGATCATTAATATAAAATTGGTTTTTGATATAATCTTTATCAATACGGTCAACAATTTCTTTTTCACGGTAGTATGCGAAAATTTCATTGACGTATTCACCAACACATTGTGGATCGTGGCTATCATAGATATCGATATTTTCTGGGATCTCTTGTTGATCGATTAACATGTTGTCGGAGTTTGTATCGTCATCTGAGGCATCGATAATCTCTGGAATCATTTCGGTTGGCATATCACGTTTAGCAACTTTAACGAGTGGACCATTGGTGGAAATACCATTAATCAATGCACTTGTACGTAAATTGGCACCGTTGCAATCAATTGATGATTTAGATCTAGTAGCGATTCTGGCATTGCTTTGTGGCTTTAAAAAAAATATAAAATTAGTTAATAGTCCATATTCGAAATTTAGTTTATAAAAAAATAGTTACCATAATTATGTTGTTTGAATATTGCATTGAAGTTTTGCCAGTGAGATTAGAAGAGATTGAATTATTGGTAACATCTGTAAGAGCACCTCTTGAAGTTTTGGTACCGGTAATACCGATCTTTTTAGACTCTAACATTGATTTTGGAACTTTGTTTTCATCCATTAACATTGGATTACCACCCATTAAATGAGTGGTATGAGCTCTAGTAATTGGTTTTAGTGGATTAGTGTTATTATTAATTGTTGACATTTTTTTGTTATTTAAAATTATTTCTATTTTTGAACTCTATTAAATTATTATTATTTTATTAATTATATAAATTTATATAAATATATATTGTATACGTATGTTATATATTGGTTTAATGAATTATATTTTTTAAAAAAAGAATAATGGATTTAGAAATATATATTAAATAAAAATATAAAATATACAAAAATGAAGTAAAGAAAGGAAAAAAAAAAAAGAGAAAAAAAAAAAATTATATATTTTTCATAAAAAATGGCAAAAAATAAAAAATTAAAAAAATTAAAAAAAAATAATTTTTATGAAGATCATGGCGGGTGTGTGATTTTTTTAAATTTAAATTTTAGTATGAAACAGAAAAACAGTTAATTATAACAAAAAAAAAAAAAGATAAATAAAAAAAAAGATAATATAAGAGAAAGAAAAAAAGAGTAATTAGTAATCAATATATTTTATTAATATAAAAATAGTAAAAGAAATTGGAAAACCATAAATAAATGATTCTTGTCAACTATAAATTTTTTTTTTTTAGATTATTGAGAATAATATTAAATTTTAACTTACATTTTAAAGAAAAAATAAAAATAAAAAAGAAAAAGAGTTTTTGAATTTAAAATTACAAAGTGATTATATATTTATTAATTATATTTATTGATATCCACTTTTTCTTATTTATTTTTTTTACAACATATAAACTATATAGTTATTAAATTTGAAAATAAAATAAAAAAATTGAAGCTGCTTTTTCCAATTTATAGACTCTCATTTTTTTTTAAAAAAAAATTTTAATTTAAAAAAATTAAAAAAAAATCATCATTTTGATTATAAACTCACCGTTAAAATATTCAAATCCCTCATATTAAATTTAAAAATATTATGAAATTTTAAAAAAAAAAAAAAAACCGTTATATTACAGTTTGTTTATTTAAAAAAAAATAGATTCACCAAACACCAACACCACCCTTTGCTTCATATAATTAATCTTTTGGAAAAAATTAAAAAAAATAAAAAAAAGAAAAGAAAAGAAAAAAAAAGAAAATGAAAAAAAATAAATATTTAAATTACAACAACCACAATTTCTTAATTTTTTAAAGAATTAATTAAAGCGAATATGAATTTACTGGTTTTTTTTCTTAAAAAAGGGGTAAATACGAATTTTATTAATTAAATACTCACAAACAGGTAAAATGAATCATATTATTTTTACCAATTTATTATTTTTATTTTATTTTATTATATTTTATTTTATTTTTTTTTCTAAATTTGAATATTTAACTCATTTAAAATTATTTAATTAAACAATTTAAACTTTTTTGGGGGGAGGGTGTAATGTGATCTAAAAAATGATAAATTCAATAATTTTAAAAAATAATACAAATTGGAAAATAAAATATTAAAATATATACCATATATTATAATATTATATAATTAATAGATATTATTAATTTTATTTTGTTATTTTTTTTTTTTTAAAATTTTTTATTTTTTCTCGATTATTATTTTAATAAAATCATTTATGAATCTAAAAGTTTAAATTCTTTTAAAACATTCCTATCCCAATTTATATTAAAATATTTTTTATTTTTTTTTAAAAAACCCTGATATCAAAGTGAAACTAATTATTTAAAATTGTTATTATAAAATTAAACCCAAATCTAAAATCTATTGCGAATTTAAAATAATAAAAAAAAAAAAAAAAAAATAGTATTTTAAAAATTTGAAAAAGTGGAGGGGCTATTTTTAAAAATTTAATGAAATTAGTGTTAACGACAAAAACAATAAATAAAATTAAAATAAAATATTATAATATAGTATTGTCAATGTCGATTTAAATATTGAAATTAAAAAAATAAAAAAATAAAATTATTACTTAATTTTAGATTAGAAAAAAAAAAAAAAAAGAATAATAGTTTTTTAAAAAATAATTTATTTTATTACTTTTTTTTTTATTTATCTAAAAGTTGAGGATTGAGGATTTAGTTGGACTCTACTAATTGGATTGCCATTGTATCTAGAGTGGGTACCACCGCTACCACTCGAAGGAGTACCACCAACTCCATCATTATGGGTTCTCGTTATGGTTGGGGTGTTGACTCTGGTTGGGGTACTATAGGTTACAGGAGATGGGGTTCTACTTGGGGTTGTACCTCTTCCACTGGCTCCTCTATTAAAACCAGGTGAGAGTTTTTCGATAATATCTTGGTAATATTTTATTTCATTCTTACATTCAAATAGTTGATTTTCTTTTTCGTTGAGTTTAAATTTATATTCGGTTTCACTTGTTTCAAATTGATTTTGTAGTTTTTTGATATTTTCAAGAGATTCATCAAAGGTTTTTTTAAAAATCGAGCTCTTTGATTGGAGTGCATTTTGAAGTTGAGTAATTTTGTTATTTAATTCTTGGTTTTCCGAGGACTGCTGTTTATTTTTTGTTTTATAGCTATCGATCAAAATTTTAAGTTTACCATTTATTTCATGTTGTGAGCTTTCGATTTGGGTGATGTGTCGGTTTTTATTATCTATTTCGTTGAGCAGGTTTCTGTTTGTTTGATTTTGTTCACTAATTTTTTGTAAAAGCTTTTCTTTCTCGCTTGTTGTATTGATTTTAAGTTGTTCAAACTCTTTGTTGATGTCAGTGAGTTCTTTAAGGTGTTCCTTGTTGTTGTTATCTTGATTTTTTAAGGTATCAAATTTTTCCACTAATTGGTCGTAGTCTGAACCAATTTCTTGTATTTGATAGTTCTTTTTGTGTATATCTTGGTTGAGCAAGTTGATTTGGTTTTGTAAACTGCTAATTGTATCTTTTAGTCTTAATTTATCCTCTTCCAAATTCTTTAAACCAAGTTCGTATGCTTCTGATGCTGAACCATTGTGTTGTAATATTAAATTTTCTCTTTCCAATCTTGATTTTTCACTTAATAAATAGTTTTCAGACTCTATAAGTTTCTTTTTCTCTTTTTCCAATCTTATTATGGCTTTTTTTTGTTGATCAATTGTTTTTTCATGGTCAGAGATTTCATCTTTCAATTGATAGATTTCATCTGTAAGTTCATTTAGTTTGTTTTTAATAAAATAGTCATTTTCACTGTTATATGATTGTTGGGTTGGATAGTATGGTTGTTGTTGTTGTTGTTGGATAGTTTGTGGTGATGCCTGTAAATGTGGTTGTGATTGTGGTGGTTGTTGTTGGATAGTTTGATCTTGGAATGATGTTGTTGGAATTTGAGATTGTTGATTTATTGAAAAGGATTTTGGTTTTTGTTTATTCATTTCTTTTAGTGTATCTCTTAAAACTGATATTTCCTCTTCTAGTTTTTGTACATATTGATTGCTAGATCTATTATTTCTAAAAAATAAAATTTAGTATACTAAATATTTCTTTTATTTTAATAAATAGTAAATATATACATACTGTTCATATTGTTGGTTTTGTGTTGGTTGTTGAGCTGTATATTGCTTTGGGTAAAATGGTTGTGATGGTGGTGGTTGTGTTTGTTGATCTGGTTGATGATGATTGTTTATTGTGTGTGATGGTTGTTGTTGTTGATGATAGTTTGAATATTGATGCGATGATTGAGGTAGATTATGATTTTTTGGATTTGGGGTTTTAAGATTGTTTGCTATATCATTTGATTCCCTTTGGAAATCATCTTGGTATTCAATAGTTGCATCCTCATCTAAATAGCTTTGACTTGCAGTAAGCTTTTGTCTTGAAGCTTTATTAGCAGCTGATAATTTATCACTTGCATCAGATGTTACAATGGATGGTATATTAAAATTAACCCTATTTGGTGATTGTGGTACTCTTGATGAGCCTTGGTCATTCTTTTTGGGGATTGGAGTAACTGGTATATTTTGTATATCAATTCCTTGGTGTTGTCTTGTTTGTTGTATTGGATGAGGTCTTTGATTATTGTTACTTTTAAATGTTGTTGTTGGCTGTTGGTTGTTGTGGTGATATTGTGAGGATTGGTGATGGTATTGTTGATTAAAATCTATATTTTCTTGGTCACCATTATTATTTATGTTATTGTATACATTTTGATCATTTAAATTTGATTTATAGCTGCCCCCGCCTCCATATCTATAATTACCTGTATTCATTGGTTCAATGTTATAGTGGTTGTATTGTGCATCATTTTGATATGACATGGTTTATGTTTAAATAAAAAAAAGAAATAAATATATACAAATAATTTTTTTAAAAAAAAATAAAAAGCAATAAGCGAAATAAATTAAAAAATAAAAAAAATAAAAAAAAAAAAAATTTAATTTTAAAAAATTTAAAAAAAAAAATAAAAAATAAAAAAAAAAGAGGGAATTTGGTGTGTTTATATGAACACTAAAAAAATAATATTAAATTTTTATTTTAAACAAAAATTATATCATTATCTATATAAAATGTCAATCTATATTTACAAATAGAAAAAGAGGAATATTTAGTTTTGTTTTGTTTTGTATTTTTTTTTTTTTTTTTTTTTTTTTTTTTTTTTTTTTTTAATTTTTTAAAATTCATAAAAATTAATTTTTTTTTTTTTTTGTTTTCATTTTTTTTTACTTTTTTTTTTTTTTTTTTCATAAAATCAATTAATAATAACTAAAATGCAAGATAATTTAATTAAACTATTTGATAAAATTATAAAAAAAGAAATAGATGTATATAATGATAATGAAGATAAAAACGAAACAAACGATTCAGAAATGAAAGAGTTAGAGGAAGAGGAAGCTTTACAACCAACAACAACAACAACAATCCCCACCTCCATTTTTAATAAAGATAAATTAATTAACGAACTATCGAGCCAGTTTCCATCGTTCGATATCAACAAAATAGAAATTAAAAGCTCGATTGATATTAACATTAGACTTTTCTTTAATATATTAATTGTAATAACATCACTCAATTTACCACCTGTCTATCTATATTTATACTAATATATCCTTCTAATAAACTATAGAAAGAAAAAAATACAACATACGAGGACATTGATGTAACCATTCAATTAGCATATATATTTATTGATATATTTGGTTTGGATAGTATTTTACCATTGCAATTATCAGAAGATTTATATGAAACTAAAACAATTAACGAATGTTTAAAACTATTTGGGTTATTGGAATCTAGGGCAGAATTATTTTCTCAAGTATGATTTAAATATACATATATAGATTTAAAAAGGTTCCTCAATACTAATAAAACAAATCAATTATTTTTTAGGATCCAGAAATTATTAAAGGTAGAAAAAGAAATTTATTATTAAAAATCTGTGTAGAATTATTAAAAAGATTTTCAAGATCATCAAACCCAGACTCTTGTGGTCGTATTTTATTATTTTTAGCATATGTTTTCCCACTATCAGATCCCTCTGGTTTAAATGGTAAGGGTGAACATAATGTTCATCCAGAAGAATCATTAGATTTCCAAAATGATATAATGAAAAACATTGAAGATGGTAGCAGCGAGGATCAAACCATTGATAAAAACTTTTATACCCAATTTTGGGGACTTCAAACTATATTTCAAAACCCACAAACTGTATTATTCAATAACATCACTGCCACAAGCATTACATTAAATAAAGCCAAATGGGATTCATTTATACAGGCATTAGAATTGGTTATTGGTTCATTTTCAACCCACATCAATCTCGAGGATCTTCAACAATCAAATCCAACAAAACAACATTATTTTACCAAATATTTAACTAGTAGCAACCTTATGAAGTTACAATTAAAAGACTCAACCTTTAGAAGAAACATTCTTACTCAAATTTTAATAACATTTCAAAACTTAGATTTAACTGGTCAAAAATACCCAACTCTATTTAACGATTTACAAGTAAATATAATTATAGCTTTTAAAACAATCTACCATTACTTTTTATTTATTAATTTTATTGTTATAAATTATTTTAGAAAAATATAATTCAAGATTTAACAATAAAGTGTTATAAAATTTTATCAAACACCCAACCAGGTGGTGAATATTTTTCGAATTGCCTTTCATCAATATTAAAGAGAGAAAAGAATTGGATTATTTGGAAAAGAGATAATGGTTGTAAAAACTTTGAAAGACCACCTTGCAGCCCAATAGTTAAAAAGAAAAAACCAGTATCAAAGAAATCAAATAGAATGGTTATGGGTAATGTAGAGCTATCAAGACTTTGGAATCTTAGTGGTGGTGTTACCGATCGTTCCTATTTAAAAACGCAAAACTCTGTTTTATTAGAATCACTTATCGACCCATTAACAGAAGAACAAATAGAATTTGAAGAAAAACAGAAACAAGAGCGATTGAGATTAGAGAGAATAAAGAAGAAGGAAGAAAAAAGATTGGAACAAAATGGAATTAAACAAGCTGAATATGAAAAAGACAAAAAAGAGTTTTTCGAAATAGAAGCTAACAAAGGTAAAGAATATCCAGAGTTTGAAGAGGTCCAAAAAGAAATTGATTCTGATGATTTAAGCGATTTAGATGAACCAAAACAATTAAAAAAGGATAACCCATTATATGTTTGGAAGACTTTAAGATTAATATCAAGAAAAAAATTAGATTTGTTTAAATACCAAAAATTTGATGAAATTATTCAAAGCTTTATTAAACCAATAACACCAATCTCAACAACACCAACAGTAACTACAACTGCCTCAACAGCAACCACCACTGACTCTACCACACCAACTGAATCTGTAAAATCAAATAATAGTTCTCCAATCCAAAAACCTCAAGAAATAGCATCTGTTATAACCCAAACAGAATAAAAATAAATTATTTAAATAAAAAAAAAAAAAAAAAAAGAAAAAGAAAAAATTATATGTAAAATAAAATAATTACAGTTTATTTATTGATAGTTTTTTAAAAAATTTTATTGGTTAAATAGAGTTTTTTTTTTTGATACCTGTATTTTGGTAAAAATAAAAAAATTAGTAATATAAAATTAAAAATAAAAATAAAAAATATAATAAAAAAAAAAATTTCGTATTTTTGCACCTATATTAAACTTTATTTTGAAATTTGAAATTTAAATATGTTAAATTTGACATATTCTATTTTGTTGCCCAACATTATTTGTTAACGGTTCTTCTACCATTTATCTGGGAAGAGTCTCTGGGCTTTCTATCCATTTTGTTTCTTATTTTTTGTTCTTTCTTTTTTTCTTACCACAAATAAATAACCTCTATTTTTTTTAATTTTTTTTTATTTATTATATTATTTCCACAATAATATTATAAATTTATAAAAAATAGGATAAAATAAGTGAAAAAGAAAAAAAAGTTAGAAGGTTAAGCCTTTAAAGGGACGGAACAGTTTGAGCACCACAATGAGAGAGGTTGAGTGGGCTATTTTTGATTAATTCGAACATTGAGCCATAATTGTTTATATCGGCGTCATTATCATTTGGTGAGGAACATAACATAGAGTCTTGTTCTTTGCCTTCAAACGAGTTATGATGATATAAACCAATTAAATAAGAGGTGTAGTTGTTTGGAGCATCTGGGCAGATATTTGGAACTAAAGAGGATTCGTAAGATTCTATCATCATATTGGCATAGCTATTGTTGTTGTTGTTTTGGCTACTATTGCTTAAGACATCTTTGGAACTTGGGTGATAAACTGGGGACCAGGAAGAAGGTGGAGAAGCAACAACGCTGTAGTCAATAGAAGTATTACTAGAACTAAAAATATTACTATTATTATTATTATTGTTATTTGACATATTATTAAGATTTTCGATTTTTTTTAAATTTTTTTTATTTTTTTTGAATATTTTTCTTTTGTTATTAGAGAGGAAAATAATAAAATGTTTAGTATTAAAGTTTTTCTTTAAATAATAATTTTTATTTTGAGTTGTTTTAATTTTTCTAATATTATTATGGATATTGTTATTATCGCCTTTTTTATTATTTCTAAAACAATAAATAGAAGAACAACTAGTATTATTAATACTATTATTTAAAACACCACCTACTTTTTTATAAGAAGATAAATAATTATTATTTTTAACTTTATAAAAATTCATTATGTATTAAAATTAAATATATATATATAGTTTGTAAAATTTTGAAATAAAAAATAAAAAAAAAAATAAAAAAAAAAAATTATTAGATAAAAAAATTTTAAAAAAATTTTTTTAAAAAAATTTTTTTAAAAAAATAAAAAAATAAAAAAAATAAAAAAAAATAAAATAAAGTAGGCACTTGGGTGTGTATTGAGAAAAATTCAAAAATAATTATTTTATTTATAGCATATAAAATTTTAAATTGTATTTAAAATATAAAATAATATTTAATATTAAAAATAATAAAAATAATAAAAAATAATATAAAAAATTAAAAAATGTTAAATTATATACAATAAATTTATGCATAATAATTTTATGGGTGAGTTTATGTATTTAATTTTAAAATTATCTTTTATCTTTTTTTCAATTTTTTCTATTTTCAATTTTTAATGAATATTTTTTTTTTTTTTTTTTTTTTTTTTTTTTTAATAACTGGGGAAATCCTCATGGTTATTTTAAATATCCAAAAAAACTTATATTTGTTTTTAGTTTATTATTATAAAAAATTGAATAAAAGAACAGAATGATTCTGTCACTTTACTTTTTATTTATATATCTTTATTATTTTTATTAAGAATCGTTTTTTTTTTTTATATATTACCAAAAGAATTGATTTTATTTATATTTTAAAAATTTTATTTTTATTCTGTGTATCTATATCATTTTCTTTTAAGGCATGCACAGAACCAAAAAGAAAAAGAAAAAGAATCTTTATTTTTTATTTAATTTTATTTTATTTTAATTTTTTTAATTTATTTTTTTATTTTTTATAAATTAAAAAATTTTTTTTATTTTTTTTTGCATTATTTTCAACGATTAACTTTTAAAGAAAACAAACAAATAATATTATATATTTATAAAAGATAAAAATGGAACCAATTGAAGTAAAAAACACTGGTAAAATTAAACTTGCAATCACACAAGACCTTGTTCAATATACTATTGATCACTCAAATCAACTCAATGAAGTTCAAAAAGAATTAATTCTTTGTATGCATTAATAATTAAAGATTATACTTTTAAAAAATTTATATATTAACCCCGATAATTTTTTTTTTTTTTTTTTTTCAATATAGTTACCAGAGGCCAAGTTGAAAGACCACAAATGCTTACCACTGCTGATCAAGTTGTATTTTTCCAATTTTTAATCAAAATTTTAAATGCTAAAAAAGTCATTGATGTTGGTGTTTACACCGGTCTCTCCTCATTATCTGCTGCTTTAGCTCTTCCAGCTGATGTATGTTGTATTATTATTGTTATTTTGGTTTTTCCCTCACAATACTAACTTTTTTTATTTTTTTTAATAATATTCAGGGTAAAGTTGTTTCATGTGATGTTTCAGATGAATTTACTCAACATGCAAGAAAATTCTGGGCCAAAGCTGGTGTTGCTGATAAAATCAATTTAAAGATCCAACCAGCCGGTGATACTTTACAAGAATTAATTGATAATGGTGAAAGCGGTACCTTTGATTTTATTTTCATCGATGCTGACAAAACCTCATACGACTTATACTACGAACTTGGTCTTCAATTAATTAGAAAGGGTGGTGTTATTGCCATTGATAATGTATTACAAGATGGCAGAGTTTTGGATTTAAATAACAACGAACCAAATGTTACAGCCATTCGTAAAATCAACGAAAAGATTCGTGACGATAGCAGAGTCTCAAAAAGCATGCTTCCATTTGCTGATGGTATTACATTAGTTACTAAGAACTAAATTCAATTATGCAATTATATTTTTTTTAATATAATAAATTTTTTTCTAAAAAAAATATTAATATATAAATATTAATATTTTTGATTTTTTTGTATTTATTAATATTTAAAAAAAAAAAAAAAAAAAGCACTATCACAATATTATTTTTATTTAGATTTTTTTTTTTCCAATTTATTTTTTATTTTTTTGTTTGTTTATTTTGTGCAAAGCTGACACGATATGTCAAAATATTTGGGTTTCACCATAATTTTATTATAAAAACCATTGTTTACACAGAATTTCAATTTAATTAAAATTTTACTGTTTTTTCGAAATTTCACAAGAAAAAAAAAAAAAAAAAAGGGGGTTAAAAACTGATTTTTTGTGAAAGCCTAGTCACTTTACAAATAAAATATTTTGACAAGCAATGCTTTAATGAGACTTTTTCATGTCCCAAATTGCATTATTATAAAATTTATTTATGGTGCTGGCAATTGTTATCATCATTTAATTTAAACATGTTTTTATGCCACTTATGCAAAAAAAATAATTTTAGATTAAAAAAAATAAAAAATAAAAAAATAAAATTTCTAAACGGTAACCATCCACGAAAACTAAATTTGCCAATGTTGTCAATGGTTTAATTTGATCAGTTTAAATTTTATTTTATTAAAAAAATAACATTTGGTGTTAAATGATGATTATCATTTAACACGTTTTAAATTATTGTTTAATAAAAAATATTTTTTAACAAACTTTTATCTATTGATAGGTTTTTTACAAGGTATGAAAGTAATGTGATTTAAACACCACCCTAAAAAAAATTACTGTGAATCTAAATAACGCAACAAAAACAATAATAGTAACCACAAGATCAACTTAAGCCCATTTAAAAGATTTTTTTTTTTTTTTCCTTCTCAACAAAACAAGACCTCAACAATAAAAACGAACTCATATGTGGTTACAAAAACGACAGTTTTTTTTTTTTTTTTCAAATAATTAATTTTTTTATTTTTTAATTTTTTTTTTGAAATTTATTTTTAATAAAAAAAAAAAATAAAAAAAAAAAGTATAAATAAGATAAAATTTTAATAACATAAAATTTAATAAAACATTAAATAAATAAATTCAATCAATGAAATAAAAATAATAATGAATTATTTGTATAAAATAATAATAATTGAATAAAAAAAAAAAAAAAAGTTTAATTAATTTTTTTTGAAACCAGGATATAAAAAAAAAAATAAAAAAAAAATAAGACTTAATTTTTTTTCGGTAAATAACTACACACACCAGGTCAAAAAAAAATAAATATGTATTTTAAAATAAAGGTGTTAACTATATAAATACAATCAAATATAATAAATATTTATAATTTATAATATTGCGTAATTTTATTTTTTTTTTTTTTTTTTTTTTTTATATTATTATAGGCCCCATATAAAATATAAATATAACACCCTTTATTTTAGCATTATAATATAATATTGTGTGATAAAAAAAAAAAAAAAAATCAGAATCAAAGTAAAAAGAAAACTGGAACCATTTTTTTAAAAAAGAAATGTATTTATAATTTTTTTTGCGTTTCTATTTTTTTAGGGTTTGTGGATAAAATTTTTTTTTAAATTTTTTTCTCAATCACAACTTTTAACGGTATTTTTTTATGGAATATTCAGTGCAACGTGGACTATTCAAATTAACTAAAATATTTAAGTAACTGACAAAAAAAAAAAACCAAATCACTCGTAGAAACACAAAATTACTTACGTTGCAATTGATTTTTTTTTAAAATAATTATATATTTAAAAAAAAACTTTTGCAAAAAGTTTTATATTTTTATTAAAAAAAATTAAAAATAAATAAATTTAAATCATTCCTCTCTCTATTCTTAAAGATTTCTTCCAAAATAGGTTTTTTAAAGTGATTTTTTTTCTTTTATATAAATAAAAAAAAAATTAAAATAAATGTAAATTTTTTTTTTTTTTAGATTTTTTTCTAATCACCATAGTGTATTTGTGCGTTTTTCTTTGGGTGTGTGATAACGTAAATCTAGTTTTTTAAAAAAAAACTTTTATTTTTTTTTAATTTTTTTTTTATTTTTTTTTTTTTTCGCTTTTTCTTTTTTTTTTTCTCGGCTTATATAAGACTTTTTTTTTTTTTTAGAAATCATTTTTAATTAAATATTGTATTTGTTAACAAATAATTTAAACTATCAACACAAAATGAACACCAAATCAATCGCCTCAATTGCTTTATTAGCCACCGTTGCCTCAGCTGCCAACCTCGAAAGCATTTCATTCTCAGTTGTCTGTGGTAACCCAGGTACTGAAGTCTCAAACTACACCGTCCCAGTCACCGCTAACTGTACTCAAGTCTGCACTGATTCAGTCATCGTCAACGGTACTGATGTCCAATGGTTCCAAGATACCATTGTTTGTGAAGGTATCTCAGCTGTTAACACCACTGTTTCATGTAACGGTACCATCGCCACCATTGCTGACGAACTTGTTGCCCAAAAAGCCGAAAACGCCACCTGTAACTTTGAAGCTGAATCAAACTCAACCTCAACCTCACACTCAGCCTCACACTCATCTGAAGGTTCATCAGCCTCAACTGTCTTCGCCTCAATTGCTTTAGTTGCCGTCTCAGTCGTTGCTGCTTTACTTTAAATTAATAAATATAAATAATAATACGATATTTAATTGAATAAGAAAAAAAAAAATGTAAAAATAAAAAAGTAGCGTGTTTTATTAAATATAAAATTTGATTTTTTTTATTTACAAACTAAATAAACTTAACTATTTTAAGTTAATTTTTTATCATTATATTTAAAAATAAATTTAAAAAAGATTATTTTGCATTTTTTATATAAATATATTTTTAAAACACACACAATCAAAATTAAAAATATTTATAAATTATTATTTATATAACCACACCTATTTTTTTATTTTTATAATTTAAAAATTATTATTTTAAAAATATTTTCTTCTTTATTACTTAAATAAAAAATTTGAATAATTAATAGTGGACCCATTTAATATAAATATTATTTCGAAATAAAAAAATTTTATGCACACATAACCACCTTTGCATTATATTTTTTTTTTATGTGTATGCAAAACCAGCTGGTGGGTGTGGTTTTTTTTTATTTATTTATTTTTTTTAAAAATTTTAAAATTTTTTTTTTTTCAATTAATTTTAAAATAATTTTTTAAAAAAATATTATTATTTGTAATTAATTAAATAATTAAATAAATAAATAATTAAATAAATAATTAAATAACCAAATAATTGAATAGATAAATAATATTTATTATTATTTAATTTCTATAGATATGAAAAGGATTCCATTTAAAATATTAATCCTTTTAGTGGTTATACTTGGTATTTTTATTTTAATGTTGGGTGTATATAAAACAGATTCATTAAATATTTCAAATTTAGAGAAACAAGAAAAAATTTTAAAAATTACAGAATATTACAATTTTAAATGGGGGCCATCCGGTAACAATGAAAATTTCTCACCAAAAATTTCCACATCCAGTAGTAGAAATATAAGAAGTAGTAGCGATATTAATAATGATATTGAAAAAGAAATTTCATGTCAAAGTACAGTTCAAGGCAATTTATATATAGCTGATGATCAAGGTAATTAATTATTTATAAATACTTAAAAAAATAAAAAATCTTAAATTAATAAAAAAATTGAAAATTTTTTTTATTTTTATTTTTTTCATTTTTTAGGATATGTTTGCTCAAGATCAAGTTGGGATTCTATTACAAAATGTTGTAAAAAACAAACCAGAGATATTCAACAGGTTTTAGAAAATAGTAATGGTAATAGTAATAGTAATAGTAATAGTAATAGTAATAGTAATAGTAATAGTAATAGTAATAGTAATAGTAATAGTAATAATAGTAATAATAGTAATAATAGTAATAATGATAATAATAATAATAATAGCGATATAAATGATAAAAATAGTAATAATGATAATAAAAGTAATTCGAGTGCTGAATCCAGCAATAGTAGTAATAAATCAAATGATATAAATAATAGCAATGGCAGCGAACCAAACAATGTCATAGATACTGAAAATAAAAAAACCAAACAAACTCAGGTTGAAAGATATTCATGTAAAAGATGTTTAGAAGGTTCCGATTGTTGCGATACTTATGAATATTGTATTTCATGTTGTATGAGATATGATAAAGTTCCAGTAGTTCAAGAGATGCTTATAGGTTTTGCTGAGCGTGGTGTTGCAAAGGAGTATTTAAAGAATCAGTTTGACTTGTGTACAATGGCTTGTAGAACTTCCTCCTCATCATTATTAAATCAAAGAGAATATCAAAATCCTAAATTCAAATTTTGCTATGGCCCAAATATTGCCAAGGTTTAACCAATAATATAATAATAGATAACAGCAATAATTATAATAATATCATAAAACAATATAATAATATAGTGATGACAATAGCAAACATAATTATAGTAGTGGTAACCAAGTAAAAAAAAACAGTTATTAGAAAAAAAAAAAAAAAAAACTTTAAAGTCAATTTTTTTTTTATAATTACATAAAAGGAGATTATAGTTTAGATTATTATAGTTCCTTTTTACCAAAGTTTTAGAAAAAACCTCAAATTCTATTTTTAAAATAATAGAATATTTTTTGTATATATTTAAAATACAAAAGGTTTTTGTTTTTCTATTTTAAAATAAATTGACAAACTAAATAAATAATTGCGACATTTTAGAAAGAAGGTTCGTTAAAAGAACCTTAAATAAAAGAAATTTTTTAAAAGAAAACTATTTAATTTATTTATTTTTTTTATTTTTTTTATTTTTTTTTTTTATTTAATTTATTTTTATTTTTTTTTTTAATTTCATTCGTTTCGCGGATGTCAAATCTTTTTTTTATTTTTTTATTTTTATTTTTTTTTTTTATCAAATTAACATAAATTAATAATAATAATATAATAATAAAAATAAAAACTATAATAATAAATTTGTATTATAATAAAAAAAAATGGATTTTAAAGTTGTTGCATTAGATTTAGATGGTACTATTTTAAATAGTGATAAAAAGGTTAGCGAAAATAGTAAAAGAGTTTTGCAGTACCTTTCATCTGAAGAATATAAAAAGTCTAATGACAATAAGGATATTATGGTCTTACTTGCAAGTGGACGTGCACCATATTTAGTTCAGCCAGTCGAGGAGGCATTAGGTATTGATTGTTACTTAATTGGTTATAATGGTAGTGTTTGTTATTCACGTAAATCAGAGGGTAGAAAAACCTTATTTTCAAGATCAATTAAAAACAACTATCTTCAAAAAGTTTTAAAGTATGTCGAAGAAAACAACTTGTTTTTAAATATTTACTCAGATGGTGGTTTTGTATATGGTATTGATACTCCATCTCTTAAAGAAAAACCAGAACGTTATTCAATTATGACTGGTGCCACCTATAAATTCATCTCATCATACTCTGAACTCCCAGAAGGGTTCGAACCAGCAAAATGTTTAATCATTTTAGATGATGACAACGAATGCGATCAATTATTAGAGAAAATGCGTCCATTATTCCCAGAACTCAGTTTAGTTAAGAGCAATTGTATGAATAAAGATTATAAACAATACTATGTAGAGTTCCTCGAACATGGTGTAAATAAAGGTACCTCTGTTATTGACTTTTGTACCGCTAAATCTGTCGATAGATCCCAAGTTGTTGCATTTGGTGATGCAGAAAACGATATAGAAATGTTAAGCGAAGCTGGATTTGGAATTTGTTTACAAAATGGCACAGAACCAACTAAAAAAGTTTCAAATTTAATTTCCTCTTTCACCAATGACCAAGATGGTGTTGCAAGAGAATTAGTAAAATTATTTAACTTACCAGAATATTTAATTCAATAAATAAAATGGTTTTAATTTATTATATTTATAAATTAAAATTTTTATAAAAATATAAAACTTTTTTTTTTTTTTTTTTTTTTTTATAGTTTATTTAAAAATTAATTTTTTTACCTTTGATATATAATGATGATAAATTTCTATCATCACCCAAATAAATGAATTTTTGGAAAATATCTTTAATTGTATCGTTTTCAAAAACGTCGATTGGAGTATTTGGAGCGAATGGATCAATAATTTGGGCATCGAAATCTTTACCAACTTGGAAGTTACCAATACGATCTTCCATATTAACAACTCTACTACCACCAACTGTAGCTAAATAAAAGGCTTCTTCAAAGGTCAATGGTTTGTGTTCGCCATCGATGAAAAAGTGAGAGTTTGAACATTTGATTGAATCACGCATAACTTGAAGGATGGATGGATGGTAACCACCTGATAAATCAGTACCTAAACCTAACTTGATATTCTTTTTCAAAACTTTACGTACATCTAAATTACCACTACTAAGAGTAAAGTTACTGATTGGACAATGACTAATTGATGTTTGTTGTTCGCTAATTAAATGTAATTCTTCTTCTGATAAATGAACACAATGGGCCATAATGGTACGTTCGTTTAAGAGGTCAAAATGTTTGTAAACGTGAGTGTAACTTTCGATACCTGGATATAATGATTTGACCCATTCGATTTCATCTTTATTTTCTGAGAGATGTGATTGAATAAGTGTTTTTTTTTCATTAGCTAATTTACCTAAACCCTCCATTAATAAGTTGGTGCATGATGGAGCAAATCTTGGAGTAATAATTGGTTGGATCAATGGGTTGCCCTTTGAGAGGATTCTTTCGACAAATTCTTTGGTATCATTTAATGAGTCTTCAGTAGTTTCGATATAGTGATCTGGTGAGTGACGATCCATACAAACTTTACCAATAAAAGCACGTTGACCACGTTCACCAGCAATATTTGCTAATAATTCACTTGCTTCGACATGAATGGTGGCATAATAACAGCAAGTTGTAGTACCATTTTTGAGCATACGATTGACGACTTTACTATAAACATTTTCTGCAAACTTTAAATCCTTAAATTTACTTTCTACTGGGAATGTATATTTCTCTAACCATTTTAATAATGGTAAATCTGTACCTGTACCTGCATTATGATATTGTGGTGCATGTGCATGTGTATCAATAAAACCTGGAATTAAAAACTTGTTACCCATATCAACTATGCATTCATTTGGAATTTCATGTTCTACTGATAACTTTTTAACTTGATCCTCTAATTGATTTAAATCTTCAAATGCTGATTTTAAATAAACAATAATACCCTCTTTACCAATACCAACCAATGAATTGGTTAAAATTTCTACTTTTTCAAGTTCTACTGAATGAATAATTGTACCTTTAAATAATTTAACAATTTTACTTTTTTTTTTTTAAACAAAAAATAGGTTAATATAAATTAAATTTTAAAAAATAAAAATTATTTTAATTTCTTTTATTTCTTAATTTCTTCTTTTTTTTTTTTTCTTTTTCTTTTTCTTTTTTCTATATAATTAATATATTAAATTAAATTCTTACTCCATATTTGTTTTATATTATAATTATAATTTCTTTATAATTTATTTTTTAAACAGAAAAAAAATAAAATAATAGAATTTTTAAAAAGAAAAAAAAAAAAAAAAAATTTTAAAATTGAAAAAAAAAAAATTAATTAAAAAAATCATTATTTTTTTTTTTTGGTATTTAAAAATCTTTTTTTGGTTTTAAATATACACACACTGCACCTATTACATTATTATTTTTTTGAAACTATTTTAGTTAGACCGTTTTACAACTAATCTGATTCAAAAAAATGTGATTATTTTTCAAAATTTTATTTTATTTTATTTCATTTTATTTTTTTAGATATTTATTATCAAACAATTAATAATAAAAAAATATAAAAATAAAAACAAAACTAGTAAAATAATAAATTAATGGCGTTAACAATAAAAAACAATAATATTTATTAAATTAAATAATAAATAAAAAAAAATAAAATATTTAATATGCCGAAATAATTTTTTTTTTCGCCAATTAATAAATGGTTATGTTACAAAAAAAAAAAGTAAAAAAAAAAAAAGTAAAAAAAAAAAAAGTAAAAAAAAAAAATTTTTTGAAAAAAAAAAAAAAGATAAAACCGAAACTTTTTTTTTTTATTTCTCATTATCCAACAAACTAATTTGTAAGTAAAAGTAAAAAAAAAAAAAAATTGCCATAAATTATTATATCTTTTAGATTCTCAATGATGATATAATTTATCCCTGTCTTAGCTTTCTGTCATGCTGAAAAATCATGGTAGCCTGTGGTAAGGCTTTTACCTGACAGAATCTAATTAATATAATAATTTGATTGGCCAACTATAATTTTAAAAGTATTGAAATATTAATTATTTTTTATTTCTTTTAAATAGGTTCTTCATGATTCCCAGTTCCCAATTTTGAGTCCTCTTTTTTAAAATCTAAAATTTCTAAATAAAATAATGAAAGCATTTTTAAAATTAAACTACATTTTTTTTTTTTCGTTTTTTTTTTTTTTTTTTTTTTTGGATCAACTATTAGAAAATAATTGATTATATATTTCAATTTTTTTTTAATTATTATTATTATTTTATTTCGTTTATTAAATATGTCTATAGAAAAAAGTATTAATTGGAATATTTAAAAAAAAAAAATATTAAAAGTAAAACAAATAAAAGTTAATCTAGTAAATTAAAATCTTTATTTATTAAATGTGTATTGTTTATAGATAGATTATTAATTGTATAAACTATAAATAGAGAATTTTATTAACTATATATAAAATATAAAAATGAGCTTATAATTGATAATAATTAAATTGATGATGAGGTCTGTAAAAAGATAATTCCTCCATATAAAGTTTTTTTTTTTTTTTTTAAAAGTTACAAGAGATCAAAATATTTTTTTTAAAAAAAAAATAAGAGGAAGAAATGCAAAATTTATTTTCGTATGAATATTAATTTGATTTATTTTGAGTTTATATATTCAATAAAAAAACAAAAGAAAATTGATTGAAAACTTAATTGAAAAATAATACTTGATATTTTTTAATGATAAATAATACTTGATATTTTTAATGATAAATAAAACTTGATATGTTTGTAATGCTAAATAAATATTTGATATTTTAAATGCTAAATATTGCTTAATATTTTTTAAATGCTTAATAATACTCGATATTTTTTAAATGCTTAATAATTCTAGATATTTTTTTATGATAAATACTTTGATATTTTTAAATGATAAATTATACTTGATATTTTTTAATGATACATGATATTAATGATAAATAACACTTGATATGTTTAAATGCAAAATAAATATTTGATTTTTTAAATGCTAAATAAATATTTGATATTTTAAATGCTAAATATTACTTGATATTTTTTAAATGCTTAATAATACTCGATATTTTTGTATCATCCATATTATTTTATATTTTTTTAAATGCTAAATAATAATTGATATTTTTGTATGATCCATATTATTTGATATTTTTTAATACTTATAAATTGATATTTTGCATGATCCATTATACAATACTATATATTTTTAAAGATCCATAATACTTACCTTATAATCGTTACATCCAATAAAAAACAAATAGTTGATCGAAATCTTGATTGAATATTACACAATATTTGATATTTTTAAATAATAAATAGTTCATGATATTTTTCAATGCTAATAAATAAAACTTGATATGTTTAAATGATAAATAATTCTTGATATATTTATATGCCAAATAAGACTTTATATATTTTTATATGATATATAATACTTGATATTTAAATGCTAAATATTACTTGATATTTTTAATGATAAATAAAACTTGATATGTTTAAATACTAAACAATACTTGAAGTTTTTAAATGATCCATAATATATGATATTTTTAATGATAAATAAAACTTGATATGTTTAAATGCTAAATATTTCTTGATATATTTTAAATGGTAAATAATACTTGATATTTTTATATGATCCATATTATTTAAAATAATGATATTTTTTAAATGCTAAATAATACTCGATATTTGTATGATCCATATTACTTGAAAATTTTTTATGCTAAATAATAGTTTTGATATTTGTATGATCTATAATACTAAAAAATCCTCGATAGTTTTAATGCTAAAAAATCTTTTATATGTCTTTATAATGATATAAAATTATGGTACCAAAATAAAAAAAAAAAAAACTATAGTTGAATTATAATAATTAAATGCAAAAAAATCCTCGATATGCTTTAATGCTAAAAAATCCTCGATATGTTTTGATAATATTTTTAATTATTTTTTATTTTTTATACTATTGGCCACTCTTTGTAAAGAGTGTTTCCAGCTCTACCACGGGGAGGTTAGTATATTAGAGCCGATGGTTAATTAAGTATCCCACCACGCAGAATACATAATTAACCACCACTTACCTGAATGTATATATTTGTGAATTGTTTTTATATATTAGTGGTTAATTACGTATCCCACCATGCAGAATACATAATTAACCACCACTTACATGAATGTGTATAATGAAAAAAAAAAAATTTTATGAAATTATTTTCTTTAAATACTTTTTAGTTTTTTAAAAAAAAAATTAAAAAAAAAAAAAATTTAATTTAAAATTAATTAATTAATTAATCTATAACTATTTCCTAATTTATTTAAACATCAATTCCAAAATAAGTAAAATTTGTATTGCAAAAAAAAAAATGTAGATCTGCTACAATCAAAATTGGTAATAATTTGAAACAGGGGAGGTTTTTTTTTTCAAAATTTTTTAATTTTCAAATAAATTAAACACATCTTCCTTTTAAAGAAATCATTTTTCCATTTATATTATTTTATTATAATTCATTTCATAATTGATATGTGGAAAAGGAATAAAGTAAGAATTTGGTAGTTCATTATATGATAATCAAATTGGTATGATAGCTGAATGAAAATACAAAAAAAAAAAAAAAAAAAAAAAAAAAAAAAAAAAACTTTATTTAATTTTATAAATTTAATTTTTTTTTAAACATTTTTTTATTTTTTTTTTAATTACAATGAGCGCTTTTTTTAAAATTTTTTTTTTTTTAAATTTTGAATTTTATTAATTATAATATAATTTGTGTTCAGTATATTTTCGTTAGGCATTTTTAGTTGTGTAACTTTGTCATTTTCGTATACCCTATCATTACAAGAATGAGGTTACTAAAACCCGAGGTTAACTCAAACTGTAAAAACTGTAATAATGATATACCACAAACATTAAAACATATACTATTAGACTGCACAGACTTTGAATCAATACAAGGAGAATCTTTACAAACAAACTATTATCCTTATCCAGTACAAATTTACAATAATAATTATAAACGAATATCACATTTATCAGATAATAACACACTCATTATTTTATAATCAATGTCAAATTTTAACACATTTTTAAAACGAAACACAATTTTTAATTAATTTTAATTTTTTAAAAATAATATTTTTCAGTACAAATTAAAATTCAAAAAATAATTTTATAATAGAGAATATAGTTTAGTTATAGATTTCACAAATAAAAATAATTAGTAATTTTTAGTTATAATAAAGATTAGTTATTTTTTAAAATATAATTTTTAAATATTTTTATATATTTATTTTGGTTTTATTATATTTTATTTTATCTTTATTTTGTGTTTTATTATTATTATAATTAATTACATTTAGTTTATAATACATTTTGTTTGGTAATTAATTCGTTATTTCAGGATTCTTAAATAAAATAAAAGTTATATTACATTTGGTGACAACAAAACAAGCTATTTTTAGGTTAGCATACAACCTTTTCCATAAAAGCTCGATTAGCAAAGTTGGAATTGCGACAGCCTTCTAAGCTGTAGGTCCTGGGATCGAGACCCAGATTGAGCGAAAGTCTTCTTTTATGGGAAGAATCTTCCCGGTGATCACATATAATGGAGCTAATTTTTTGAGTTTTCTTGATTCCATCTGAACCAACCAGTAATAACATGGTAGTCTTTACTGGATGGATAGAACCCAAGTTTAATACGGTCTTTGATAAGTTTAATCACATTATCTTTAGTATCGACAAGTGTGTGGACTCTGTAATGTTTTTTTTTGTCTGGGTATGATTTGTCCAATGTAATACCATATTCAACGAGTTTTTTTCTAATGCCCAGAATATCTTCAACTGATTTGTTGGGAAATTCTAAGGTAAGAGAGTAATGATTGTTGTTTCTCTCGAGGGCTGATAATTTGTTTGTGTTTATAATCATCGAGAGAATATCAAGTTGATTAATGTTGTTTTTGACGAGTTCTTCAAAACTGTTATTTTTTATTGAAGATGCATAATCATTGATGAATTTGGTGGTATCATCGTTGAGATGTGGATTTCCAGGGTTTTGATTGCTGAAAGAAGCTATTTCGACTCTTATTCTGCCTTCTCTTTTTCTTCTTTTTCAATAGCTTTATCATCAGAATACAATTTACCTATTAGGGCCCAACCACTAAATTGATCCTTACCCCGGTTTTTAAATCTTGTAAATATACTGGGGTTTTCAGTTGGTTTTTCAGTTAGCATTTCAGTATGTTTTTCAGTTTGTTTTTGGATTTCTCCCAATCTATCATTGATTAGCTTCAAATAGCCCGGACCGTGTGGTTTGAATTTATTTTCTTCTTTATTATCATCTTTTTCACATTAACCATTTTTTAATGATTTTACATCAAAGTTACTGTAATCCCCATCCAAAACATAACCACCTTCATACGGAATGCCTTCAGTGAAGATTATTGTTTCAATGGTTTGATTTTTAGTTTGGAGTAAATGTATTTGGTATTGGGGTAAAGGTTCTAGACTGATAGCCATTTCGTTGATCATTGGATGACCATTTTCAATAGTTGTGGGTGAAAATTCAATATTGTAAATGTTAATATTGTAAAAGGTTTCCAAAATATCGAAACCATAACCATTTTCGTCAAAAACTAAATCATGACCATTTACTCCACCACCAATATTGAGCGATGTGGCAAATTTGTTATAAATGCTGATTCCACATCCCAAGCTGCTTTATTAACCTTATTCCCTAAAAATTTTTTAATTTAAGTTTTTTAATTTTTTTCAGTTTTAATTTATTTTAAATTTTTTAAATTTAATTTTTTAAAAAATTTAAAAAATATTATAATATTATTTAAATTTCAAAATGAATTGTCCCCATAAAAAAATGGATGTAACAGATATTTCTCTTTACTCATACCCAGAGTTTTTTGATGATGAACGTTTCCCATTATTAGCAGGCAGTCATTGTAATGCAACTTGCAAAGAAAAAATGATGGTTTATTTCAAAGTATATTTAGAGCTACGTTATAAATGGACTATGCATTATATAGAAGATGCCAGAGTAGTTGAAGATCTAAAAGTTAAAGAAGTCGACGAATTCCATTATCCTAGCCTAGAAGACTATTACGGTTTTTTTGAAAATCGTTCAATGGGAGAAGATCCCGATAGTGAAGCAACAATATTAAAGTATTCAAAAGTTGGTATATTGGATGGGAAGCCAGTAAGATTATGTGATCTACCAGGGGGTACCAAATGTGATTTTGACGCAACAAATTTAGAAGAATATAAAAAACAAAAAGAAAATGAAAGAGAAAAAGAAGAAGAAAGAGAAAGAGAAAGAGAAAGAGAAATGGAAATTGAAAGAGAAAGAAGAAGAGAAATAGAAATAGAAAGAAGAAGAGAAATGGATTTAGAAAGAGAAATAAAAAGAGAAAGAGAAAGAGAAAGAGAAAAGAATATTTACATCAATTAGATAAATAGCTATTTTATATTTAATATTATGTTTAATATAAAATCAAGTTTATTACAAATTTATAATGTTTATTATATACTAAATCCAACAACAAATAAACTTAATTATTAATATTATTTTATTCTATTTATTTTTTTTAATTTATAAATAAATTTTTTGTTTTCTAATCTTGGATTGGGTTTGAGTTTAGTTTCTATATATTCTATTATTCTATCATTCTATTATTATAAGTTTTTATTTTTTATTTATATTTATTTATTTTATTTATTTTTTAAAAACTATATTGTATACCCTTCATATTATTTACATACTCTTTTTCTGAAATTTTTTTAGCTCCTTGTTTTATTTCTTCAACCTCTTGTTTTATTTCTTATTAACAATATTATAAACCTGATCTTCTGATTTCTTTGGGAACTGTATTTCAAAATATATTAGGTAAAATAACCATTGTGACAAATTCTCTAATTTGATTAATAGTTAGGAAAATTTCAGTTTCATTTCCTTTTTCTTCATCCAAAAAAACTTGGGCTCTACTATAGTTGCCCTGGACATATATAATGATATTCATCAAATAGTTGGATTAAATTAAGTTACTAAAGTTATTAATAACCACAACAGTTTTGGACGCCATTCATCTAATTTGGTAGCTGGGTTTAAATTAAATGAAAATTTTCTTTAAAAATTAGTCTGAAACACATACCTAGTATTAGATTAACCATCTTAAATATATAGGGGAATCCAAAAAATTATTTAATTAAAAAAAAACCGTTTTGCTTAAAATAAATAACCAACAAAACTTTTTTAACAAAAATAAATAAAAATAAATAAGAAATACTGATTATTTTACATTGCGATGTTAAAAAAAATTATTATTTTTTATTTGGGATTTAATCAAATAAATTTTCAACATTTGATTTTTTAGTTGTTTTTGCTTTAGTTGGTGTTGGTTTTGAAGGAGATGATTTTTTAGTTGTGGAGTCATCATCGAATAAACTATCGATAGATTTTGTTGATTTTGTTGTTGTTGATTTCTTTGGTGTGGTTGTTGAGGGTGCAATATCATCAAAAAGATCTTCAGCTACTGTTGGTTTTGCGGCGGTTTTCTTTGCAGCAGCTTTGGTGGCTGTAGTTTTTGGTTTTGGTGCTACAGTATCTGGAACATCATCAAAGATTGAATCAATTTCTGTTTTTTTTGAAGTTGTTGATTTTGGTTTTGGTGTGGAAGCTTTTGGTTCGACTGGTTTAGATTCAACTTTTGGTTCGACTGGTTTGGATTCAGCCTTTGGCTCGACTGGTTTGGATTCAGCTTTTGGTTCGACTGGTTTGGATTCAACTTTTGGTTCGACTGGTTTGGATTCTTTAATTGGAACGTCATCAAATATATTTGTAATTGGTTTTTTGGTTTCAGTTTTAATTGGAACAGGTGATGATCTCTTTTCAGATTCAGAATCTGATGAGAAAACAGATTTGGTTGTTGAGGGTGATGATGATCTTTCTTCTTTGATGGATACACTAGCAGCGGCACCTTTACGGGTTGGTGGTCTTCTACCACCCGATTTTGGTCTACCTTTAGTAGCATGAGTAAGTTCTTTAGTTGGACCGTTATCTTCAGATTCACTTGTACGTGATGATGTAGTATTTCTACGTGGTCTACTTTTAGTTGGATGGGTAAGTTCTTTATTTGAACCATTATCTTCAGATTCACTTGAACGAGATGCAGTATTTCTATTGACTGATGAAATGGATGGAGACGATCTACCACCAGAATCTGATTGGTCAGTTGAGTCATTATCGGTACGTAATGGGTCACTTTCTTCATCTTCAGATTCTTCTTTCTTCTTTCTTGGCATTTTTTGACCTGGCATAAACATATTTGGATTAAGAGCCAATTTACTTTGAAGTGAGGAGATATTTGAGGTTTTCTTTTGGGTAGCTGTTGAATCTTTTTCGTCTTTAGCTGGTGGGGTGGCTGGTCTATTCTTTTCTTGTTGTTGAGCTTCAAATATTGAACCAATAGATTTGGTTCTGTTTCTTGTATTTGAATTGTTTTCAATGTTATTTAATGGTGGTGGTGGAGTTGAGTTATTGTTTGTATTATTAAATGTTGGTAAATCGGTTAATGGGTCAATATCGCCCAATGGTGATGAGACTGATTTAGTAGTTGTGGATTTTGATGATTTTGGAACTCCTAATGGACTATCGTTATCGCTTAATGGTGATGGTGATGGTGATGAGGCAGTTGTTTTGGATTTTGGTTTAGTTATACCTAGCGGATCATCATTTGAACTAAAGAAGCTGTCGAAATCTGTTGATTTTTTCTCTGTGGGTTTGGTTACAGCTGGTTTGCTATCCAAATCACCAAAAAAGTCTTTGCTAGAAGATGAAGATGAGGTATTGTTTGATTTCTTTGGGAAAGAGAAAAAGTCATCATCGGCTTTTGAAGATGAGTCATCAAGATCGAAAAAGTTGGATTTTTTGGCTGGTTTGGAGGTATTTGTAGTTGATGATAAACCAAGTGGATCAGTATTATCTGCTTTTGTTGGTTTGGTTTCTGTGGTGGTTGGTGCTGGAGTAGTTGTTGGGTTCTTTTTAATTGAAATATCACCAAATAATGAGTCATCACCTCCGAGTGGATTGGCAGTTGATTCTTTTTTAACGATTGGTTCTTCTTTTTTGGTGATTGGTTCTTTTTTACTAATTGGTTCATCAGGTTCATCATCAAAGAAGCTGGTTTTCTTTGGTTTTGTAGCGATTGGTTTTTTAATTTCACCAAATAATGGATCAGATTCGATAGTTGATACTGGTGATGCTGGTGAGTTTGATGATTCTGATGGTTTTTTAACTTCAATATCTCCAAATAATGAATCTGTTGTTGATGGTTTGTTTGAATCTTTTTTAACGATTGGTTCTTCTTTTTTGTCCTCTTGTTTTTTCTTTGGTTCGAAACTAAACAAGTCATCACCTTTATCATCACCATCAGAGAAAAAGTTGGTACTTGATTTTTTAACCTCTTTTGGTTTTGTCTCTTCTTGTTTCTTTGTTGATGAGGCTGGGGCAGATGGAATGAATAATGGATCAGTATCAGTTTTTTCTTCTTGTTTTGGTTTTGATTCCTCTTGTTTTGGCTTTGGTTCCTCTTGTTTCTTTGCTGATGAAGACTTTGGTGTGAAAAGTGGATCTTCATCACCAACACCAAATGGATCTTGAACCTTAGTTTTATTGGTTGGAGTAATTGAATCAATACCTAAAACATCACTATCAAGATATTTCTTTGGATCATGTCTTTTAATTTTTTTTTCTGGTACATCTAATAAACCACCTTCAGAACCAAAAATATCACCTTCAGTTGATTTCTTTTCATTTGAAGATTTCTTTTCTGAGAAAAAGTCATCATCTGCTGGTTTTGGTGTAGACTCTTTAGATTCTGTTTTTTTCTTTGGAGCTCCACTAAAAACATCATTACTGCCATCGAAATCGAATAATTTAACGCCACCCACTGGTTTCTTTGGGGCTGGACTGGCTCTACCTTCGCCTGAACTACTAGTCTCTTCACTTGCTGGAGTTGGAGTTGATGGCTTGGTTGGTTCTTGGGTTGGTTGTTTCTTTGGTGCAGCTGGTTTGGTGCCAAAAAGATCATCTTCATCCATACCATCCAAGAAATTAAGTGATGATTTCTTTACTGTATCTTTTTTAACTGGTAATGGCTCGTCATCTATATCAGAGAATAGATCATTAAGAGTTTTCTTTTGTGTAGTTGATGAATTTGTATCTTTGGTTGAGGTTGATGATTTGGTAGCAGTAGTTGGTAATGGTGAATCATCAAACAATGAATCATCAAATGTAACTTTTTTGTTCTTTTGTGAGGTTGGTGATGATTTAATTTCGTCAGAGTCACCAAATAAATCGTCATCAAATAATGATTTCTTTTTGGTTGTGGCTGTTGAGGCTGTAGAAGTTGGTTTGCTATCACCAAATAAGTCATCATCACCGCCCTTACTCTTTGATGATAATGCATTGCTAAGTTCGTCTGCAAATGGATCTTTCTTTTTGATTGGTTGTTCTTCTTGTTCCTCTTCATCTTTTTGTTGCTGTTTCTTTGATGAACCAAATAAATCATCCTCATCGCCTCCACCTAAAATATCTGACAATGATGAAGTGTAACCTGATGTTTTCTTTTGAGTTTGTGGTTTTTCTCCAAAAATATCATCATCTTCTTCAAATAATGAAGTTGATTCCTAAAAAAAAAAAATTAATTATTAATATTCTATCAATATATTATCCTACTATTTATATTATAAATTACTTTTTTATTTGATTGACCAAATGTATCATCTTGTTGTTCTTGTTGATCGTCTTGGAAGAAAAAATTTTGTTGTTTTGGTTGCTCATCAGTTAAGAATAATGTTGATTGGTCTTCTGGTAATTGTTGTTTTTCTTCTTTTTCTTCATCCTCTTCATCAGATGACTCTTCGCCACTTGAAGATGAAGATTCTTCACTAGCATCCTCTTCAGTATCTTCAGTGTCAGAATCTTCAATAAAGAGACCACAGAAATCATCATCATAAAATTGTTGCGAACCAATGATATGTGGTAATGGGTATCTTAAATAATGATCTAGTTTTTCTTTCTTTAATTGTTTATCTTGAGCAGCTTGAACTTGTTGGTCCTGTGATTCTAAATTACCATCCATACCTGCACCTTCTGAACTTGTTGTTCCCTGTTGTTCATTTGTAATACCTGTTGTTGAAATTGTTGCAGAGTCTGAAATCTCCAAAGCTTGTGATACAAAATTAGCTTTTTCCAAAGCTTCTAAACCAATCAAAATAGCTTTTGAAAATTTTGGTATTAAAATTTCTTCTGTTATTTCTGGCTTTTCTTTATTTTGCAAAGCATCAGTTTGATCTTGATTTAATTCTGAATTGTCTTCATAAACTCTCTATAATGAAAAAAAATTATTTTTAGAAAAGAATAATTTAAAAATATAATATTTTTAAAAATATAATTACATTTTCGATGAATTGTGTATTTGATAACATTAAAAATTGATCAAATGTATTGTGAACTCTGACATGAATTGATCTTGAATCTTTAACAAGTTCATCGACTTGAAACTCTAACTCTTTAGTTTTATAAATAAGTCTATTTGCAAAATCTTGCATATAATTTAATAACTATTTAATTATTGAAAAATATTAGTAAAGAATAGTAAAACAATGAAATAAAAAACACCTACACCAGCATCAGATGATAAACTCCATTGTTTAGCTGAATCTCTCATTTCATTGAGAGTCCAAACTCTTTTCCAAGGTGCATCCTCTTGTTGTTGTTCACCTTGTGGTGGTTGCTGTAATTGTTCATCCATTTATTAAGTATAATATATATATAAAATATTGAATGATATATAAAATATTTAAACAAACAAATAAACAATTAAAAACAATACCAAATATAAATATTATTAATAATTTAAAAAAAATAAAAAAAATAAAAAATAAAAATCAAAGGAAAAATTTTAAAATATAAAAAAAAAAACTTTAAATTTTAAAAAATAAAAAAAAATAAAAAATAAAAAAATAAAAAAATAAATTTAACGAAAAAGTTAATATATTAGCCTGTTTATTTTTCCAATATAAATAGATATAAAATAAATGATATTTTTAATTTCTATAAATAATAATTACAATAACCAAAAATAATATTATTATTTAGAAAAAATATATTACATTATTTTAATTTTATTTATACCAATATGTAATAATTCAACCAAAAAAAAAAATTTTAAAAAAATACAATATTATATATAAAATAAATGAAAATTTATTTAGTTTTATTTTTAATTATTATAAATTTAATCAAAACTCAAGCATATGGCGAAACTTTTTTTTTAAATTTTAATGGAACCGAATTTTATTTCCCATCATGGAGAGAAAGAGAACTGATGGCTATGGTTAGTGCCCTAAGAATCAATGTCGATGAATATATAGATAGTTTTATGGTACCCGATGGATATACAAATACATCAAACTTATTTCAACAATACCCGAAATATCAAAGACCATTTTTAATTAGTAAAACGATGAATGAAATATCAAGAATGAATATATTAAAGATTGTCCAAGAATGCGAAATAAAAAACAATAATGGTTCCATTTGCAACTTTATAGAATTAAATAAATATGCTCGAAATTATTTTGGAAGTTTAAATTATAATCAATTGTTCCAAAACTATTCATGTTTAAACCCAAACACTCTCAGTATTCAAGGTGTGGATGGTGTCGATCAATTTGGCCACTATTCAGGTATTGACTTTGTAAATAGATTAGCATGTCAAGGAAACCGTCAATGCACAACCAATAACGAAATTAACAACTTTAGACAATTTGTAACAAGTCCATTAACACTTTATTCTGGTATTTCAATAATGGATACATTTACAAATAACAATAATATAAGTTTACCACAATCCACTTCATATTTATACGATTTTTTTAGCTCAACAAGTTATTGCACAGATGATAAATCAAGCATTGATAGAGATTTGGTAGCAATAGCATCAGCAAGCCATAGTTTTAGGGGTGGTAACCAAAGTATAACATTTATTGCAAATTACTATTCATACACCCACGAAATACCAGAGTCAATACAAGTTATAATTATAGATTTACCAAGCACAAAAGAAACAACCCTTACCTTAGAGTTAATGTACAATGGCTTATCAAATTACTCTGGCGTCTACTCTGTAGTCTCTGATACCTACACTCCTTGTAACAGTTATTATTTTATTGCCAAAATCTCAAAGTCTAAATCAATTCGTTATCCAACTACCGATAACCTGTCAATTGATGACTCTAATAATAACTGTATATTTTTAAACAGTTCTTTAAAAGCTAAAATTTTAGATAAATCTTTAATAATAATAATTTTAATATTTATTAACTTTATTTTATTTTAAAAAAACTTTAAAAAGTATTCTTTTATTTTTATTTAAATTTATATATTACAGAAAAAAATATAAATAAAATTTTTTATTTTATTTATAGTGTTGTTTGTTTTGTTATTAATACTATTTAATATTGTTGTTGTTGGTACTAATTATATATTGTTATTTTAATAAATAATAAACATTTTTGGTGGGTTAATACTATCTATAATATGGATTGCCATTATAGACCATTGTATTTGTTGAAAATGGTACAACTAACTCTGGTGTAACGCCATAACCTGGACTAGTCACTGGTGAATGAGATGGTATATATGAGGCAGCTGTTGGTTGTGGTGCACCCATCATCATTGGTGGAGGTGGTACACCCATCATCATTGGTGGTGTTGGTATAATAGGTGCGGTTTGTGGAATAAATGAGGCAGCTGTTGGTTGTGGTACACCCATCATCATGGGTGGTGGTACCATCATCATTGGTGGTTGTGGTGTCATTATCATTGGTGGTTGTGGAACACCAATCATATTATAATTATTTGGATAGCCTTGGTAATGATTATTATAACCCATTTGTGGTGCGTATGTTGGTGGAGGTGTAACAAATTCAAAATTACGCATAATCAACTAAAAAAGAATAAAAAATAATATATATTTTATTTAAAATATACAATTGTTGGTAATTTTATAAAAATTAAATGAATAAAAAAAAATTAAAAATTTTATTATTATTTTTTTCAATTTTTTAAAAATAAATAAAAAAATGTTTTCTAGTTATCTAAGATTAAAAAATAAATTTATTTTCAGTTATTAAAGATAGAGAGCTTTTTTTTTTAAAAGAAATCATGAATTATTAATAAATTTAAAAATTTATATAATTATAACACACTTTGTGTGGAATAATGTAAAAAACAACCCCCATTGTGAAAATTTTGTTAAAACCGTTCAAATTTGAGTATCTTCAAAATTTAATGCTAGAAAATGTTAAAAAATAAGTGGTTTTTTTTGTTATTTCGATTTTGTTCAAACTTGATTGGTTTTAAAACAATAAAAGGTGTGGTGATAGAAAAAAAAATTAAAATACAAATAAAGAAACTATAAATTTTTTTAAAAAGAAAAAAAGAAACACATTGGGTGGTTATTATTTTATAACATTAATACAAAAAAATATTTTCTTTATTATTCTATTACATCAATAGAGTTTGATCCATTATTTTGATTATTAAATATTAAGACTGAACTACTACTGTTGTTTAAATTTGGATCAGAGTTAATTTTTTTGAGTGGGCTGGTAACATTTCTTGATGGTGAAATTTTAATCCAACCTCCTTCATGGTTTGAAGCTTTTAAAGTGCGTGGTTCACCGCAAACAGTTATAGTATCGGCTTGAGGCATGGTTGGGGTTCTGGTTTGACAAGAAATTGGTGAGCTACCAATACCATTATTTATATTATTATTATTATCATTGGTTGGTGATTGGATTTTAATTGGTTGTGATGAAGTTGAGGTTATTGGATAATTATCATTATCATTATTATCATCTTTTTGACTTTTAAATTGGCCAGCTTTAAAACAAATTATACTTGTGTGATCCATTTTACCAGGGTAAAGTGAATAATCTTCTGGTAATCTCTTACCTGAATTGGTCTCCATCCAATGTCTTGAAGCAACGGTGGTATCCCAACAATGTTTGAGAATACGATTAGAAATTTCGGAAGGATCTGTTGTATCGGCTGTGAGGGTTTCTAAAAGTGAAGAGGTAAAAGCGTTTTTAGCTATTTGAGATTTACTGAAATCACAATCGGTCCATTTTTCACCTATGAGATTAAATTCCTTAGACATATCCTGTGGCATTTTACCGAGATGACGTGGATCTAAATTATCATGGACACCATCGGAAACAATCAAAATAATATCGTCGTCGTATATAGAAGCACAAAATATATTTAAATTTCTTAAATCTGGTTTGCCTTGTTCCAAATGAGGTCCTAAACGACCACCACAATCCTTAGCATCTAAATTACTTCTATTACCCTCGGTAATATCTGTTACTTCACCTTGAGAAATTAGAAATGCCTTGCAATCACCTACAGATGCACAAACAAACTCCCATTGTGGTGACCATTTATCATTTCCCTTATTGATTTCAAGTAAAACACCCCCCAACAATGTTGTAGTACCAGCCTCCCAAAATTCATCCTTACCAACCATAATTGATTTATGGGCACATTCGAAACCTTGATAGAGAATTTTACCAACTTCCTTAACATTGGTCATGGAGTCATTTTGACTTGTAACATACTCAATGAATGCAGTACTGGCGTTTTGAGCAGCCTCTTTTGGCTTTTCACCCCAATTACAACCATCGGCAAGACATGCAATTAAACGGTTATTATATACAGCGCATGTATAACGATCAGCAATTGGATCACCAGCACGTTGAGTGGTACCTGGTAAAAATGGATATGTTGATGTTGAAATACAATAAACTCTTTCACCATATGATGCTGGGTATGAGACCATTGGTGTACCAATATTTGTAACTGGGGTCTCAATAGTATTTACGTAATCTGGACCAGAGAATTGAACAAGTTTATTTCTATCACCTTTGAGTGGAAGTACCTCTAGTTTTGGTAAATTTAAATATGGTGTACTGAGTTTAGTCTCTTTATAAATAAAATCGGCTTCATTACTACTACCGGGTAATAATAATTCTTGATGGTTAATCTCTTTTTTATTTTGCTTTTGCTTTGGATCTAAAAATTTAAATAACTTTAATCTGCCTGATTTCTTTTTGCCATCTCTAGAGTTATCATTGGTAAGATCTCTACCTCCATTACTATTTTCTCTTGATGAAATTGATAATGATAATGATTCCTTTTTGTGACCCTTTAAATCCTCTGATGAGCTGTATGATTGGTTGTTTGCGATACTATGATGATTATTTGAAACTAATGGTGGTGTCGATGATGGTGATGTAGCTAATGTAATGGTTGCTGATGATGTCGATGAATATGATGAATTATTTGAATTGGGTGGTGATGATGAATAATTTATTTGTCTAGGACTTGATGAAATATTTATATTTTTAGTATTTCTAATCAATAGAAATTATTTTTTTATATTATATTAATAGTTTGTTACACAATAACTATTATAATTATTATAATTAAAATACTTACGATTCGTATTTTTGTTTCATTTCGTAAAGATCTGTTTTTAATTTTAAATTTTCTTCTAATAATAATCTTTGATTTTCCAATAATAATTGATATTTTTTTTCAGTACTTTCTGTTGTAGTTAAACTTTCACCATTAAAGGTATTTGTCATAATATATACAATTTTGAAAAAAAAAAAAGTATAAATACTAATAAATAAATATTTTTTTAAGTTAATAAAAAAAATTTATTAGTAAATCCTATTTACAAAAGAAATGGGTTTTTTTTATTTTTTTGAGGGGGGTTGGGGGGGTTAAAAGGGGGGGGGGGTTGGGGGGGGGGGTTTTTTTTTTCCCCATAAAAAACCAGTTTGGGGGGGGTTTAATTCGGTTTTTTTTTTTTTAAAACCAAAAAAAAAAAGGTTTTTTATTTTTTGGCCATTTTAAATTTTTAAAAATTTTTAAAAATTTTTAAAAAAAATTGGGGGTGGTGGGGGGTTAAAAAATTTTAAAAAAAGGGGTTTAAAAAATGGGGTACCCTTTTTTTTTTTTTTTTTTTTTTTTTTTTTTTTTTTTTTTGTTTAATAGATAACAGATAATATTAATAGAAAAAAAAAATAAAAAATAAATGATTGTTATAAAATTTTTTTTGTTTAATAGCAATAACAATAAAATAACCGGTGTGTTAAATTTTTTTTTTTAATTGTGTGGTTGGAGGAGCAAAAAATGATAAATTAAGGTTATTTTCTAATTTTATTTGAAAATTGGCACATTTTTTTCAATCTGAATGTGATTTTCTTTTTTATTTTATATTAGGACAGAGTGTGATTACAATTTTGCATTTGGAAGTGGTTATTCTTTTTTTTTTTTTTTTTTTTTTTTTTTTTTTTTTTTTTTTTTTTTTTTTTTACAATATAATATGAATAAACTAATAACTACTAAATACTTTACCTTTTTTTTTTAAACTTTTAAAAAACTATAATAAATAATTATAATGAATAAATAAAAATAAAAAATATGAGGAGTTGGTTTTTCCTATATTTTTTGGTGAGTTGTTATAATGAATGATATTGACAAATCTTTTTAGCTTTTATCAAAAAATCATTGCTTTTAAAGAGGATGTGTTATTTACAAAGAATGCTTAATTTTATTAAAATTAGTTGTTTGTTATAAAATATAATATAAAAACAATATAACTCTATGGATTATTATTGATGATTGATTATTGTTGTTGATTAAAATAAATAAAAAAAAAAATTTCGTAAAAGATATTTTTTTTTTTTTATTTGCTTTTATTTTTTAAAAAATTTATATTGATGTTAAAATAATTGGTGGCGAAAATGATTTTATAGTTAAAAAACACAATATTGGTGAATATAAAAAAAAGAAAACAAGCAATAGTTTCAAAATAAAATAAAATGTTAATTAATATAATATTGTTATTTGTTGGGCCGCCTATCAATGCAAAAAAAAAAAAAAAAAAAAAAAAATTGATGATGTCAGATTTTTTTTTTTTTACAAAAAAAATAAAAAAAAAAAAATAAAAAAATAAAAAAATAAAATTAAAATATTTTTTTTTGGAAAAGGGATGGGGGCAAATAGGTTTTTATATATTTTTTTTCTAATTTTTTTCTATATTATTACGTTGTAACAAAATATGATAGGGAACAAATCGACAAAAAAGAGAATTTTATCAAATTTATAAATAATTTTGATATAATTTTACAATATTATTTGAATAAAAAAATAAACAAAATAAATATGATTAAAAAAAATAGAAAATAAAAAAAAAATAAGAAACAAATAAAGTATAATTTATATATATCAAATTTTATATCTTTTTTTTTTTTTTTTTCTTTTTTTTTTTTTTTTTTTTTTTTTTTTTTTTTTTTTTTTTTTTTTTAAAAAAAAATTTTTAAAATTTTAAACACCCCCCTACACAAAATAAAAATCTTTAAGGGGGAATTTTTATCCGAATTTATAAATATGATTTTGTTATAAGAAAAACCATAATCTTCTTTTTAAATTTTATTATTTTTATTATTATAATAATAATTTTTTTAAATATCTGGACCCATATTCGAATGGTTTAATTTTATTTTTTATATGAAATAATAGTTTGTTTTTATACAGGGAACGAAACAATGTTGAAAATAATAATTGGAAAATCAAATATTAAACAAATATAAAAAAAAAAAAAAGAACTATATATGTTCATAATTTTATTTAAATGAAAAATTTAAAAAATTAAATAAAAAAATTTTTAAAAAAAAATTTTAAAAAAAATTTAAAATTTAAAATTTTTTTTTTTTGTTATAATTGTGCACGTTTTTTTTATATATACCACACAAGTAGATAAAAAAAAAAAAGAATAGTTTGTTAATTTTTTAAAAAGAAATAGTGTGATTTCTTTTAATTATAACATTTATTTTTTTTCTAATTATATTATTATAGTTTTTTTTTTCTATTTTTATTTATTTTTTTTTCAAATAATCATAAAAAAATAAAGTAATCAATAACAGCAGAATGTCAGATCAATCCATTGAAAATAAAATTAATAGTACAGGAACAACCTTGGGTGGTACAACTTTGGGTGGAACAACTCTTGGTGGCACAACTTTAGGGGGCACAACATTAGGCGGCAGTAGTAGCGGCAGCAGTAATACAAGCAAGTCATCAAAAAATAAGAAAAAGAAAAATAAGGAAAAGGAAAAACAAGAGAAAGAAAATATTATGAAGGATGATAGTAATGAAATTGGTTCAAATAATAGATCGTTTATGCCAGCAAATAATAATGAAGATGAGGGTGTTAAAGATTATAAGCATGGTGGATATCATCCAGTTAAAAGAAATGATATTTACAATAGTAGATACCAGGTCGTAGATAAACTAGGGTGGGGACATTTCTCAACAGTATGGTTATGTAATGATAAACAAACTGGTAAGCAAGTTGCTTTAAAAATTGTCAGAAGCGCACGTACTTATTCAGAAACTGCAGAAGATGAAATTAAAATTTTAACAGCCATATCAAAACACAACCCAGAGGGCAAATGTATAGCACGTTTGGTCGATAGTTTTACACATCGTGGTGTAAATGGTAGACACTATTGCATGGTCTTTGAGCTTTTAGGAAATAATTTATTGGATTTAATCAAACATCATAGATACCGTGGTATGCCGATCACTCTTGTCAAGTCTTTAATGAAGCAAACACTTATAGCGATGGATTATATACACAGCAAATGTAAAATTATTCACACAGATTTAAAGCCAGAAAATGTTCTCTTGGAATTACCATTCGATTTTTATACATCAAATGACTACACATGGAGTGAACAATATGGATTTTTTAAAAATAGAGCCTCAGCCGCATCTACTTCAAAAGCAACCTCAACAACCTCAACTTTAGATAACTCTAAAGATGTCCAATTGAGTGATGAAAGTGATTTCAGTGACAGTGATAGCGATACCGAAAATAATAGCAGAGATAAAAGAAATAGTAATAATAAAAATAGCGAAAATAAAAAAAATAACAATAATGAAAACAACAGTAATAACGAAAATAAAAATAATGAAAACGAACAACAACAGGATAGTAATATTAGTGGCGAGTTTAAATTTGAAAATGGTACAAGTTATAAAAGCAAAATAAATAACGAATTATTTAATGAAAATCATTATCCAAAAGCTCAACTGGTTGATTTAGGTAATGGCTGTTGGACCGACAAACATTTTACAGATGATATTCAAACACGTCAATACAGAGCACCAGAGGCAATAGTAAAAGCTAAGTGGGGTACACCAGTGGACATATGGAGCGCAGCATGCATGGCATTCGAGTTAGCAACAGGGGATCATTTATTTAAACCAAAGTCCGGCAAAGGGTTTGATAAAAGTGATGATCATTTGGCTTTAATGATCGAGCTTTTGGGTAAACCACCAAAATTCATTTTCGCAAATGGTGAGGAATCTAAAAATTACTTTAATCACAGGGGTGAACTAAGAAAAATCCCACACCTTTCCGAACAATGGCCTCTTTTTAATGTTTTGGTAGAGAAATATAAATTTTCAAGTAAAGAAGCAAAAGAATTTGAATCTTTCTTGTTACCAATGCTCAACTATTTACCAGATAAAAGAGCTACTGCAAAAGATTGTCTTCAACACCCTTGGTTAACAAGTGTTCCACCATTTATAAATTAAATATAAATTAAAAAATAAATAAAAAACTAAAAAACTAAAAATATAAAAAAAAAAAAAAGTTCTATATATATATTTTTTAATTTTTTTAATTTCAACTATTAACATGGGTAATAATAAATAATTAAAATTCTAATAAAAATAAAGATAATAATCAATTCACAGATATTATAATTAGGGATTATATAATTTAATTTTATTAAATTTTCGCTAGACTTAATATCTCAAAGAAAAGATAATGGTATTTTAAAAAAATAATTGGAAAATAAAATAAAAATAAAAATAAATCATTATTATTAGTTTTTTGAGTTATTAATTTATTTTTTTTTTTTTTTTTTTTTATTTTTTATTTTTTTAAATTATCATTTTAAAAAAAACTTTTTTTTTTTTTATTTTTTATTTTTTTTTTTTATTTAATTTTTAATAATAAAATTTTTCTAATTTTTTATTTTTTTACAAAACTTTATTTATATATTTAATTATATAAATTATTAATCACCCAACTTTTTTTTTATATATATTTTTCCTTTTTTTTTTTTTCTTCTTTTATTATTTATAATAAATATTAATATAAAAGCAATCCAAACATGTTATCAGTGGAGAGAAAAAGAACAGAAAAGATTGATTTAATTAAACCATTAACAAAATATATTAAAGAGCAATTCAGTAAAGGCGAGGCAGATGCACATGAGAATCAAATAAATACATTAAATTCGTTAAGAGAGGATGTTAGAAATTTACAAGATAAAACAGAAACGTCAAAAGAATTAGTTTGGAGATATTATTCAATTTTATCATCATTGGAGCTTAGATTCCCAATTAGTGAGAATAATGTAATATAGTTTAGTTTATTTTATTAGGAAAATGGGCTGGTTTTATAATTACACTGATATTAATAATTAAATTTTAATATATATATAGGTTAGAATATCATTCCCATGGACTGATTCATTTAGACAAAAAAGAACAACATTGTATAGTATTTATTTTGAAAGAGCATCAGTATTATTTAATTATGGTTCAATTATTTCACAAATTGGTGCATCAATTAATAGATCAAATATCGAAGGTATTAAAAAAGCATGTAATTATTTCCAAATTTCTGCAGGTGTATTTTTATCATTAAGAGAATATGTTTCATTGCATCCTGAATGTTCTGCATCACCAGATTTTACATCCGAAGCATTAAATACCTTACATACTATAATGTTGGCTCAAGCTCAAGAATGTATTTTTGAAAAAGCTTCCATGGATAATCTTTCTGATGCAATCGTTTCAAAACTAGCTGCACAAGTTTCAGAATATTATGAAGCTTCAAACCATGCTTTAAATTCAAATACATTAAAATCTATTGTCGATAGAGTATGTTTTTATTATTGTTTTTAACATCATTATCATCATTATCATCATTATTTAATTTATATTAATAATATATTTTATATTTATAGAACTGGACCAATACAGTATTGGTTAAATCATTTTTATATAAAGCAATTGCTTCATATATTTATTCAAAAGGTTTGGGAGCATCATCACAATTTGGTGAACAAGTTTCACGTTTAATAATTGCAATCGATAATATTAATCAAGCCAAAGCAAATTTACAAAAGAGTGCACAACCTGAATTAAGAGAGATTGTTGAAAAATATGCAGTTTCAATTTTAAAGTATTATGAATCAGCTAAAAAAGATAATGAAACTATTTATCATGATACCGTTTTACCAGCACATAAATTAACCCCAATCGAAAAGAAACCACTTGCCAAAGCACTCCCACTTCCAGAAATTAGTTTTGTTGATCCTTTCTCTTCATTAGTACCATTTTCAGTTAAGGAAGATTCTGCTTATTACAATGATCAAAAAGAACAGTTATTAAGAAAAGAATTAGATAACATCGAGTTTCATAATCAATCTGCTAGAGCGTAAGTTAATTTAAAAGATAAATTATAATAATAATATAATAATATAATAATATTATAATATTATAATATAAAACAATAAAAATTAATTAATAATTTTTTTTATTTAGATCATTATTATCAATGGGATTACCAGGTTCAATTGAAGCATTAGAAGTTGGTGTACCAAAAGCATTACAAGAAAAAATGGATATCTTAAGAAATGAACAAGCTTCAAATCATATTGTACAGTTATTAGAAAATATTCAACAATTATCTGATGAGGATTCATCAATACTTACTACAGCAAGTAATCTTTTAAAGAAAGAAGAGGATGAAGATAACGAAATGAGAGCTCAATATGGTAGTGCATGGCATAGAACTCCATCATATACATTAACCGCTAGTCTTATACAAGATTTGGCTAAATATAGCAGCCATATACAACATTCAACTAAATCTGATAGTTTTATTAGAAAGAAATACGAAGATAACAAAAATTTAATTTCCGATATGGAGAACCAACAAGAAATTATTGCATTACTTCCATCCAACTCATTCCCAGCCAGTAAAGTTTCAGTCGCTTCTTTAACTGTATTATTAAATGACCTCGATAGTCTTATGGCCAATAGAGAATCAATTGCAGAGAAACTAAAGACCCAATGCAAAAAAGATGACATTACATTGAAATTAATTTCACCAAGCAAAGATAAATCTTTAATTTATGCTGAAGAAATTCTAAAATATGAGCCACTTCAAATGGCACTTAATGAAAGTTTCTTAAAGCAAAAAAATCTCATAGAAGAAATTAGAAAAGAAAACGAAAAATTCACTTCCTCAAAATCTAAACAAGGTAATCAACGTGAAGAAATTCTTCAAAGATATGCCAACGCCTTCAAGGTTTACAATGAATTAAAATCAAATCTTGATGAAGGTACCAAGTTCTATTTAGATTTCCAAGAGATTTTAAATAAATTTAAGCGTAGATGCGAAGATTTTACCAAAGAAAGAGAAAAAGAAAGAATAGAGTTAGTTAGACAAATCTCTGCTGGTGTAAACCCATATTCACCAGTTACCTCACCACAAAATCCTTTAGTTCCACCACATGGTAATGCTTATCCACAGTATTCTACACCACCAAACTATCAATCTCCACCACCACAATACAATTATAATGCCGTACCACCACCTTATCAACCACAATCACAATATACTTATACAGGTGCACCCCAATCATTTAATGCTCCACCACCACCACAATCATTTAGTGCTCCACCACCACCACAATCATTTAGTGCTCCACCACCACCACAATCATTTAATGCTCCACCACCACCTTATAAACCATTTTATAAATAAATATATATTTAAATAAATATTCGATTAAATTTAGATTAAAATTAAAATTAAAAAAGCTTTATTTATAACGGTTACAGATTGAAGAGACATGCAAATGTCCAGAGGTTAAATATTTTAAAGATTTAATATATTGTTTTAAATTTATATTGTTGGGATATTGTTGAATAAGTTGATTGGAATGATTATTGATCTCTGTTAAAGAGTTTTCAATAGTTTCTGCGACAAAATCTAAAGAGGTTTGAATGGATCCACACTGCAGTGTTTTGATTTTAACATAGTTTGTTAAAACTGGTTCGTTTTTTTCTTTGTTAAATGAATAGCAGTCATTTATGAGGGTGTTGCAAACAACAAACCAGTATTCGAGTTGTTTGAAAATTTTAGATTCTCTAATTTCTTTGGGTATAGAAATTAGGGTGGTTGATGAAGCCAGTGCCATTATAATACCTATGTCATAATATCTTGATTCCATATATTCTGCTAGTGTGGAGTTTGAAGAAATTTGATCGTTTTTACTACATTGCACTGCGGATTTGGCCCATGAATATATTTCGTTTATGAGTACGTCAATTGAATCTTTTTTACCTATTTGTTTATATTCATTTATAATTTCCCAAAATAATTTTATAAATTTATCTTTTGATTTATCTTTATTTGTTTTAAATAGTTTTTCTAAATATGACATACCCTTTGCTTTACTTTCGAAATAAAAATCGTCAATTATAAAAGCCCAATCCATAATTTTAAATATACACTTTAGTTCATCTGGCGAAGCAAATGGAAAAGAGAACATATATATTAAAAAGGTTTGTTGGCCTAAATATTTTTTACTTTTTTCAATAGAATTGCCAAAAAATTCCAAAATCCATTTTTCTTGATCCTCTTTAACTGATGAATTAATGTTTGTTTTAATATCAAAAGTACAATTAATTTTAGGAAGTGTATAGTCTTGATTTATATAGTTATTTAAATCCCAAAGTATATGTTGTTTCATTATTATATTAATATTATTTTATTTACAAATGATTAATTTTTTATTTTTTATTTTATAAATGTATAATTTAAAAAATTAAATAAAAAAATAATAACTGGTAAAGTTTAAATTATATTATTCAATATTTTTAATCATTGATTAAACTGTAACCATTTTTATATATTAAATTATTTTTTTCATTAAAAAAATCTACTAGTGTATTACATTCTCGAATATAAAAATATTCACTATATATAGTTGATTACACCCCAATAAAAATAATAACTAAAATCACTGTATATTATTTATATCATATAACGAATAAAACATAAACAGTAAGCCCAGAAAATGGGGTTATTAAATAGCAATATTGTGTTTATTATAAAAAAGTTCAAATTATTTGTTAAAGGTGCATAAAACAAGCCAAAACCTTATATCACCAGAAATTTATAATATAGTTAATACCAAAAAACTAAATAAAAATAAAAATAAAAATAAATAAAAAAAAACAAAAAAAAAATAATAGATATAAAATTTAAAATAACATTTAAACAAATGTAAAATGATTTCATTTTGATTAGACTATTTCTAAATTATCGAATTACACCATATTTTTTATATATTTATATCATTTTGGTGTGGGTTTTTTATTTTGTTTTTGTGTGTTTATTTTAAAACCAAAATTTTATCTAGATAATCATAAAAGGAAAAAAAAAAAACATTTTAGAATTAAAAATTAGCTCTTATAAGATCATCTATTGTAATCTTCAAAATTAAATTTCTGCCTGTACCCAATAATTTTTAGACCTTTTGTTTTTTGTACACTTGGGAAACATGTGATCCTTAAAATATTACCTGTAAACAAATAATTCTGGAGCATTAAAAATAACTTGTCAGTTTCCACCTAAAATAAATAGAAATATCTTTTTTATTTCTTCTTTTATTTTACACTTAAGTGGGTGATAATATTTTATTAACTCGAAAATTTTAAAAAAAATACAAATAATATAATATAATAAACAAAGGTGTAGTAATTTTTTTATCATTTATAAAAATAAAAATTAAAATAAATAATAAGTAAATGTATTGTTTTATTTATAAAATTTAACCATAATTTTATGGTTATTTTATTTTTTATAGTTTATTTTCTTTTCTTTATTTTTTAAAAACTTCTTAAATTAAAATCTTCTAAACATGATCTAAAATTATCGACTAATCTTCCTTCTTCTTGTCTTGCCATTTCAACAATCATGATGAGTTGTTTAATTGTAATTGGGGCTGAGAAATAGGAAGAGGCTTCTTCAGCTTCTTTTTGAGTAAATTCGAGTGAAAGTAAAACATTCTTAAAGTCACTACTGTTACTAATTGATGGTACATTAAGGGCAGTTGCAAATGAATCGGTTATATCCATATCTCTGAGGATATCTGGGTTTGAGGTTGTGGCAATAACTAAAAGTTTACGACCTTTTGGTGGTGATTTTTTGAATAATACTGCTAAAGTTTGAAGTAAGAGATTTGAAAAACGTGGACCAATTGGAACATATTCGATAAGACGTTCAATTTCATCGACAACAATGCAAGATTGTGGTGATTTATAAGAGTCTTCAAAGATTTTAGTAATTTTAGATGCTTTGGAAGCTTCATTATAACCAATTAAATCGTTTGGACTGATAATACGGATGTATGGGAATAATGAACCTTTAGCAAGAGTGGAGGCTAATGAACTCTTACCACAACCTGGTTTACCATGTAAAAGTACAGACATCATTGGAGTTCTATTGGATTTCTTTACTTGCTCTACAAATGCATTACCACTTTGTAAAAGTTTATCGAATACTGGACCATAGTTAAAGATACCATTTTCAGCATAGTTTTCGAATTGAGTGTCAGTGGCACCAAATGATGGAGGAACTTCATGAATAGCTCTTCTGAAATCTTGGTCACAAATTTTAATTTCATCTGGTTTAATTTCTACTTTTTTAATATTTTTGGTATCTACTTGTCTACTGAAAGCATAGGAGGCAGCTGATTTAACAACACCTTCAATTTCAGCACCACTATAATTTCTTGTGTCATGAGCATAGGCAGCTAAATTGACATCTGAATCGAGAGCATTTTGTTCTCTCATTTTGGCTGTGTGAATCTTGAAAATTTGTTCTCTTCCATGTTCATCTGGTAATGAAATTTCAACATGAACTTCTAATCTACCTGGACGAAGTAAGGCTTCATCAATCATATCCTTTCTGTTGGTCATACCAATAACTAAAATATTATTTAATGATTCTACACCATCAATCATTGTTAACAATTGATTAACTACTGAATCACCTACACCTGAGTCGCCACTTCTTGAACCTCTTTGTTTGCAAATTGCATCCAATTCATCGAAAATAATAATATGTAAACCTGAATCATCACCTTTTGCTTTTTGTTCCATTTCTGCATCCTATATCATCGAAAATTTAAATATTGAAATGTTAATAAAATATGTTAAAGATGAATTTTTGTTGTTTTTAATAAATTATAACAATGCATACCCTGAATAAGTTTCTAATGTTTTCTTCAGATTGACCAACATATTTATTTAAAATGGATGGACCTGAAACAACTTTTGGCTCTCTACCATTTAACATTTTACCAATTTGACGAGCAATTAAAGTTTTACCAGTACCTGGTGGACCATGTAATAACATACCTTTTACGTGATTGACACCTAATTTTTTAACAATAGCTGGTGGGAAAATACGTGATGAAAAAGCACGTCTAAAAATATCTCTAAATTCTTCATCTAAACCACCAATACCCATATTTTCAAAGTCCCAATCAGATGTGAAAATTTTACTAAAATAAAAAGAAAAATGTTAGTTATTTTTAAAAATTTATCTTTTATTTTTTACTATTAATTATTTATACTTACTTAACAACTAATGGGCCATTGGTTTCGATATCTAATAAAGACCCTGGACTTTTAAGTAAAATAATATTTGTAGCTGGTGAAATGATAGCCCAACCTTTATCTTTATCTGATGATTTAACACCTGGTGATACAATAACTTCATCAACTCTTAATTCAAAAATAAAAGAATTGTTTTTGATATAAAATACTTGACCAGCTGTAAAGAATTGGCTATTAAAATTATCAATGATTTTTCCAATAATTGCTCCAGCATCTTGTTTTGGACCTGTTTTACCTTTACTTAAATAATCGACTTTGCATGTCATTTGTCCACAAAGATTTGGATTTGGGTCATAAAATTCTACATAAACTTCTTCGTTGTTACTTAAATTCATCCATCCTCTTAATGCTTTAGATAATGCAATTGAATCTGATTTCATTGATGAGTTTGGTCTAAAATAATAAATAAATAAAAAAAAAATGAAAAATTTATTAGAATTATTCCTTAATATTTAAACTTAATATTATTATTATTTTAATGACTTACGATGCTGATAAAATGTATTCGAAAGCACCAGCTCTTAATTTAATATAGTTTGTGTTGGTTGAATATTGTTTATCTGTTACATTTGGGAATAAAAATCTAAATGAGGCCATGTTTAAAACAGCTCTATTTGTATAGGCCTCTTCTTCATTATTTGAAACTTGAACCTTTAATTTAATTGAATCGCCAATTGGTGGTGGATAGCTCATTTTTTTGGGTATATATAAATTATTTATTTATGTGGGGTTTTTTGTGTTTTTTAAATGTAATGATATATAATAATATTACTAATATTTATAAATAAAAAATAAAAATAAAAAAAAGATTATTAAATAGTTATTAAATATAAATTATTATTTTTGTCGTTTAATTTATTTTAAAACAATATTTATACAAATAAAAAAATAAAAAAATAAAAAATGAAAAATAAAAAAATTTTAAAAAAAAATTAAAAAAATTAATAAAAATAAAAAAATAAATTTTAATTTTTATATTTTTTCAATTTTTCACCACATCGACAAATTTTAATATATATTTCAATTTGTTATCTCTATTTGACTCAAAATTTTCTTTGAAATAATATAAAACTATATTTAAAATTCCAATCTATTTTAAATATTTTCTTGTTAATTTTTTTAAATTAAAAATTTTTATTATGGAAAAAATATGACCTTCAAATAATTTAAAATGACAGGTAGGCTATTAATGTTTGGAATTTTCAAAATTAATCCATGGGGTCATAATGTTAACATAAGAATAAGGATTAATAAATAAATAAATTAAAATAAAAAAATTTATATTTTTTTAAAAAAAAACTTTTTTTAATTTATTAAGTTTTAGAAAAAAACAAACTATTAAATATATTTTTTTCTAAAAACTATAAAAATATATTTTATTTTAAAATGAAGCGGCACCTATAGGATTGTTATCGTTATTATTTATATTTTCTTGAGGAGTGGCGGTTTCATTTATTGTTTCAAAGTTTGATTCCTTATTTAATCTTTCTTTCATCCAATTTGTAATATCATCGTATATTATATAACTTGTTTCTTCGCATGTTAACCCGTGCCAGAAAGATTGATATATTTTTAATGTTTTATCTTTGCTTTTTGCTAAAGAGTAAAGCTCTTCACTTACTTTTGGAGAGGAAACTCTATCTAACGAACCATGGCATATTAACAAAGGAACATTGACATCTTTAAGGTGATCTTGAAGATAAGAAGTAACTTTAAGAATTGCTAGACCAGTACCTAAACGTGCTCTACCTTTATAAGTTAATGGATGTGTGGCATGCTCCAATCTTTTTTGTGGATCTTTGATGGAACGATCTAAAACATTATCACCTGGTACAATAGGAAGAGTTGGGAAAGATTGCGATACCCATCTTAATATAGATACTACCAATGGGTTAGGAACCATATTTTCATCCAACTTGATTAATGGGGCCAACAATATTAAACCACCATTAAATATCTCTGGTTTCTTTAATGATACTAAAAGACCAACAGCACCACCCATTGAACAACAGTATACGAATCTTTTTAAAGTTGGGAATCTAAATTTAATATCTGAAATAAATAGCATTGAATCTTCTACCAAATCTTCAAAATCTCTGATATATGCTGTTAAACCTTCGCTTAACCCATGACCTTGTTGATCGAAAATAAATGATGCATAACCTAATTTTGCAAACATTTTACAATCATCTGCTAATAATGTTTGTCCATGATCACCATAACCATGTAGTATAATTACTACACCCCTAAAAATAAATCAAGTTTTAATTAGTTTTTTATTATTTTTTTTAAAATAATTATATTTATAATATTACTTTGGGTTTTTTGGGATCCATTCTTGACAAACTAATTTATAACCTCTAGAATTGACAAAATAACCCTTTCTATACTCTATATTTTCAACCACTTGGATAGTTCTATTTTTTGAGCCATGATTGTTGGTTCTTCTCTTTTTCTTTCTTTGTTTATTTGGTAACTTTGTTGTAGTTTTAATAATTTCTGTGGTTTCATTTACAATTATTGATTCAGTTAACTCTTTAAAGTAATCTCCTTTAAATGGTTCTTCCTCTTGGTGGTTTTCATTATGTTGATTTAATTCGAAATTTTTGATCATTAGTTTGATATTATTTAAAAAATTAAATTCATGATTATTATTACTATTATTATTGATATCAATATTGTTATTAATTATATCTTCATTATTTATAATGGTTGTAGATATATTTTCAATATTATCACTACTATTATTACTATCTTGTTTTTCTTCTTCGCTATCTATTTTCTTTGTTACAACCTCTTCTACTGAAATGGTACTTGAGAATGATGATGAAGATGAAGACTCCCCATTTTTGTTATTTGAATTTATAAAATTAAAAAATGAAATTTCTGAAATTGACTTCATTTTATTTAATTATATATTTATATTTATAAATTATCTTTTATTTATAACAAAAACTATTAATAACTTTATTTATTAAATTTTATAAAATTTAATGTATATAATATTATTAATGTAATTGTTTTTTTATATTGTAATTAATATTGAATTTTAAAATATTGTGAAAGAAGAAATTTATACAGATATATTTAAAAGATAAAAAAAAAAAAAAGATTTTAAGTGATACTAATATATGCCAATAGAGGTAAGGAATGAGTAAATGGTTTAAATAATTAAAATAATAAAAAATTTAAAAAAAAAATAAAATATTAAAAATTAATTTAATTGAAAAAAATAAAGTTTAATATTTAACCCAATTTTTATTATAAAATTAATTAATGGAAATATATGAGTTTTTTTTATATTAACACATATATATTTATAAAGGTGTGTGTGTATTTGAAGATCTATTTTGAATCTGAATGGATTTTTTTATAATAATAAAAAACAAAATAAATATGAAATAAAATAATGAAAACAAAAAAAAAAAATAAAAAAAATAAAATAAATAAAAAATTAAAATAAAAAAAATAATATTAAATAAAAATAGTGTATGTGTGAATAATGTTTCCTTTTTTGTTTTTTTTTTTTAAATTTAATAAACTATTTTAATTTTTTTATTACTATGTGTTTTTATGTATTAATTTATTTAATTGTGTAAGCTATATTTGTGTTTTGTGAGAATTGTGTGAATCAATATTTATAATTAATAACAGTAATTAATTGAAAAAAAAAATTTTTAAAAAAATAATATTAAATATTAAAAAAATATCATCATACCATACCAAACTCGCTGATACCACCCACAATTTCAAACGATGCGAATTTTTCAAATAATTGTTTTTTTTATTTATTTTTTTTTTAATTAAATTTTTTTTAATTTACCCAAAAAAAAAAGAAATGATTAAAATTATTAATTATTATTATTTATTATTATTTATTATTATTTATTATTATTATTATTATTTTGATTTCTGAATTTATTTTTTTTAAAACCACTTCTGTTATTATTAAAATTTCTTTTTACAGTTTGATCCTCTGTATTTGTAAGATTTGGATCATATTTTGTTCTAAAATTAAGATTTGAAGCTATAATTTCTTTTTGTTTATTTTCGATTTCTGGTAATTCTTCCTCTTTAATAATATTATATGTTTTTAGTTTATCTGAATCAATATTGAATATTAACAAAGTTGGGAATTCAATAACTTCTTTAAACTTTAAATTTTCTTCTAATGACTTTTCTAAATCAAATTTATAATATTGGTTTTTCTGTATAATAATAAAAGAAAAAATGTGGGTGGTGTGTTAGTTTTTTTAATATTTTTCTTATAATTAAAATACTTATAATATATATATACATACAGAGTCTCTTTCCCTTTTCATTAATATTATAAAATTACTATTTGGGTTTGAATCTCTATTTGAGTTTAATTTCTTTAAAGAGTATTTTAAATTATATATGTTAACTGGATCGTCAATATGATTATATAAGATATTGCTAATAATTCCTGAATCTGCAATTGAGTTATCAATAAATTTGAAATCATCATCTAAAAACAACCACTCTACTCTCCACAATATTATGTTTTTACTATTATAATAATAATAATAATAATAAAAAGAAATAGTTTGTATTAATAATAAAACCAATTGAAGTTCATAATATATATAAATTGAGATACATACGGTTTCTTAAAAGTTGTTGTATTTTCCTTATGTCTTGACATCTCTTTTGGCATTATATATAAATTGATATCCTTTTTAAAAGCAAACTCTTGTAAATGCTTTGCTTTAAATTTAATGAATGAGTTGGATAATATTGTTTTACCATTTTCATTAACCCTATTAATTTTTTCTAAAAAGTTAAAATCTAAAAAATATAAAGAAATTAGTAAATATGTTTTTATGTAGGTCTCATTTGAGTTTCTATGTAGTTTACCATTTACGATATCGGAATCTTTAAATTTATTTAATGGGATATAGTGGTTATCTTTTCTAATACCGTTACAATTATTATCTATTTTATGTTTATTGGAGCATATTAAGGAACAAAATAAAATTGAGCATCCTGGACATTTATATTTTGATTTTTCTAAATTACAAACTTGACATATATCCCCTATTTTTATTACTTTTTTTGGTGGTTCATCATCTTCATTATTATCTCTATCGTCTTCATTGTTTGTATTATCATCATCTTGTTCCAATGCCCTTTTATTTAATTTATTTAATTCTATTGTAATTTCACCATCTTTATTTATTGAAATTTCGTGATTATCGACTATATTTGAAGTTAATAAAGTATCCTCAATTTCTTGATTCTCTTCACTATCGCTGTCGCTGTCATAACAACCATTTAATAAATCCATATTGTTTATATACCTATTTATTTATATATGTGTATATACGGGCGGCAGGGGGGTTTATTTTCTTAATTAAATATTTTGTTAATTTAAAAGGTTGGAAAAAAAACGGGGGGGGAAACAAGGGTTAATTTTTTTAAATAAAATTTTTTAAAAATTTAAATTAATTTTTTTAAAAAAACCAAAATTCGGTTTTTTTTTTTTTTTTTTTTTTTTTTTTTTTAATTTTAAATAATTATTAAAATTTTTATTTTCATTTTTTATTTTATTGTTAATAAGTTGCTTATACTTATAAATACCTGTTACCTAAAATTATGGAAGAAATAGAAAATAATACAAACAATAGCGATAATATTATTGAATCTAAATCAATGGAAATTGCAGAAAATAATACTGACAATAGTGATAATATTAATAATAATAATATTAATAATAACAATATTAATAATAACGATAATGATAACAATGAAAATAATAGTAATGACAATAACACCAATGTAGATATTATAAGTGCAGAACAACAATCAGAAAAACAAGATGAAAAATTAGATAATATTAATGAACCAATGCAAGTTGAACAAGATGTTTTAAGTAAAGATGAAATTAAAGAGACTACTGGTTTAGAATCAAATAAAACCGAAATTTTAGAAGAACAAAAAGAAATTGAAACCAACCCATCCAATGAAGAAAATAACATCAACAAGGATAAGGAATCTATAAATGAAAATAAAGAAGATGAAACTAAAATCGAAGAAAATAACATCAACAAGGATAAGGAAGCTATAAATGAAATTAAAGAAAGTGCAAATGAAATTAAAGAAGATGAAAACAAAATCAAAGATGAAAATAAAATACAAGAAAATAAACCCAAAGATGATAGCGATAGCGATAGCAGCAGCAGTAGCAGCGACGATAGCAGTAGTGATAGTTCCGACGACAGCAGTAGTGATAGTTCCGACGACGATTTAGATGATATCATTTCAAAACCAAAACCAGCAAACAGTAAAAATAATAATAATAATAATAATAATAGAAAGAAAAGAAAAAATGAAGATGACGAAGACGAAATTAATGATAATAGTACCAGCAACTTACCAAAAGAGGAGCCAATTAACATCGAAATTCAAGAAAACTCTCAAATTTGTGAATTGGGCGAATTAAAATCAATTGTAGGTGATATCTTGGTTATTAAATCGTTAACCGAACAATCATCAGCATTAGATATTGATTCAATCGTTTGTTTAGAAGATAGAACACCAATTGGTAGAATTTATGAAGTTTTTGGTCAAGTTTCGCAACCAATGTATTCAGTAAGAATACCTTCTAATTTAGATATTAAATTAATAAATAATAATGATAATAATAATAAAGAAAATATAAATGAAATTAATAAACCAGCTGAAGAACCCAAAGCTGAAAAAACAATTGAAAATGGTGAAACTGCAATTCCAGAACAAGAAAGCACCAACTCAACTTCAACAGAATCAACAGAATCAACTGAAAAAGTAAATGAAAATAATTCAGAGGATAAACAAGAAGAAAAAAAGGAAATTATCGAAAAGAAAAAAATTGAAATTTTATTGAGTTCAAAAATTTATTATGTCAATGCACCCGAATTATCAAAGTTTGTTATTGCTTCACAAATTTATACTAAAGGATTCGACGCTTCAAATGAATATGACGATGAATTAAATGAAAGCGATATGGAGTTCAGTGACGACGAAAAAGAAAGAGAACATAATGCAAGAAAGAAAAAAAATAATAAAAAAAGAAAACAAAATAATAACAATAACAACAATAATAATATGAATAATAACAATAGAATGAATAATATAAATAGAAATCAAAATATTCAAAATATTCAAAATCAAGATTTTAGTTTTGATTATACTCCACTTCAAAGAAATCAAACATTACCACAACCACATCAAAATAATTTACCTCAAAATAGTTTACCTCAAAATAACTATAGACAACAACCACAACAAATGTATAGACCTCAAAATAATTTTAGACCACAAGCAAACCAACAACTTCATCAACAACAAATTTACCAATCATATCAAAATTTAATTCAGATGTATCAACAACAACAACCACCACAACAACAACAACATCAAGTTCAACAACAAGTTCAACCACATATACAACCACCACAACCATCAGAAAACCCAAAATAATAAAAAAAATATTCAAAAAAAATTTATACAAATAAATACAAATAAATACAAATTATAAACATTTAGGAAAAAAAGAGAAAAAATATCACATTTTTTTCCTTATATAAATATTTTATTTTTTTTTATTTTTATTATTTTTATTTTATTTTTATTTTTTATTTTTTATTTTTTTTTATTTTTTTTTTATTATTTTTTTTTAATTTTAAATATTTTTATTTTTAAATATTTTAATTATAACAAAAAAAATAACTATCAGTTTTTTTATGTGCAATTTAAATTAATTATACAAATTTATTCTTTTATTTTTATTTCATTATATTTTAATCACTTAAAATAGAATTTTTTAAAAAGAAATGAGTTCATTAGAAAGTATAGATAAACAGTTAGATCTTTTAGATCTAACAAGAAAAGACATACCAAAGGATGGTTCGTGTTTGGTAAGTTTTTATAGAAATAATTTTAAAAAAAAAGAGGATAATAATATTAATCGATATATTATAGTTCAGATGTGTGAGCGAATCAATCTTTGGTACACAAAATTACCATAACCAAGTAAGAAAGCAATGTATTAAATATTTAGAATTAAATAGGGATATGTTTGAACCGTTTGCATGCATTCATAACCCATGGGAAAAGTATATCGAAGAAATGAAAAAAGAGGGCACATGGGGTGGCGAAGTCGAGTTACAAGCATTATCATCAATTTACGAGTATGTATTAATAAGTACACTCTATATTGTATAAAATATACTAACATTTTTTATTTATTATAGGGTTAATTTTGTAATTTATATTGGTGGTAATAATAAAACTGAAGTTATTAATGGTTATAATAAAAACATTTATTTAGCCTATTGTCATGGTGAACATTATGATTTGGTTTTAAGCAAAAATCATTTTGGATCATATAAACAGCTTCAATCAATAGTTTACGAAATAATCTATGCAGCTATGAATAAACAGTACCCAATTTTAGGTATTCCTTTTAAAAATATTTCATTAAAATTATGGGAAGAACAAGATAAAGCCAAACAAATTAGAGACTCTAAAATTGTCGAAAAGCTTTTAAAAACCCAAACAGTAAATGTATTGGATGGTAAAGTATTAAATCATTTTAACTCTATTTATATTACTTATTAACTAATACTTTTTTTTAATCAGAATACCAAATTAATAAAAACAAAAAGAAAACAAATAACAAAGGATTAAGAAAAAGCAATCATGATAATACAGTATTAAATAATAGAAGCAGAAATAATAACTTTGCTCCTTTGACAACTTCAAATGAAAGCATTTCCTCAAATAATTCAATAGAGGACAACGAGGATAAATCGCAACAAGAAGAAGTTGACGAGGAACTTAAAGCAATTTTTAAAGAAATTGAAATGCAGGAAATTGAAGCACAAAGACGTATTGGACTTGAAAAACATTTTCCAGTAATTATCAAAAAATAAATTATAACCACTTTTTATACTTACTAATTAAAGATTTTTATTTATTTATTTAGACTTTACCTACAAATTCAAAAAAAAAATCAAACTCCAATACACCATCTAATAATTCACCACCATTATCATCAACAATAGCTGCTTCTATTCAAGCCATGGCTTTAAATGAAACTTCAGATGGTATGGATATTAATAATAACAATGATAATAATCATAGTAATAAAGAAAGTAATATAAATAATAGTAATGATAATAACATAGCAACCACAACCACAACAACTACCATTACCAATACTGACCAAAGTAGCCCAATAAAAGAAGCCAACACTGATCAAAAATTAGGTGGATGGGGTGCAGTTCGAAATTGGAGTAGTGTAATTTCCAATATTCCCGAAAACCCAATTGGGCAACCAACACAACAAGAGGAAATGCAAAAAGCAGTATCTCAAGCAACTTTAGAAGGAACGGAACAAGTTCCAGAGCAAACTCAACATAATAACTATAGACCTCGAAATAACAACTATAGAGGCAAACAAAACAATAACTATCATCACAGCCATAATAGAAATGAAAATTATAATAATAATGTGAATACAAATAATAACTACTATAATAGAAATGATAATAATAACAATAGAAATGAAAACAACTTTAAAAACAACTATAGAAACAATAATAACTATAGAAACAACAACCATTACAATAACAATACAAACAACTACTATAATGGTGGTGGCAATAGAGGCTACAGCAGAAATTATGAAGTTGTTGACGGAAATAATATTATAAATAATAACAAAAATAATAATGAAAATAATGAAAATTAATATATAAATATTAATTTTTTTAATAAATAAATATGGTATTGTTTAGTTTTTATGGAACTATAACAATATATTCTAAATATACCTTTCTTATTTTATTTATTAATTCTAAAATTATAAAAAAAAAACCAAATATTGGATTTTCTTAAATAAAACAGTTTAATATAAACTATAATTTATTTATTGAAAATTGGGTTTGGTGGATGAAAGTGAGACTCAACAACAGAAGGAGAGTTTAAGAACTCGATTTGTTGCTTAGCTGGACAAGTTTCAAAGTTGGCATCTGAAAGCCACTCTTTCATTTTGAATAAGAAATCGTTTTTGAGAATACGAATACGTCTACCATCTTGCCAAGTGGCAATTAAAGAACCACCATAACGAACTACAATCTGATTGGTACCAATAATATTTGAGAAGCTCATATATATATCTGGTCTCCATTTTTCTGGTTGAGCCTTGACCCATTTATCTAATTTGGCCTCGATCATGTAAAGTTTCTCTACTGGTGTATTAAAGTTTACGGTAACATCAAGACCAACAGCAACATCTTCTGATCTTTGGAAATTTTCGATTCTTGCTAAAACCAATACTGAATTTGGTAAATATACTGCTTTACCATCCATGGTTTTAAACGATGTAAAAACAATACCAATTCTATCTACAAATAATGCCTCCAATTGATTAATTACAACTTTATCTCCGACCTCGTATGGTCTTACTAAAATATATTATAAAAATATAATGACGAAATATTAATAAATATTAATTAAACGTTTAATTAAATTAAATACAACTTACCAAAAAATATTAAAATTAAGGATTCGAAAACATTTCTTAAAGTTGTACCGAATGCAAAGGAAAGAGCTAGAATTGTAGTTGAAAGTGGTACCAAGAAAACACTTACCTCGACGCCATACAAGGTCATAACAAATAAAAACATTAAAACCCAAAATATAAAATTTACAATTTCGTTAATAACTCTACCAATATCTTCATGATCCCTTAAACGATATTCTAAAGTTTTTCTGGATCTAACCACTCTAAGTACCCAATTTGTTAAGTCGTCTTTTTTGATCATATCGCCATGAATACTTCCAATTGTATTGAATGCTTTTTCTAAATGTTTCTCCTTGACATAACCATTTAAATCATCTTTAACTAAATAACCTTTCTTATCTCTGTCTGCATTTCGTAGAATTTGCTTGGCAATTTTTCTTGCTTCGACTTGGGTGAATTGTTCAGCACGCGAGTTTAATTTGCCACTAAGTTGATTACGAGTTTTCAAAGACTCTATCCATTGACTAACGCCCATTTTCTTTTTCTTTTTTAAAGAAGCAGATACTGATTGAGATAAAGCTGAAGGTTTTCTGGTAGAAAGTTGTTCTAAAAGCTCCTCGTTTAAAAGCGACTGTTTTAGTGAAGTATAGAATGCCTTTCTGTTGGTTCTAGCTGCTAAAATTTTTACAAGTACGACCCTACCACAGTAAAATAAACTGACATACATTACAGCCTTTAAAGCGGTGTAATACTTTTCCATGGAGTCCTTTGTGTATGCTGGTAACTCCAATACGGGCTCGGTAGCAAAAAATACAATAACTGCCCATAATAAGCAACTAAGAGGTCTAACAAATCCATTAACATAATAGAATACATGTTGTTGAAGATACATTGTTGATGAAAATATTGAAAAGAACGCCCTGACGATCCAATAAACCAATAAATAACCCACAACTGCAATATCTATATAGAGGGCCCATCTTAAAACTTGAACCTGAACAATTTCGATATGTGGCCAAAATATTCGGAATATTACGCCAACTGCTGATATTAGTAATAATAATACCAATAATAAAATAATTAAAATTTTTACACTAAAAAGACGTTTGAAAAAAGATTTCTTTTTCTTTTTCTTTTTCTTTTCCTCTTCTTCTTCCTCTTCTGATGATTTATCTGGATCATAATCCATATCTTTTGAATGGTCAATATCATTTAAAGTAATAACTTGATATGGTAACTCTTGTGCCTTCGATAATGGGTTAAGGTTTTCGCCACTGCCACCCAATTTATGTAACTCTGTAGGATATGAACTAACTGTATTAAATCCAGATTCTTTAGGCGATTTTGGTGTTTGACTACTATTATTAATTGTTGGTGAAGTTGATTTTAAATTTGTTGATTGGTTAACAGCATTATTATTATTGTTTGGGGATGTGATTGTTTGTAATTCTATTGAATCTTTTGGTGGTGGTGATTTTACAATTGAGGGCGCTGAACTTGTTAAATTATTGTCTCTATTTATAACTTTTGACATTGATTCCTTTTCTTCTCTTGGTGATATTACTGTTACTGTATCATTTATCCTTATTCTAGGACTTTTAATTATACCACCTCCCTCACTACTGTCATCCGATGAAGATGAATCGTCATTATTATTGTTATTATTATTATTATTATTATTATTGTTGTTTTTGATATTTTTATCTTTTTTATCTTTTTTATCTTTTTTATCTCTTTTAAACATTTCTTTTTCTGTTGGTGACACTAAAGGTGATTTGCTATCATTCAAATCTGTACTATCGCTAAATGTTTCTAAACTTGTATTACTATTATAATTTATTGAACTATTATAACTAGTATCAATATTATTTATATCATGAGTTTTTATATTTGAACTATTATTTATATTATTATTTGAACTATTATTTATATTATTAGTATTTGAACTATTATTTATATTATTTATATTATTTATATTTCTATTATTACTATTATTACTATTATTTGTATTACTATTATTTATATTGCTATTATTTATATTACTCATTATGAAAAAAAAAAAATTATTTTAAAAATAATTAAATCTATTTTTTTTTATTTTATTTTAATTTAATTTTTTTCTTTTCTTTTTTTTTTTTCTTTTTTTTTTTTTTTTTTTTTTTTGTGGTTGTTTTTGTGTAATTAACAATATTAACTGTGGGATAAGGGTGTTGTGTGCAAAATAATCTTGGATTTTTTTATTATAATAATATTTAGTATAATTATTGATTTTATAAAAAATAATTATATGAATATTAAACTTTTTATAATAATGTGTTTTTTTTTTAAAAAATAATTTTAAAAATAATTTTAAAAATAATTTTTTTTTTTTTTTAAAATAACTATCGTTTATTTTTTGTGGTGATTTGAATAAAAATATACTTATAAGTTAATAAATATGTAAATTTTTTTTTGAAAGTGTCTATTTTAATAAATAAATAGGTGTCCAAAAAATAAAAACAATAAAAAAAAAAAAAAACGGATTGCTTTAAAAAAAGTTATCAAAAAAAAAAAAAAATAAAAAAAATTTTAAAAAAAAATTTTAAAAATAAATATAAAGATAAAAATAAAAATATAAAATAATTATTTCGATCTAATCTCTTACTCTTTTTATAATAAATGTAAATAGTTTTTTTTTTTTTTTTTAAAATAGGTTTTTAATTTTATTTTAATTATTTTATTTCTTAATTATTTTTATTTTATTATTATAATTTAATCTATTTTATTGCTGTTAAACTATTATTATTATTATTACAAATATTATTTAAAAAAAAAAAAAAATAAAAAATAAAAAATAAAAAAAAGAAAAAAAAAAGATATTAGGCAAGGTTATTTTTTTTTTATATTATCTTTGCCACTTTGGAAGGATAATTATTCTTTTCGTCTATTGGAACAGGGTTGTTAAAAATTTGTTGTTGTAATGGTTGTTGATTTTGTTGATTTTGTTGATTTTGTTGGTTTTGTTGGTTTTGTTGATTTTGTTGATTTTGTTGATGTTGCTGGAATAATTCATTTGTCCAATTACTATTATTATTTTCAAAAGTTGCACGATTATTTGTCTTTGGGAGGGGTCTCTTTAAATGCTTTGGAGTATCTTTGTAATGTCCATTGCTGTCAAAGAATTGACGATAATGTTGCGATGAATAGTTTGGTTGTTGGATTGTAGTATTTACCTTATCAATAGCACTATTTATCATATCATTAAAATTGGACTCACCAAAAATTGGGACATTCTTCTTTTTGTTACTATTTTTTTTGAGACTATTATTACCATTGTTGTTATCGTTGTTATTGTTTGTGGATGTACTATTATTACTGTTATTACCATTATTATTGTTGTTGTGGTTACTGACGTTATTATTAAAGTTTGATGACCAATTGGAATGTTCATCAGGGTTATTGTTTAAACTATTTAATGATGGTAGTTTATAGTCAGATGATGTATGTGTTGGAATGTTTGGAGCTGATGAATGTAGGCTTTTGGGCTTAAATGAACTTATTGCATTACTGATACTTGTATTGATTGAACTAATATTATTATGGAATGGTTGTTGTTGTTGTTGTTGTTGTTGTTGTTGTTGTTGTTGTTGTTGTTGTTGTTGTTGTTGTTGTTGTGATGATTGGGGTGGTTTGGAAATTAAAATAGAGGATGGGGGTGAAGATTCTACCTTTTGATATTTATTTGGATTGGGAATTAGATCATTACTACTATTATTGCCATTGCCATTATATTGAGTTGATGAGGCGGCTGGTGACTCTGTCATTGCGGCTATAGCGGATAAAAACTCTAATGGATTTAAATCATTTGATTTTGTTGGAACATGTAAATCTGATGAAGACTTTGACATACCAATTTTTTGATTTTTGGGGTTTTTCGGGAATACTTATTAATGGTTCATTTCTAATTTCCCTATTATTATTGTTGTTGGTATTATTTAATGTGTGGGGGAGGGGTTATTCATCTTTTTAAATATATCGATTGTATTGTTTATTGTTTCAGAAACTGGGGAAATTAATGAAGGTGAGGAAGACGATAATTTTGGCGAAGTTAAATTGCTATTATTTGTACTACTTGGTAATAATGATGAGGATGAAGCTGAGCTCGAATTTAATATTTTTGACATGTTTTGGTGCGATGCTGGGTTTGATGATGAATTTATAATATTTGAGAGGGTTGGTGATGATATATTTGACTGGGTGGGTGATAATGTTGGTGTTGATGATGAGGAAGAGGATAACGAAATCGAGTTAATTTCACTATCCCTTTGATTGGTTAAAAAGTGTATATTGCTATTGCTACTATTTAAAGATTTCTTTAATGATGCAGAACCATTTATACTATTATTTAAACTTTGTTGTTCTTGTTTAATTTGGAACTGGAATTGTTGTTGTTGATTATTTGAGCTATTATTACTGTTGATACCATTTATTGAGGTTTTTAAATTATTTAATGATGATGTTAATTTTGGAGAATCATTATTACAAAGTGTATTATTTGCAGAACTACCATTATTATTTGAAAGATTACCATTTTCATCGATATCATCACAATAGTCCTCTTCGTTGTTTGCTCCACCAACAGCATTACTATTATTATTGTCATAGTCATCGTTTGGAAACTCTTGACTTTCCAACTCTTCATCATAATCTTTAGAGTTAATAAGATCGGATGGTGATGCTGGAAAGGCTTGTGGTGGTTTGGTTGGTGACTCTCCTAATGGTACCAATTCAGCTCGCAATGATTTCTTTGGAATTTTTGTAATAGCTTTAACTGGAATAACCGATTTTGAAATTAATGTAACTTGGTCATAGTTTTTTTCACACAATTGGAAAATCAACGGGAATAGTGGTGCACGTTGTGATTTACCAGTAACCTATATAAAAAATATAAATTTTGTTAGTTATTTATTTATTTAATAATTTAATTGTTTGAAAAAAAATTTGGCGGTAAACAAAAAAAAAAAAAAAAAATTTGTCCAATATTTATCTATCTATTTATATTTTGCATACCTCAACTTTTAAATCAAATGTTAGCTCACCGCTATCATTTTGATCTAATTCCTTCCAACCACACTGTGATCTGATACTAAGACAGACTGAGAATTTGACACATTTGGCAGTAGTTTTAAGAATCAATGCATGATCTGGAATACCGTTGCCATGTTCGACAATTGAAAGATAAACTTTTCTTCCATTGTGCTTTACAATTCTATTTTCAAGTGTAACTTTTAAATAATAACCTTTTAAAATTGTTGTCATTATTTAATTGTTCCTATAATATTTATAAAAAAATAAAAAATAAAAAAAATAAAAAAAATTTTGATTTAAATTGAATATTAGTAAAAATAAATATGAAAAATATAATTTGGGGGGGGTTTCTAATTTAACTTTTTAAATTTGATAAAAATATTTGTGATTTTTGGGGGGGTTTGGGGGTGTTACGTCGGGGTTTAAGGGGATTGTTTGATTTTTGGGAAATTGAAAAAAAAAAAAAAAAAAAAAAAAAAAAAAATAAAAAAAAAAAAAATAAAAAATAATAAATTATTGGATTAAACAAATAATAAAATTATTATTATTATTATTATTATTATTAAAATAAAAGAATAACAATTATAGTTAATTAAAAAACAATTTGAAAATTAAAATTTTAATAAAATTAAAATAAAATTAAAATAATTGTTTTTATTCTGAGATGTGGGGTGGTAAGTGGGGGGAAATATATATATAATTTAATTTTAATTTTTTTTTCTTAACGAATGGAATAATAAATCAAAATACTATGTGAGTGAGTGTGAGTTGTGTTTATGGTGTGTTTAACAAACAATAAATTCATTTTAAATATTATTGTTATTTCTATGTATTTAATTTGAGCATTTATATGAATATATTATTGTGTGTTTGTGGGATTTAATACTATTGAGTTTGAAGTTAGTAGGAAAAATGATGGTATCGAATTATT